GGCAGCAGAAGGTTTCATTTTATGCACTTGGCGCTGAGACACGTTTTCCTGCTCTGCCCTAACCAAAGTGTTTGTAATTATTGCTTGTGCGTGGCTTTACAACTGGGGGAGTTGTTCTGGTGTAACCCTTGGCAAATAGGTTCTGCTGGAGAAGGACCTCTAAAGAAGACGGGGTTTTACACCTCTTACTCTCCCAAAATACTCTTCTACAGCTCTACCACCCGCTTTATCCACCTTTAAAGCACTGAGCAGGCCCTGCCCGTCCTGGCAGCGAGCGGCCGTGGGGCTGGCGTGGGCAGGCAGTGGCCAAGGGCTGCTCTTGGCAAAGCAGCCGTGAGACCCGGCACTCGCCCTGCGCCCTCTCCCTGCCCCAGGCAGCTCTCGGGGGAGGAACAAGCCGATTTCAGCGTCGCTGCTGGTTTTTAATGTGGGTTTCTGACCCGCAGTGGAGCGGAGGCTCGTGGTGTCGGTTTTTATGTCGGTACAAAAAGGCCTGCCTGGGTTTTTTTTGCAGTGAGTGTCAGCTATCACAAGTAGTGCTTTTAAAGCCTGCTCCTGGGGGTGTACTAGAGGGTAACAAGTGCTGCAAGTGTTAAGTATTTTGTCCGTGCCCACGACAGCTTTGCATCGGTATCTGCGTGCTTATGTAGATCTGGGGGGAGCATCAAAGTGCCAGGTGCCTCCGACAGCGATTGGTAGCCGATAATTCGGAGAGAGGGAGAGCACCCTGCGAAGCACCGGGCCAGGTGCGAGCAGGGCTCGGGGAGGGTCAGGGCTGCCACTGGCTTCCCGCTGTGGGGCCCCGGGGCCGTGGGCACGTCAGGGCAGTGGCTGCGGGCAGAGCACGTCGCTCCCAAAGCCCTGAACCCGCGATGCGGTGACGTGGCGCTTGTGCGCATCTGCCTTGCTGCAGTTTGTCCCAAAGCCCGTGCCTTGGATTTCTCCTCCACCCGAGGCGTGGGACCACCCGGTCACAGCATCCCCTGCTCTGGTCCGTCGCAGTTCACCTCCTCCCCTTACACCCCGAGCCGGTGCCTCGTTCTTCAGCCGGGCGTTTTTGGATCCGTCCCCTGTGTGCATTCACGTTTCTAGCGCTCCGAGCTTGCCTAAGCCGCTCAAGGAGCAGCTCAGCGTTTCCCAGGCAGATCCCTGCCTGAGCAGAGTTTGTTCCTTGCCCGGCACTTGCACTGGCAGGCCGAGGAGCTGCTTTTGCACGGGCTGAGCCCCAAGGCGAGCGCTGGCTGCTGCGTGGCTGCCCTTGCTGGCACGGCGGGAGGGGAGGCAGCCGTGGGTGGCTGCCTCGCACAGCTGGGATGCTCCGGGGAGGTCCAAGGGACAAGTGTTGGCTTTGTCATTGCATTTTCTGTCCCTGCCCCTTTTTGTCTCGAGCAGGGCAGAGCAGCGCGCCCGGCCTGCCTGCATCCTGCACTGTGTCCTGGTCACGGGACGAACAATACTTGCCTGACCCAGCTAGTGCCTTAACCCACCATTTGTACAAATATTACCCTGGGCTTTTGATAAGCCCTTCGATCTGTTTGTTCTCACTCACTCTTTCCACGTGTGTCCAAAGTAAACCGTGCCTATCTTCCCTCCCTGCCCAGGCGTGGGCACCAGCTCGCTCCCGGGCAGGAGGTGGCTGTGACTCGCTGCCCTCGCCGGCAGCAGACACGGCTCTCGCTCCCGCTCTGGGGGGAACATGCACGGCGAGGGGAGCGGGGAGGCAGGCAGGGTTGCAGCTCCTCATCCTCATCCCACACTCCAGTGCTCCCTGAGCGGTCGCTGCTTGCAGCTCCCGTAAACCCCCCAGGCACTTCCCCTGCTGGAAAACCTTCCCTGCCTCGGGAAGGCTCGGTGCGTCCCATGCCAACGTGTAAGGATGCTCAAGCCAAGCCAGCATTTCCAAAAGCAGAGACCCTGCCAGCTCCCTGACACCTCTGGGAGGGCAACGAGAGGCTCGGGCACTTGCGGCAGGGTTTGTGCTCTGCAGCAAAACTCCCACTGAGAAACCGGTGCGAGAGCTGGTGCCTTCTGCCCCAGCGCAGCTCACAAGAGCATCTCTGAGTGCAAGAGCTGGCTCTGGCTGCGTGTGCCAGCTGGACTGTTCCCTTCCCTGCAGCGGGAGCAGGGTGGGAGCCTCCATGCCCCGTTCCCGCTGTCCCACCACCCGTGCGGGGTCCCTGCCCCGTCAGCCTCTGGCCCCGGGATGCTGAAGGGTCCTGTGGGTCACTGGAAAGGTGCTGAGCGTGGGGCCTGGCGATGCCAGCAGGAGGGCAGCCTGTGCTGGGCAGGACCCCTATGGCAAGGCTGGAGGTGTCCCCTCCAGTTTGTCATCCTGCATGTCTGGGCTCCCTCTGTCATGCAGCCGGTGTGTACTGGGGCAAGAGAAGGGCCAGGCTGCAGACCTGCTCAGAGATTAGGTCTCCGCTCACAGCCCAAGCCTTACAAAGCCGGGCTCGCCAGCAGATTGCTTGCCTTGCCTAAGCACAGCAGTGCAACTTTATTGTCGCTGTCCACACTTTGATGTTTTCCTTACAGCTCTGGAATCCCAGCCTTTATTTTTCCACCCTGGTCTTCTCAGGGAATGGCTGTCTGCCTCCCCCTGCCCCACAACAACTTTTGAACCCGCTGCTCGATTACAAACAGGCTTGATGGAGGGGCAGAGATGGTAAAGATACAGCTTCCAGCAAGGCTGATGGGCACAGGGGGCTGGGGAGGGTGAGGGGGGGCCCTGGCAGGGTGAGGAGCTGGCGAGTGTGGGAGAGTGAAACCTCCTGGCCTCGCTGCTGCTGTGACAACAGTTTTTGAGAGGGAGTAGCAAACCTGCAGAGGGAGAGGCAAAAAAAAAAAAAAAAAAAAAAAGAATTTTATTTCATGCAGAGCCCAAATCTCCAGATCTCTGTGTGCGTCCGCCTCCTGCCAGGGGTTAGCCCCACGCCTCCCTGCTCACCCTTGACAGCTCCTGCAAATGACCCTCTAATGACGGGATGGTCCCAGTGTGAAACGCCGGTGGAATATGTAAGCGGCCCAGGGGAGGGTCTGCGCCGGGGGGAACCAGACACGCTTTGTTTATCAGCCGGCTGGGATGTGGATTGGGGATAATCAGGCTGGGCTGGGGATGTGGAGTGGGAGCTGCTGGTCCCAGGAGGGGAGGGATGGGGATGGCCCCGTCCTGCACAGCTGCCCGGGCCACCCCCTGCCAGCCCCAATGCTTGTGGTCCCCCTCGTCCTGGCTGTCGCGGGGGGCCGGCAGTGGCTCCCCACACATGGGCCGTGTCCCCATCCACGGCCGTGGGAGGGGGCAGCTGAGAGCCTGGGGGAGCCCAGACCCACGGCCAGGGCTGCAACGGGGTCAGCTTAGCCAAACCCCGGGACCTTCACCGTCCCAGGATGAGCGTCCCACCACCCAGGGCTGGCATTTGGGGGGCACAGTCATCCCTGGGGGTACTTGAGACCCCGGGCATCACCTGGGGCTGCAGCTCTCCTGCTACGGCTCCCAACCCCATCACCCCTTTCAGGGGGTGACCTAAAGGGGAGCTGCCCCCACCGGCCACTGCACATGGCTTCAAATTCATTGCTATTAGAGAACACGGTCCTTCCCCTTATCTCTAAGGGGTAAATAAAGGTGGAAAATCCCTTTTTCTCCTCAAAGGCTGCAGGTGCTTCCCTGCTTGCTCTTGAGCAACCCCCCATCAGGGTGGGAACAGCTTCTTTGTTATCCCACACCAACTTTCCTGTTCACTGAGCTGTTGAGCATCTTTCGCACCGCGCGAGGGGACCCCCTTGCTCTAACAAGTGACGGTAGTAGCCCACCCGCTCTGGTAACGGAGTGGGCTGCAGCCAGAGACCATCCTGGAGCAGGGAGAACCTCTGAGTGCAGCAGATGCAGAGAGAAGACGGAGGGAATCGTGCCCTGACAGACCCTTTCAACAGCAAAAATGGGCTGTGGAAATCAGAATCTACCAGGCATTTTTAATAGATATAATTTATTGATGAACTCTACAACCATCACCTTTCCATTACCGCCCCATCCAGTGAGGGGTGGAAAAGGTTTGAGCAAAGCTGTGGTTTTATAGAGGAAAGCACTCTGTGAGCCGAGATGTTCGGGGCAGGTAGGAGGGCTGGGGGGGGCTCAGACCCCCCAAGACTGACCCTGGGGCTGCCCTATTGCCAGGAACACCTTCTTTGCCTGTGCAAACCCCCTCTGGCTCCTGGTGAATGGGTGATGCTCTGGAGTAGGGTGCAGGAGCCCCGGGGTCCATCTGTTGCATCACTCCCTGCGTGGCCCTGGGCGAGGAGCGTAGGTGATGGAGGTCGCTGCCCCCAGTTCCTCCCAGGGCCGTGCTCAGCGCCGTGGCTCAGGGCAGGAGCGGGCTCCAGGCATCGGGCTAACGCATTAACTTGGCTTCATTATAATAGAAATCTGACAGAGTTTTAATAGAAATACAAGTCTTAAGAGAAATGCCTAAGCCCCGGGGGAGATTGAAAATCCTGATGGTGCAGATGCTCGGCGTGGCCGGGCACCGGAGCTGCAGTGTCCTGCTGAGAGCCTGCAGCTACCGGCGGTTCCTATCGCGGGCAAAAGGAGCGTCGCCCTGGGCTGTGTCGTGGCAAGGAGCAACGCTGCGGCTCCAGCCCCGTGCCCCGGCTCCTGCCCCTGCGGAGCAGCACCAGCCCTCGGCCGCCCCGGCACACACCGGCTGCCAGCGCCGGGGGGGTCCGGGGGAACGCAGCCGTCGGGCACCCACCCCCCTGGCAGGGAGGTGTCCGATGGCCTTTCCCGTGCAGAGCCTGGGTCCGTCCACACGCCGTGGCCGTGCCGCGGGACTGCCAGCGCCCGGGCACCCCGCTCCTCTCCTGGCACAGCCAGAGCTTCGCCGACCGCGGGCAGGTGGGCTTCAGTGACGCCTCGGTCTGCGTGCTGGTCGTGGGTTGGGCGGCCGGTCCTCGGGGACACTTTCTGGGCAGAGATGTGCCCCTTCCCGGCAGGGGACGAGGTGGCCTCAGTTGCAGCCGCACTCCTCGATGATCATGTCCTCGTGGTGGCGGACAACGATTTCGCCCTTCTCGTAGTAGAGCATGGAGAGGGGACTCATCCTGACCGGGGAGCAGGCGGGGCAGGGCACCTGGTTGGGCTTGTAGAGCTGCAGCAAACTCTGCGGGGAGGCACGGGAAGGACAAAGCATCACCCCTGCCGCGGGCCGGCAGGGCTGGGGTACGCGGGGGAGCAGGGGGCAGCGAACCCCTCTTACCTGGATGTAAGCGTGGTTGGTGGGCTTGAAGGTCTCGTCCACGGGCGACGGACACAGCCCTTCGCACCGGTAGGCGTTGTACTTTTTGGGGTAGACAATCCAGCTGCCCCAGCCGGTCTGCTCGAAATCCACCATCATGTCCACCCTCCTGCACAAGGACCTGCCCTCCTCCCCCGGGACGGCAGCGGCAGCGTCGCTCACTTTGATCCTTTGCTTCTCCTTCCTGTTCCTGCGGTGCCGGCGGGTCCCCACACCCTGGGAGCCACTCTCACGCATGACGTGCTTGGAGGTCTCCGCTGTCCTGATGAGGCTGTGCTCTCCCGGAGACTTGTCCTTGGAGAAGACGAGCAGCAGGACTCCGTCCGTCACGTCCTGGGGCAGGGCTGGCTCCCCGTGGCGGGCATCACTCGGGGTGGTGGCCGGGACGACCGACCCACTTGTCTCCCACAGCTCCATTCCTGTGGGACCGTGGTGCCCAGGGGCTTGGTGGAGCCAGGACCGGAGCAGGTTGGTGACCTCAAAGACTTTCCAGGAGGCCTGGGTGGAAGTGGGGCTGCCAGCCACGGTGCCCAGGAAGAGCTGGTGGGCGCAGGCCCCGCCGGCCCGGCACCTCCGCCGCCGGCTGTGGTAGATGTCCAGAGAGACGTCGTGGGCTGGGGAGAGGCCGGGCAGGCGGACGCGGAGCTGGGCCAGGCTCACCTCCTGCCTGCCCGAGAGGGAGGACATGTCGAAGGCGAGCGCCCAGCGGGAGCCGTTCTGCAGGGAGCCTGGAACACGAGGGGCACAGTGAGGGCACCGCCGGCTCTGCCAGGGAGTGCCAGCGCCAGAGGGGACGGTGCCCTGGCCTGCTGCAGGGGCACGGTTCCTGCCACAGGAGCATGAGGGTCGGGGGAAAGAACCCCCATCCACCCCGAGTCCCAAAAACCAGTGAGAGCACAGGACAATGCCGGTCCTGGGGAGGGGGATGCTTGGGGACAGTGCCGGTCAGGGGGACAGTGCGGGGAGAGGGATGCTCAGGCATGGTGCAGATCCTGGGGACAGCGCCTGTCCCAGGGACAGGGATGCCCGGGGACAGTGTCAGTCCTGGGGGGAGGGATGTTCGGGGACGGTGCTGGTCCCGGGGACAGGGATGCTCAGGGATGGTGCCGGTCCCAGGACAGCGGTGCTCAGGGATGGGGTGGATCCTGGGGACAGGGGTGCTCGGGGACAGTGCCAGTCCCAGGACAAGGATGCGTGGGCATGGTGCAGATCCTGGGGACAGGGATGTTTAGAGACAGTGCTGTTCCCAGGACAGGGATGCTTGGTGATGGCGCGGATCCCAGGGACAGGGATGCTCGGGGATGGGGTGGATCCCGGGGACAGGGATGCTCGGGGATGGGGTGGATCCCGGGGACAGGGATGCTCGGGGACAGTGCCGGGTCCCAGGACAGGGATGCTCGGGGCCGCGGCCCCACTCACCGTGCGGGGAGAGGCTGAGCGCGGCGGCGGCGGCGGCGCGGAGCGGGGCGGGAGGGGCGCGGAGCAGCTGCAGCATCAGCGCGGGGCAGCGCGGCGGGGCGCGGGGCGCGGCGCGGGTGGGTGCGCAGCCCAGGCGGAGCAGGGCGAGGGCGCAGAGCAGGAGCGCGGGCGCGGAGCGCGGCGGGGCCCGCATGGCTGAAGGGGCCGCCCGCAGCCGCCCTATTTGTACAGCGGCCCCGAGCACCGCCCCGGGCGGCCCTGGCCCCCTCCCCACGGCCCGGCAGCCCCCTCCCGCCCGCCCTCCCCTCTTCTCCCCGTCTCTCTTCCCAATCCTCCGTCCCCGGCTCCATCCCTCCCTCCCTCCGTCCCTATCTCCATCCTTTCCCCCTTCCACCCCCCCGCCATCCCTCCCCATTTCCATCTCCCCCGTCCCTCCCTTCTCCCCATCTCTCCCTCCCTGCCTCCAGCCCTACTCATCCCTGCTCATCCCTCCATCTCCCCATCTCTTCTCCTCCCCATCCATCCATCCATCCATCCATCCATCCATCCATCCATCCATCCATCCATCCATCCTTCCATCCATCCATCCATCCTTCCATCCCTCCTGGGCTCATCCCCACCACCAGCTCTCTCCAGCCTTTCCCTGACGAGGGGGGCGGCCACCCCCTCGCTGCACGGGGACACCGCTGTCCCCAGCACCCTGCACTGCCCGGTACCTGGGATCCTTGGGGACGGGTGGCTCCAGCCCCCTCACCCCCCCGGCAATCCTGTCCTGCTCCTTAGAGAAGGGACCAGGACCCGGGGTACCCGTGGACATTGTCCCCGTCACTCCCCCAGCCCTGTCCGGGCTCTGCCCCCCCCCCCCTCTTGTTTTTTCCCCTTCTCCCACTGCCGTCCGGAGCAGGATCAGGGCAGAGGGTGCTGAGCACCCACCGGCCCTCCCCGCTGAGGGCAGAGGGTGCGGGACAGGACAACGGGGCTCGTACCGCTGGGTGCGGAGCGGGGAGGGGGGGGGGGGGATGCCGGGGCAGGGGTGTCCCAGCCTCGGGGGGACCTGATGCGGCTGGGGCAAGCAGAGGGGTGCGGGGGGGTGAACTCTTCTGTCGCAATGCCTTAGTGCTCCCCGCCTCCGCCGGCCCTGCCAGCGAGAGGGTTTCGCGGGGCGGCGAGGAGCCGCTCCCCCTTCCCGGGGGGGGGCCGGGCTGAATCTTCGCGCGGGAGCCCCCGGCGTGGGCCCGGGGGCGCTGCTGGCGGGGGGGGGGGGGAGACCCGCTCCCGGAGGGGACGTGTGCTGACGTAGATTATAACCCCCCGGGGGGGGTGGGTGGGGGAGTTGCCTGGGTGACATCACGGCCGGGCAGAGTGACGTCACGCCCCGCCCGGCCCGGCGGCCGCCGGCAGGGGGCGCCGCTCCGCCGCCGGCCTCTGGGGCCCACCGGGATCCGTTGCCCTTTGAAGAGGGGAGTCTCGCGAGAGCGGCGTCTTCTCGCGAGAGCGGGGGCTGTGAGGGAGGGGTGAGAAATGGCGGCAGCGCCGGCGGCTGTGGCCGTCGCTCCCGCGTCCGAGGGTGCGGAGCCCGCCCCGGACCCTCCCGCTGCGGAGCCTCCGGCCCCGCCAGAACCGGGCGCTACCGATGCCGAGACCGGGTAGGCCGCTCCTTGCCCTCCCCCCGTACTCCCCAGCCTTGCAAGCTGTGAGGGTTATGGGGCGGGGGGGGGAGCTCTCCCCCTTCCCCTCTTACCCTGGAAACCCTGAGGGTACTGGGGTTCACTGCCTCTTCCCCTGGGCAGCCGTGGGGGTCGGGGTGGTCCTTCTGCCCCAGCGGCACCGGGGGTGCCCCGGGTCCGCGGTTCGTGCTGCCCGGGAGGCCCCAGTGCGGCCCGGTCTGCTCCAGACCCCGGGGCCAGGCCCCATCAGGCCCCGGCTGTGCCCCACCATGGTTACACCAGGGCTGAGCTGGGGGCCCCTCTCTTAACTCACTTCTGCCCTTGCAGGGGAGATGCTGCCCTGGTCGATGTCACCGCAGCCCTGGAGACAGAGTCCGCCAACGGGAAGGACGCCCTGGTAGGTGGCTGCGGGCGGCCGGGGCTCGCAGGGAGAGCCCCAGCTCGCGGGGGTGATTCCTGCGGTGCTGGGACAGGCAGGGGGGGTGAGAGCACCCGAAGCTGAACGTGCAGCCCCGTGGGGATGACGCTGCCTGGGCTCCCTTGCAGCCGGGCACCACGATTTGCCTGTCCCTGCAGGAGAGCTGCCCTCGCGGGCGTCCTGGGCTGGGAAATTGTCCTTTCCTCTTGTGAGGGAAGTCTGAGGCTAACCGTTGGGATAGCTGTTCACCAGGCTGCTAGCCTTCTCCCTTCTCTTTGTTGTTTTTTTCTTTCACCACCAGCACATTTTCCCCAAGGGATTCTTACTTGGTAGCAATCTAGTGGCATTGCATAGATAACAGGGAGATGCAAAGGCACAAGATAGCCATGGGTTGTATGTGGTGTAGAAAAAGGGCAAATAGAGAGTTTTTTTCAGGAGATGAAATGTTTCTATTTAACAAATAGATGTCTGGCAAATGCCTGACGTGTTAGGACTAATAAGCATCCTCAGTTTTCTAATACTAAGTCAGGGATAAGATGAAGATATAGAAGGTAAGAACGTAGTTATTCAAAAACCAGGAACTTGAACACGTTCCTGTGGTTCGGACGAGAAAGACTTTCCATCCTACTAGCTCCAGTTTTAGTTCTTTAAAGAATTAATTTGGAAATTAAATCCTCACTCATCTGACTAGTTCTAACTGAATCTACAAGATAGTTCCAGCTCACTCACAGCATGGCTGTGTATTATGGGGAAAAACCCCCAACCTATTCCCTCTAAATTCTCCTGTCTTGACAGGTTACTGCACAAACCTTCTTTTCTGTCTGATTCAGTCAGTCTTTAAGTCAGTCCAGGTTTGCTGATCTGCTCTGTTTGTAGGAAGCTGCTGGGGACAACTCTGAAGTCTTGGATGCTCAGGCAGGCTCAGTGGATGAAGAGAACGGACGACAGCTCGGAGAGATAGAGCTGCAGTGTGGAATTTGTACAAAGTGGTTCACAGCAGACACGTTTGGCATCGACACCACGTACGTGAGCTCTGCCTAATGCCGGGCGTGAAACTTAATGGAAGTATTTAGAGTGTAAATTCCCAAGGACCCTTGGCCACTGGGGGGCCAGTGTGTTATGTGAATTCACCCAGCTTGGTGGGAAGTGTTTCTGTTCGTATATTTCGGCTCTAAAAAAATCATTGTACAGACTGCAGAACTGTCAGAGCCACTCTTGGACCTGGGGCCTTAGAGGCCTGTAAATGTTATTTGAAAAACAGAGGGGGATTCAACTGACGTTTTCAATTGGTGTGAACAAAAAAATCTTCCTATAATTGAAAAGTAACTTCAGCTTGCTTTTTAGAATCTGTGTGGGATTGACCTTAGGCTTATTAAAAACTCAACTTTTTTGGTTGTATTTTCCCCCTGAAAAGTACTCTAGACTTCCAATAAGTTGGAGCTCCTTGTCCAGATTTTTTGTGTTGTTGTCTCTTATTTTGTTGAATGAATTTCAGAATTTCTCTAAACCAAGATGATGACTCTTAGCTTGCTTACATTTCTCTCAAGAGCTTTGTGGCTTTTCTTGATGCTCATGGTAATTGTAATTTGATGGAGATACTGAATCTGTAAGATATTTCTGGTTCTGGAGAGAGGGAGAATAATTAATTTCTTAACCTGATGTAGTGAGGTGTACACCAGAACTCGCAAATCGGTGTGCTCTTTTCCAGGTCATGTCTGCCTTTCATGACCAACTACAGTTTCCATTGCAATGTTTGCCATCACAGCGGGAACACATATTTCTTAAGAAAACAAGCAAGTAAGTGTGAAAGCACATTCCTTGACATTTTGTGCAAAATAATCCTGAAGGCTTTATTTTATCTGAAGTCAGTGGGAGGGTTCTGCTGAAACTTTTCAAAAATTACTCAAAAGTCCCCCATTAGCAAAAAGCATGCATGGCTTTTTCTGAAAATGTTTGGCGTTTTGTTACTAACTTATTAAGATGGTGAAAATCTCTCTGTTTAGCGAGGGCTGCTGAGTTAGGACAGAACTTGTGAGGGTTGTACTGTTGTTCAAGATAGCCACGGATGCTTTGTGCTTAAGTAATCGCCGTGTACGTGGGTGTATGTTTGATCTTCCCTGTGAGTGTAACTCTAGCTCTGGCATATTTTTGTTTTTAAGATCTCAAGGAAATGTGCCTCAGTGCTCTGGCCAACTTAACGTGGCAGTCAAGGACACAAGATGAGCACCCGAAAACAATGTTCTCAAAAGATAAGGTATGGCTATTATAAAAATCATCATGGATTTACGTAAGCTACGATTTCAGTGAAGGGCAAGTTCAAACAAATATTGGCAGTGAGACTTTCAGACCCACGCTGTTAAGACTCAGTTTTGTTTTATTTTTTTACAGGATATTATCCCATTTATTGATAAATACTGGGAGTGTATGACAACACGACAGAGACCTGGGAAAATGACTTGGCCTAATAATATTGTCAAAACTATGGTAAGTATTCAGAGTTAAGTTTGTGGAGGATTTTCTGTGAATGGTACAATTGTCTGACATTTGTTGAGGTCTGGACTTACAGCTAAATGGTGAGGATTTTAATGCTGTTTGTGTAGTTGATGTACTACATATTAATGGTAAACACTGTGTTTTAAACTCTTGTTAATGAACTTGATATGATCTTACCCTGCGGAACTTAAATTCTTTCTGTCTTTTAGTGTAAAGAAAGAGATGTGTTTTTGGTGAAAGAGCATCCGGACCCAGGGAGTAAAGACCCAGAAGAAGATTACCCCAAGTTTGGACTTCTAGACCAAGTATGTAATTAGAGATGGGAAGGTGGTGTGCTGCAGGGAGCTGGGGGAAGGGGTGGGGGGTCCTTTTTGCTGTGGTTTATGCTCAGGCGAATGAGCCAAATCCTGCTGTGAGCCTGTGCTGCGCCAAGCGATGTGTTGGAGGGCTCCAGCACCGGGAAGTGCCGTGTTCAGGCTTTGAGGGGTAAGTTTGACTGAGTCCGTGCATCAGAGTTTTTAATCTCTTCCAGGATCTTGCCAATATTGGTCCTGCGTATGACAACCAGAAACAGAACAACGCAGTATCCACAAGCGGGAACTTAAATGGCAAGTTCTTTAATCGTGTGTTTTTTTAATACTTGGTGCTAAGCTGTATTTTCCCAGTCCTATCGCTAGGCATCTGTGCAGCTACACTAGTTGAGATGCTGCAGTTAAACGTGTCAGGTGAACTGAGGTTATGCTTATTATGTTCAAAACATGTTCAGCCAGTCTCACCGTGCCTTTCTGTAGAGAGATTAATTTTTACCTTCTTGTGAAGGTTCGATTTTTTTCTTCATGGCAGCCAGCTAAATCAAGATGTTTGCAAGAAAGCCAAGCTTGTTGGCTTTCTTCCATAATGATATTAATTTACATACTACATGAGTTAGACTTCCTGTTTCTCTCACTCTGAGATTTGAAAGAAGTTGGGGAAAGTATATATTATTCCTTACCATCGCTGCTTGCATTTTACTGTTGTTGGTTTTTGCAGAAGGATGGCTGTGCTCACAACTTTGGGTAGCTCGCTGAGGTTACCGATAGTAATCTTACTGTACTAACACTAACTGCCAGCGAGATTTCGTTGTGCGAAGGCTACACCGCTCTGTATTGAGCACATTCAGATGGTACCTAACAGGAGGTGTTTGGGGCTTTTTAAAACAGGGTTATAGATATGTAAGGCTGCGTTGTCTCCATTTCATGCACTGGTTGTTTTTTATTTAATTTCTAGAAGATTGACAAATGTGTGGTGCCACTTCTGTTCTTACAGGTGGAGCCTCTTTGGGAGGTGAATATTTACCTTTCAGCTTCTAAAACTTAAGTATTGTTGTTTGCAAAGCTTTCTTGCTCAAGTATCTTAAAAGCTAAAGTCAGTTAAAAACCAAAAGCGTGTCCTGATATGATTGCAATAATACTTTTAGTGCAAAACAACAATTTCACTTTTTAATCTTTAGCAGTTAGAAGCTTTTAATTACCATATTCTGCCCCACTTGACTGATTCAAAGCCTTATTTTCACCTATGTGTGGTTTTGCTTTGACCTGACGCTGTAGTTTTAATGCCTAAGTAAGTGGTCAGAGCCTGGGAGCTGGTATGATATAGTGATTGTTTAGGCGAATGAGTGATGACAAAGAACCTAAATGTTTATCTGCACTGAAACTAGCCAGTGCAGTTGAGATCATGTCGTGTTTGTGCAGAATATGGTATTCCCTCAGTGGTTTGAATCCCTTACACCGTAAGGGGAATGCTGATAATTTAAAAGCTGACTATACTTTTAGTTATGACACAGTATGCGGTTTGTAAAGGTGTTTATCTACAGTACATAAAAATTCTATAGTTTTCCTTGTAAATCAACAGCGATCTTTTTTGAAATAGTCTAATGATAAAAAGCCTATACAATTTAACGTATTAAAACATGATACTGTTAATAGTTTGATTACATTTGACTTTTTCCTGTACTGTAGTTTTACTTATGAGTGAAAACTGGGTGCTGTAGTATGACATGGTACACTGTTCAATTGTATCACTGATTTTGGTAATACTGAAGAGAAACACCTCTCTTGCTTTTCATTTTTCCTCAACTAAGGTGTATTTTTTATTTTATAGATGGAAACTTAAGTGCTTATTGCTTACTGGTGTCGGAGTGTTTCTCCAGCATAGTGTGTCACTGGGATGATGACTTTGCTTAAAATCAGATAGTGTGTGCTGTAGGTTGGGTTTTCTGCTACTTTTGCAGAAATTAATTTGAACCGTGACTGGAATCTCCACGAAAGCAAATAATAATGCTTTTGAAGTGGATCCCAGTGCTGCTGTTTGTAGATCTTTTGATGACAAAAAAAGATTCTTAATTCTCACCCTAAAAGCCTGAGTTGAGCTCATTTTGTTGATAAATCTCACGTAACTTCCACTCTAAATTTAGACATTTCCAAAGTTGACTAGAAGCTACCGAAGTTCTGGATTTTGCTATGCTCATTTTCAAAAAAAGTCCGTGACTGTGGAAGAAGGTACTTGAGCTCATGAACTGGTTTTAGTTTGGCTGCTGCCGCCCCTTTCCGTTTGTGGAGACTCCATGCTCACGGGCTCTCGCTGATCACCAGCTGCTTAACGCGCCGCGGTTTCTGTGTTCAGGGGGGATCGCTGCCAGCGGCAGTGGGAAGGGACGGGGAGCGAAGCGCAAGCAGCAGGATGGAGGGACCACGGGAACAGCCAAGAAAACCAGAAGGTAAGAGGAGAGATGACACGGTGGCGCAGTGATGAGCATCAGGCCATAACCCTGTGGTGCTAGGCCACGTGCTAGAAATTCTTTGAAACAGATGAGTACACGCTCGTCGTACACAGACTCTCGGAAGCCAAGCGGTGTGCAGGCCGTGAGCGCTGCAGGTGCAGCTCTGTGAGAGGTGGTCCTGGGTCTGGGTTGTCTTGCGACTGAACCGTAGCCACCGTGAGATGCCAACCTCTAGTTTTTGTGTTTCACAGCGACCCGTTGTTTTCCGCTCAGCGCTTACCACCCCACGGTTATCCTTTGGAACACCCCTTTAATAAAGATGGATATCGTTACATCTTGGCTGAGCCTGACCCCCACGCACCTGACCCAGAAAAATTGGAGCTAGACTGTTGGGCAGGAAAGCCTATTCCTGGGGACCTCTACAGAGCCTGCCTGTATGAACGAGTCCTCCTAGCACTGCACGACCGAGGTACAACGCTTGCTAATCGTATGCAAGTTGTATAGCCAGCTCTTCTTACGAGGGGCCATCTTCTGTAGCCTCACGTTACCGGTTGTTGACGTTTCAGACATAATTGCTTTAAGAGGTGCAAATGTTAAATCCACTTCTGTATGTTCACTTGCCTTTTGACATCGCTGCCTGTTAGAAATCACAGGTGAAGCGCTCATACCATCTCCTCTCATCTCCCGCAGCTCCCCAGTTAAAGATTTCTGATGACAGACTGACTGTTATCGGCGAGAAGGGCTATTCCATGGTACGAGCCTCGCATGGAGTGCGGAAAGGAGCGTGGTACTTTGAAATATCCATGGATGAGATGCCTCCAGACACAGCTGCCAGATTAGGCTGGTCACAGCCATTAGGTAAACAACTTTACCAAATATTTCTTAGCAGTGGATTCCGCCTAGTTCCTCTATTTCTTTCCCCCGTACTTTAGACCTAAGGAGGGTGAGTCATGCTCAGCTTGCCAGCTGCTTCACTGCTTTTCTTGAGGAGAAGCTCTTTCTGCAGGTGATCTGAACTGTGCGGAACAGCAGTAGGGGTAGATCCTTCAGGCGTGCTTGGCCTTGCCTAACACTACAGTCAACGCGTTTGTACTAATGGCAGTTGTATTTAACTGTGCCCCTGCTGCGCTGTGCATGCTCATGAAGAAACCTTGGTTTCCGCAGGGAACCTCCAGGCACCTCTGGGATACGACAAGTTCAGTTACTCCTGGCGCAGCAAAAAGGGAACAAAGTTTCACCAGTCGATAGGGAAACACTATTCATCTGGCTACGGACAGGGTGATATCCTGGGATTTTACATCAGTCTTCCAGAAGATACTGAGACTGCCAAATCACTGCCTGACACTTACAAAGATAAGGTGAGGTGTGGCATTCACTTTGGGATTAAGTGTTGGTGAAGTGGGCAAGTGGAAAGCAGGTTGCTCTAGGCTCACCTTCTTCCCCTTTGAGTGCATCCTCCCCGTACCACCTCTGGGTGGTTCACAGCGGAGAGGTCCAAAGCATTGCTCTCAAGCAAACAGAATACTCGGAACCACCCAGAGGTTCTGCAAGGGAAGACTCTGCATGGACTGCTGAATGAGATTGCCCACATCTTTTTTCATCTTCTCTTCCCCTCCTGGTTCTCAAATATTTGAGATGTGTGAATCACTCGTCCTGGGTACTCTGACACAACAGGCACGCCTATCCCAGAGCAGGGCTCCTGTAGGCTATTCCTTTAATATATCACTAAAGGTAACAGTTTTTCTGGCGTACTTCTGAAGTGGTTGTTTTGTAACATTTCAGGCTTTGATCAAATTCAAAAGCTACTTGTACTTTGAAGAGAAGGACTTTGTGGACAAAGCAGAGAAGAGCCTAAAGCAAGCGCCTGGAAGCCAGGTGAGTTAAATGCTGGTAGGTGGAGGATGCAGAGCTTCAGGAAGAGTGGAGAGCCTGCTGAGACTGACTTATTGTATGCATTAATTGCTTGCATTTAATGAGCACAAAGGGAGGCTGCTTATTAGTTCTTCATCAAAAACAAGAATACTTTCATTAAAGCAACAATAAATGTGAATTTAGCAAACCAGCTGTGCCCTTTGCTTGTCACTGAAGTAATTGTCTGGCATCAGGTAAAGGGGAGCGTAGGTTAAGCTGCCTCTCAGGGATTGCTCTGTAGTTCACAAGCAAGGCCATGACAGTTAGCATCAATGGTAGAAAACCTCTTTGTTTTTCTTCTCAGATAATATTCTTCAAGAACGGTGCCAGCCAAGGAATTGCCTTTAAAGACATCTTTGAAGGAGTTTATTTTCCAGCTATTTCTTTGTACAAAGGCTGCACGGTAAGTACCATGTCTTTGAAACATCATTCCTAAGTCCATCATAGTTTTAGTAATGCATGGAGTGCGGCAAGTGAGTGAAGAGGAAAGAAGGGAATTATTTTAGTGAAGCAACTCTGGAACAATGCTGCTGTTCACTTGTCTGATATCAAACCCCTGGACAAACGCTCTCCTTTTGTGCCAAGGATCTTTGTTTATGTGGTCTTGCACGGGGTCCAGGTAGGCTCAGGAGTACAAGAAGCTGAGGACTACAGCAATTTGCCTGGTTTTCCTGGATCTAATGATAAATGTGTTTTCTACAGGTTTCTATAAACTTTGGGCCGTATTTCAAGTATCCACCTAGAGATATCACTTACCGTCCAGTAAGTAACGACTGAAGCTTTTTACCCCCCACTTTGTAATGGCCTCAGCATTTAAACAAAAGCGGGGTTGAGATTTTGTTGCGGTTGGAGTTGATTTATACCAAGCCTGTATCCATCCTCTTCAGTCTTTGCACTTGGATTGTGTAGCCAAAAATGATTGTATTTAAAAATATTTAAGGATAGATAGCCTAACAAATAACTCAAATAGCAGGTGCTGTCATTGTTCCTCTTGGGGGGCTGTAAAGTCCCTGTCTGCCTGTGTTAGCCTCTCTTATCAGTAAGAGGGCTGAATTCTGGCTTAAGGAAACACTTGGGAATTTTTTTCCCCACTAATGTTTTCTGGAGGCGAACAGTCCTGGACTGGTGCTGTAGGCCAGAGCTAGCCCCTCTTTGGCCTGAGCCTGTGCTGTCCCTCGTTCCCTTTGCAGATGAGTGACATGGGCTGGGGTGCTGTTGTGGAGCACACGCTGGCAGATGTGCTCTATCACGTAGAGACAGAGGTCGATGGACGGCGCAGTCCACCCTGGGAGCCGTAAACGAAGCAGGCGGCGCAGCGTTAGCCGAGCGGACACGGGGGGAGCCAGTCAAGTGGTTTTTATTACAGAGGGACGTGCAGCACTCAGAGCAACCAGCCACCGAGCAGACAAGCTGAAGCCAACCCAGCTCTTGCTGGCAGGTGTTCTGTGTATCTGGTACCTGCTGAAGCCACACTCTACCGCTGTGCTGGAGTCTAAGTGACTGCAGTTCTAGTATGTATTGTGCTGCTTGTGGGCATCTCACCGAGTCTTCAGGAACTCTTACAGTGTAGCTAGCTGAAGCAGCAAGTATTGTATTGAGGTCACTTCTCCTGTGCTGTACCTGGGTTGTAACAGTCGTTTGTTCAGTGAGAGCGGGCTGGAGTTGGACCTCCCTGCTGTACACACACACCTGCAGAAGCAGCACTGGCCCTTCTGCTCAGCTCTTTGGGCTGATTGTAAACAACTGCTTCCAGCCAGGAGGAGGGTGTTGTAACAAGACTACTGCATGTAAGACTGAAATTTGGGCTTCTGTCCAAACTATTTTTTTTTTTCCCCACAAACTGGAAACCAGTTTAAAAATAAAGGCTTTAACTCTTTTTTTTTTTCTTGTGACTTGTTATGAATGAGATTTAAACTCAAATTAGCTACACTCGGAGATTTCTCAAGATGAAGCTGTGCAAAGCTTTGAATGAATAAATAATTTGACACTTTGTGTGTGTGTCTATACAGGAGAAATAAATTAGAGCTGCTTCACGGAGGGGAGAAGGGAATAACCCCATGTTTTGGGGGAAGGAGGGGAATAAAATTTGAGGTTCAGGGAGTCCAGGTGCTGGTCCTCCTGCCTTCCCTGTCAGGTGTCTGGGACCTCCCTAATTAGGCAAGGCCTGCAGTAGTAGACACCACTGCTTAAAACTTCATTTATTTAGGGAGGTTGCAGGGGCCTGAGTGAGCCAGCACCTGCTCAGCAGAGCAGAGGCAGGACCAACAGCCCTCAGGCTTGTGGTCCTGTGCACTTGCACACTAAGCAGGTGCTGGCTGACTGGGGGAGGTTGCAGGGGCCTGACACTTAGTTTCAATAAATAAAGCTTTACTTATTTATTGAGACGCTCAATTAGTGGTGTCTACTACTCCAGCCTGCGCTAATTAGCCAAGGCCTTGGATCCACCTGTGTCTGTCTCACACCATTCCAAGGCTCCACTCCTGCTGGCAGCGTCCCCCCCCCCTCCCCAGTCGCTGGGGTCAGCAGCTCCCGGCCGCTGTCCGGGCCAGGCGCTCCCGGAGGTGGTTGGCGAAGTCGACCTGGGTCTGGGACAGGACCTGGTTGATGAGGGTCTTCGGCAGCCAGCCCTGGGGAGGAGCAGACACAGCCCGGGAGCCCAGCGCGCCTCCAAGGCAGCTCCCGCTGCGGCTTGGGCGGGATCGCTGCGAGGCTTACTTACCTTCAGGTCGATGCTGAGCAGCCAGACCAGCTTGGTGTGCGACGGGCTGCCGGGCAGCGGGCGCAGGATCATGCAGGTGGGGCCGTTCTCCGCTCTGCAAGAGGGCAGGGGGGCGCCCGTTAGCAAGCACAGCGGCTCGTAGCCCCCAAAATTACAGCCCCGCTGAAGTGCTCTCTGAATGTGGGTTTCCCTCACAGCTCCGGCTGCCCAGACAAACCGGAGCCCCTCCGAAAAGCTAGCGTGTGTCACTACACACCCCCCGAGCGAGGGAGCGCGAAAGGCGAGTACCTTATAAATCCTTCCTGCTCGGGCATAGCCCCGTGTTTCGTGGACGTGCCGGCCAGGACGCAGGTGGAGCCACGTCTCTTGGAGCACCGGACACTCACAAAGTCCCGTGGTCCAACAATGTTACCGGGGGCGGCGGCCGCCTTCTCGTGGGTGATCACCGTGTCCTTTCCAATCTTCTGGAGAATCTGGACGGTTCAGAATTAAAATGTTATTCTGAAGTATTTACGGCATAGCTAAAAGCTAGCTTTGATTACCCTGTGTTCAAGTACACGCTCTTACAAAAACTGGGTGTTTATAGTGAGAAAAATTGCAAATATCTGCTTCATCGCAGAACGTTCATTTTCAATACCTGAAAAGGGAAGGTGTTTTGCTTAATGCTTCTCTTACTCCAGACAAGCTGTGGAAGAGCAAAATGCTCTTCCTTGCATGTTGGGACACGGTGCTGTTTCTCTTCCAGTAACAGTACAGACGTAACACCAGACCTGGCCTGCTACCCTGCAGTAAAGGGCATTTCCTGCAGAATAAGCCGCTACAGACTCCGTTTGGCTGCAGCAGCAACGCGATTGCTGCGGAACGAGCTCTGGCTTCTGGAAGTCTGGCTTCTCCCCTCCCAAAGCACGGGCGGGGAAATCCCTGTGCTCCTGCCGGGCTGGGCAAAGCGATTCTTTGGCCCTTCCAAGGCCCCTCGGAGCAGCACGTGGGTGTGAATCCCGGCCGAGACAGGTCTGACGGGCACTTCCTACCTTGACTTCTTTGACGTTGGGATTCCAGTCCCCCATCTGCTCCATGTTGTCCACCAGCTCGCTGTACACCGCGTCCAGGGGCTGCTCCACCACCACCTCGAGTCGGAACACCTTGCCCGTGTCGGGGAGCACCTTGCTCAGCACTCTGTCTCCGTTACCCTGGCGGGGGGAAGGCAGAATTAACACCACGAATATTTACAGGAGGACCGCGTCAGTCTGCTGCAAAGCAGAGCACCTACCAGCACCGTCTCTGTCTTCCAGCCGTCCTGGTCCCCGAGGATGCTGAGTGATTTCTGGAGGGCTTCCTCTCCTTGCTTGATGTAAGACATTTCCATCTCGCTAAAGGGCTTCTCCTCCAGCCTCGAGCCTACTCGGGATCAGACAAAAGCAGGCGCCAGCGTAAGAACATTGCACAGTTGACTAACAATTCCTAACACCAGATAAGCTTTATCTACATCAAATACACTTCTCCATGCCCAGGGGCTGGGAAGTAAACTCAATTCCCACTGCTTGCTTGCCTTCGAAGGTTATTTAGGAGAAGCACAGGCTACCCACAAGCAGGTTTTCCTCCACCCCCCTCTCCGGAGCCCGGCGCCGTGAGGGTCACCACCCGGCAGAACGGGGCAGACCCCCGTCTGCTGGTCACTTACTGAGCAAGGAGCTTCTTCTGCGAACCTGGTTAACCCACGTGCCAGGTCCCGTGCTGCGGCAGGCGAGCTTGCTCAGCTCCTGGCTGATGGCAACAGCGGCTTGTCTTCTCAGACCTGAGAGCAGAGAGCGCGTCACTCGCCAGCACCAGGCACTGCGCTGCAGAGCGCTTGCTATTCATTTGGGTTTTTTTTTTCAATTTAAACGTACGACATATTGAAAAAGTCTCTGCTTGCCGCCTTTATTGAAGTCCCTACAGGCACAGAGAGCAGTTGACTGCCATTGCACTGCTCCGGGACAGAAGCTGTCCTAAACAAACCCGGGCTTTGCTCCAGGTCTAAGCCACGCAGCACGCAAGGAGCAGATGTCAGTCACAAAAATACCGAGGAGCAATCACGCAGATGCCCAGAAAAGGCCGTAGGAAATGGAGTACGGGAATACAAACCCCTCACAGCCAGCGGGAGCGTTACCTACAGCCTGTACCCTCCACATTCAGCCGCGGCACGCAGCCGTCCCCCTCCGACCCCAGCAGAAGGTCGGCAGCAAAAAGGGCAGCGAGCACAAAAAAACAAAGCACAGAAAGCAACGCGGCACAGGGTGGGGAGAGCACCCCGGAGCCTCCAGCCCCCTCCCGGCCGTGCAGAGGGGCTCCCCCAGCCCCGGCATGCCAGCCCCTCACCGGTCATGTTGCGCAGGTGCCGGTAGGAAATGGCAGCGCAGAGCTTGGACGTGGCGGGCAGCATCTCCCCGGTCCGGAGCGAGCCGCGGGCTGCGGGCGGGTGTCTGTGGCGAGCGCTCCTCTGCCCCGGCCCCGGGGGGAGCTCGGCCTTAAGTACGCCCGCTGAAGGATGCCGGCTTGTCAGCGGGGAGATAAGAGCCATCACTTACGGCGGGGGGGCCCGGGGGGCCAAGGCCAGACCCGGCTCCTCACGCATCTGCCGGGGGCCGCGGGACGCGTCCGGCGAGCACGTGGGCGGAGGCGTGCTGGTGCACCGCGCTGGAGCCCGGCCAGCCCCCGCCGCGGCCGGGCACGGGCAGCTCCCGCAGCGAGGCGAGGGCAGAGCCGCCCTGCCCGGCTCGGGCTGGTGCTTGGCGGGAGATCCCGGTGCCGGGGACGAACCCGGCTGCACGGGGACCGGGGGTGCCCCGGGCGGCTGCCCCCGCGCAGCTCATCCCCCGCGGATAACAAGGGATAACAATCAATTCTGACAGGTAACAGCGGATAACAACGGATAATAACGGATAACAACAGATAACAACGGATAACGACGGACGACACCATCTCACAGCACAACCATCCCGGAACAACCCGAGCCAACCTCAGCTCACGCTGGACACGGGAACCCCCTCCCCGGGGACCTGAGCCCTCGCTGCGGCAGCACGTTAAACCCCACAGAGCGGGACCTCCCGGCACCCACCAAGGCGTGTGGGATCGGTGGGCACCCGGGGTGGCCGTGCACGGCGGGGGCAGCACCGGGGATGCTTCATGCCCAGAGCGTTTCAGAGGGCGCAGAGCCCCGCGCTAACACAGCCAGTCTTTCAGCCTATCTAAAGCTGAATATTAAGTGTATTAAGCTGCTGAACCTGGGGCTGGGAGCAAGGGGCAGCCCCCTGTACCTCCCCCAGCGGCCGGTTTATCTGCCACGGGGCTGGGAGCAGTGGGCAACGGCAGAGCAGCGATAACACTCAAGGATGAGATGACATTTCTGGGATGAGTTATGGCCCCGGAGAGCAGCGCTCCCAAGAACCCGTGAATCACCAGCTGCTTCCTTTGACGTCAGCCCCTGCACCCTCCTGCGGGGAACCTGACCTTCCCCCCCGCTGTTGCAACAACTTGGCCAAGGGGGAGGTCAGCCGCTCGCTGTGCTGGTGGCCTCCTCCCGGGGAGCCCCTCGCATCCCCCAGCCTGCCCGCCGAGCCCCCCTGAGACCCTTTGGGTCCTACCTGCCATCCAGGAACGGTCCCCGCTGCTCCCCGGGGCGGCTGTTCTCCACCGTGCGCAAGAAAAGGCACCTTGTGTTCATGCTGGTGGGGCCAGAAGCTGCGCCATCCCCTTCCCAAATGTTTACTGGGAAATCCCTGCTGCAGCCGTGCTCCTGCTCACCAGCCGTTGCCGCAGGTGTGATTTCGGGGTCCCTGCCGCAGCTCTCCCCCCTCCTGGGCTCTGTCCACCCAGTCCCCACACGCCTGCACACAGAGGGAGGAAAAATCAGGAGGGTTTGAAATCCCAGAGGTGCTGCCGGGAGCTCCCAACCCTGCAGCCTGGAGCTGGTGCCAAACGGGGTCTGCAGTGTCTGGGATGAGACCCTCCGGCACGGTGCCTCGCCCCTGGCCCCCCCGCAGCCCCTCTGCCTTGCTGGAGCCCCCCAGCCGGGGGACACAGCACCGGGGTTGGCAGGGAGACCCCCCCCAACTGCAAACCAGCTGGGACCGTTGTTATCCCAGATGGAGCAGCCGCTCCCGGGCACAAGGCCTCGGCACAAGGACACGCCGTTGTTTGCGAGAACCAAAACAGCCCGGGCAAAGCCAACCCCCTCCAGCTCCAGGCCCGGGGGGGGCTGGAGGGGCATGAACCCCTCTGTGCCCCTTGGGAGGGGACACAGGGGACAGTCACATTGCACTGTGGCACACACAGACCCACAGCCTGCCGCGAAGCCGTGCCGAAAAGTCACCCAGGCACCTCGGGAGGGTCTGGTGAATTGGGAACACCCCCAGGACCCTCACCGGCTCCCGACGTGACCTCAGCATCTCCTCTGGCCATCGCTGAGGGGTCCCACGCTGACACCGGGCTGCCCGCTGCGAGGGGAAGGGGCGGCAGCCTCCCACGGCACCGGGGATGGGATTTGGGTCCCAGCACCTGCCGCGGGCACCGGGAAGGTGCCTCTCCATCGGGGCAGGAGGAAGCACGGCTGGTCTGGCCAGCTGAGCCCATGTGTGCTCCAGCACCGCTCGCCTGCCCGGCACAGGATGAGGCCCCGGCCACAGCTTGGACCTGCCCGGCAATGCCGAGCTGGGGGTGCTGGGGGAGCACGTGGCCGCATCCTGCACGCCAGCAAGGGGGTGCCCAGGAAGACGGCACAGCCCCGCTCCAGGATGGGCACACAGCACCCTCCCACACGCATCCCGTGGGGGCAGGAGGAGGCAGAAAACGCTGGGGGAGGTAAAACAACTGAGAAACCCCCTCTGGGCCCCCAGCCCCCACAAAACGCGCCCCCACCCCATCCCCGTGCAAAGTCACCACGTGGCTCCGTTTGCAGCTTTTAGCTTAAAAATGTACATCCCGGCGCTCAACGCACAAATATTTACAACTTGTTTACAAATGTACAAACCTGGATCGAATGTAAACCAAAGGAGGCAGAGATTCCCCGGGGCCCAAAGGCACGGGGCCCCCGGCACCCGCAGCACGGCCCCCCCAGCCCACGTGCACCATGCAAGGCTGGGGCACCCCGAGGCTGCCCTGAGCTGACCCCTGAGGACAGGGGGAGCCCCCCCCCGGCCCCACGCCCACCCCCACTTGAGAAAATTCCCTTCTCTGAGCCCGTTTCACATTGTGGTGGCCAGAGCAGGAGAGGGGAGGCTGTGTTGCCCCGGGGGGGGTGGGCGCTCTGTCGGGGTGATCCCATCCCTCCTGCTGCAGCATGGCTGGGGAGAGCCAGGGGTGTCCCCCCCATTCCAAGGCTGCCTTTGGTTCTATTTGGAGAGCGCAGATAAAGCCACAGCCCGACCCCCACCCCAGCACCTGCAGAGGTCGAACACCGAGCTGGCGATAAGATAACGGGCTCAAACACAGCAAAAACAGGTCCCTGCCCTGGCCCCTTCCCCTGGCAGCGGCTGGGGGTGGTCCTGCAGGGGGACCCCCCCCCCGGAACAGGCCGGGTGTGCTGCAGGGTTGGGGAAAAGGGGCCAGGGAGCTGCCAAGGTTGGGGTTGGGCAGGTTCTGCTCCTGCCCCATTGCCCCCCCCATCACCCCGTGCCAGCATCCCTCTGCTCCGGCACCCCCAGAGCCCCCGGCCCCCACGCTGGCCCGAGATCACCCGGAGGGGGCACGGGGCAGGGGCTGGGGGCTGCTCGTCCCCGGCGGCTCCCCCAGGACGGTGAGAGGGGTCAGGACGGTGCCGGCACCGTGGCCGGGGCTCGGCAGGAGGAGTTGGCTGCGGGAGGGTGCGAGTTCACGGCAGCCGGGGCGGGGGGGTGGATGGCGGTGCCGATGGTGTAGTCGGCTGGCTGTGAGGGACAGACAGACAGACAGCAGGCAATGAGCTGGGGGTGAGGGGCGGTGGTGGTTCAGGGGGACCCCAGGGCACCCCCCCTTCTCTTACATGGCGCCGGAAGAGCCTCTGCAGGAGGCTGCGCTTGGGGGGCTCGGGCAGCTGCCTCCAGTCCAGGTCGGGCGAGCGGGTCCCGCTGGGTCCGAAGACGTTGAGGTCCTTGAAGCACTCGGTCTCGATCATCTGGGGGGGGGGGTCAGGTCACCGGGGGGGGGGCAGGCACAGGCAGCCCCACAGCAGGGCGGGACCCCCTGCCCCCGGTACCTCGTTCTGCCAGGGGATGGAGACGCTGCCGGTGGCGAACTTGGCGTAGAAATCGTTGTCGGTTTGGTCCAAGTTGACGCCCTTCACCGTCGAGAACTGCTCGATGTCCAGCACGTCCTTGCAATAAACCGCCCGGGGCTGCGGGAGCCAGAGAGCCCTCAGCGGGGGGAGCGGGGCCCGGCCCCCCCCAGGAGGGTGCCCACCCCTACCCTGCGCCTTACGTCCGGCACGAAGGAGGGTGTCATGATGCCAGCTTCCAGGCGCTTGAAGTTGATGGTCCTGAAGAAGGGATGGCACTTCACCTCGGCCGCCCCGTCGGCCCCGCAGCCCAGCCGCTGCTTGGGGTCCTTGGCCAGGAGCTGGGGAGGGGGACGGGTGGTCACGGCAGGGGGGGATGGAGCCAGCCCCGACCCCCGCGGGGACCAGCAGGTCCCGGTTCCCCCAGCCTCACCATCCTGCAGATGGCCTGAGCATCCTCGCTGAACTTGTCCGAGTACAGCTCCTGGTCCTCCTGCACCCGCTTCTCCACCTCCTCCCGCTTCACCCGCTCCTTGCGGGCGCGGAAGGGCGACTGCCCCTCGATCATCTCATACACCAGGCAGCCCAGGCCCCACCAGTCGGGGCTGAAGGTGTAGCGCTCGTTGTTGATCACCTCCGGGGCTGCGAGGCACGGCCCCAAACCCGTCAGCGGCCAGGCACGCCGCGGCACGGGGACCCCCGGGCCAGCCCAAGCCCCCACGCTCACCCATGTAGCCGACGGTGCCCACGCGGCCGCGGATGGTCTCGCCCTCGGGGATCTTGATAGCCAGCCCCAGGTCGGAGATCCTGATGTGCCCTGGGGCGGGGAGGGGGTTGAGGGCATCATCCCAGGGAAGGGCCACCCCCCATCCCCACACGTCCTCCCCGAAGCGCAGCCAGAGACCCATCCCCGAAGCCAAGAGCGTGGGCAGAGCCAGACCCAGCAGCCCCCTCCTCACCATCATCGTCCAGCAGGATGTTCTCCGGCTTCAGGTCCCTGCAGGGACAGACGGACGGCTCAGCACGGAGCGGCCCAGCCCCGCCGCCCCCCGCGCCCGCCCCCCGCTCACCGGTAGACGATGCCCTCCTGGTGCAGGTGCTGGAGCCCGCAGCAGATCTCCGCCGCGTAGAAAACCACGCGCTCGTCCTCGAAGCCGGGGTTGCCCATGTTGTAGATGTGGAACTTGAGGTCGCCGCCGTTCATGATGGTCAGCACCAGGCAGAGCGCGTCCTTCGTCTCGTAGGCGTACGCCAGGCTCACCTGCGTGACCCCCCCCCCAGCCCATCAGCACCGACCACGGCCCCCCCAAACTCCCCGGCCCCCCCGGGAGAGTGCGACACGCACCACGAACCGGCTGTTGACCTTCTCCAGGATCTGCTTCTCGTTCAGGGCCATCGCCTCCCCTTTCCGCTTCTTGATCCGCTTCTTCTCCAGCTTCTTGCAGGCGTACATCTTCCCCGTGGCCCGCACCTGGCAGGCACACACCTGGGGGGGCAGGGGGGGAACGTGGCGGGGGGGGGGGTGAGCCCCCACCAGCCCACCGTTGCCCCCCCCAGCCTCCCCCCGCGGCCGTACCTCCCCAAAACCGCCCTTGCCCAGGATCCGGTACTGCCGAAACGTGTCCTTGGTGACCGACTGCCTGAAAGACACGGCCCCGGGTCCATCAGCCCCATCACCCCCCCACCCCCCCCGCCCCCCAGACCCCCTTGCTCACCTCTCCAGGTATTTCCACTGCAGGAACCGGTCGAAATACATGCTGGCCCGGTAGTCGGCGAAGGGGTCCCCGCTCAGGTATTCGTGCAGGGGGCTGCGGGGGGAGAGGGGACGGTCGGCGTCGCCCGCAGCCCCCCCCCGGCCGCCCGTCCCCGGGCAGGGCGCTCACCGCAGGCAGCTGCTGAAGAGATCCTTGCAGGGGCTTTTCTGCAGGTCCTGCAGGCACCGGCTGGCGTGGGGCTGGCCCACCTCGGGCAGGAAATCGGGGGACTGCCGAGGGGAGCAGGGGGATGCACACCCACGCATCCCACCCACCATCCCACCCAGGCCACGGGTGCCCCTGGGGTGCCTGGGCAGTGGGGACGCAGCTCCCAGCAAGGGACCCCCCCCCTTCACCCCATCCTGCTCCAGCTGCCTGGCAGGGCGGGAAGGGCCCCCCCCAGCACTCACCTCCTGCTTGAGGAACCGGCGGATGATTTCCTTCCCCACCTCCTTCCTCTTCTCATCCGGGGAGAGCTCGTAGTCCGCCTGGGATGCCGGGGAGAGGAGGGTGCTGCAGCTCTGCCCTGTGCCCCCCCGCCTCCCCAAATGAGGGAGCTGCCTGCACCAGGGGCTCACGGTGGGGCTGGCAGCACTGAGGGGGGGGGGTGTCCCCCACGTTTCTCCCCACAGCACGCAGGGAGAGGGGCAGGGGAGTGGGCTGCCAGACCCAGGCCCGCTGCAGCCCGGGCAGCTCTGCTCATTCAAAAGTGGAGGGGGGGGAAAAAAAAAAAAAAAAAAAAAAAAAAAAATGTGTCCTGCAAGAGCTCTGAGAGCCAGCACAAGCCGGGGCTGTTTCACAGGTGTGTGTTTCCCATTAGCAGCCCCCACGGCTGCCGGGTCTCAGCTGCTCCCCCCGAGGCCCCCGGCCAGCCCTGGAAAAGCCGACCCCGCTGCGCAGGGCACCAACGGTGCAGTAACGGGAAACACGGATCATTTTTATGAGGCTCTTGTTTCCCCTTCACCGGCGATCTCCGGGTAAACCGGGCAGCGGTGCGTGGACAGGGTTCTCCAGCGGCGTTTTGAGCTCGCCGAGACAGAGCCCCCTTCCCCTGGCACGCCGCGGAGGGGAACCCGCAGCGCGTGGGGTGGGGTGGGGTGGTCTCTGCCTCCCCGCAGCCCCCTGGGTCCCGCTCCGCAGCCACTGCCCTGGGGCACGCGCTGCAAACCCGCCGCAGGACTCGGCAAAACCCCAACCGGCCCCCATCCCGGGTTAAAACTGCTGCCTCCGCGAGCGGAGCCGGCGCGGGGGGCGTCCCGCGGGGTCCCTCACCGCGGCGTCCAGGAAGCGGATGCAGCGCCGGAGCTCCGGCCGCGTCTCGCAGAACTGCCGGAAGAGCAGCCGGCCGATGGGCTGCTTCTGGCACAGGCTGCCGTAGTCCTGCTCTGCAAGGGAAGGCGGGACGTGCCGCGGGACGTGCCACGCACCGCGCCGAGCACACGCCGTGCCCCCGGCCCGGTGCCCCCCCCCCCCGGCTCACCCAGGCCCTTCCGCAGCTCATCGCACTGGCTGATGTGCGGGAACCGGAGGATCTCCCGCCACTTCTTGCTCCTGCCTTTCCGCTTGCCACCGCCTCCTGCAGCCGGGGTTGGGGGAGAGGAAGAAGAGGTCATCGCTGCCCCGGCCCGGGGGGAACAGGGGGGCAGAACCCCTGCCCCGTCCTGCGGAGCCGCCCAGTTTGGGGTTTCCCCCCCATCCCACCACTGCTGGTCCCCAAAACCCCTCGCTCACACACGTCCCCGCACGCCGTCAGCACCAGGGCTTTGGGAGACTCTAAAGCCACGTGGGAAAACGCGCCCTCAGCCCTGGAGAGGGCTCTGACCCCTGAGGGGACCCTCAGTCCCAAAGAGCCGAGGGGATCCCCACCGGGTCACGGCTCCCAGCCCCGCTCCAGGGCAGGAATGGGATCCCCTTCAGCATCTCCTGGTGCCGGGGGAGGCCGAGCCCGGCGTGTGCAGGCTTCCTCCCCGAACAACGACACGGCCCCGCGTCGCTCCCTCCCATTAACATCTGGTTTCCTTATCTCCCCGCCGAGCCGCTCGCCCCGCTGCAGCAGCCCCGGCCCTGCCTCCTTGGGGACGAGGAGGGGGCAGAGGGAAGGGACGGCCCCGCAGCAGCGGCTGGCGGGAGGATGCTCGGCACGTGAAGTCACCCCTGCGGGGACCTGACATCAGCGCGGCTCCGAGCTGGTGGCCGGCCAGCACCACCCACCACCGGCCCCCGGTGACGCCGGGGCGAGCCCGCGGGATGCCGCGGTGCTGGGCTCCGGTGGGGCCGGCGTTTTCGGCCAGGCAGAGCTTCCTGCTGGGTCCCCGGGCTCCCTGCTTGCCGGCAGCACAGGGACTGAGCACTCGAGGAAGAGGAGCATCCGCCCCCCTCGCCCTGCAGGGCCCAGGCCGGAGCCCCCCGGGAGGCTGGCGAAGGGGTGATGCCCAGCCAAGGACCCTCCACCCGCCCCGGGAGCCGTCCCAGGCCACCCCAACCTCACAGGGATGCTCTGAGGCCACGGCTCCCTCCCCGCCTCTTCCTCAGACTCTGCAGGCATCAGCCCCCAGCACCCCGTCCAAATTTCAATTTGTTTGCCGCAACAATAAAAATAAATTAACGCTCATCACCCACGCTGCAGCGCATCTCCCCCGGCTGAGCCCTGGGGATGGGCTTTCAGCCGGAGCTCTCTTGCGGGCTGGGGGGCGCAGAGGGGAGCTGAGCACATGGGGAGGTTCAGGTCAGAAATGTTTTCCCTCCACGCAGGCTCCTGCTGCAGCATCCTCCTTCCCCGGCCCGGTCCCCCCTGCAGCGTCCAGGCACGGCACAGCCAGGGCGAGAGGGAAGAGCACCACGTCCCCAGTGCGTGTCCTGTCCCCTGCGCGTCCCCGGGTGGAACCGCACCAAAACCGACCCACGGCAAAGCCACCCCAGCCCCCAGCGAGGGCCCAGGGCAACGGGGGTGTGGGGCTCAGCGGGGGACCCAGCTCCTCCACCCATGGTGTGTTTGGGCAAGGCAAACCCCGTCCCGTTCCCTCCCCAGCAAAGTAAAGGGGGAAAAACCTCAAAGTAAAGGGGGGAAAAAAAAAAAAATATATACAATCCTTGTGCTGAGGGGGCACAGCCGGACCCTTTGGTGCTGGGCAGCGGAGTGCTGACAGGGACATCCCAGAGGCATCCCGGCCCCTCTCCCGCAGCATCTTCTGCAGGACAGAGGCCACGTGGGGAGCAGCCGTGCTGGAGCATCCCACTGCTGCCTGCTCCCTGCCTGCTCCCTGCCTGCTCCCGCTGAGAGCCGGTCTCCTGCCAGGCCGCGGGATGCAGCAGGAAAGGTAAAATGAGAAATCGGCGCTCGCCTCAGCCCTGCTCCCCACAAGCGAACCGCGCCGGGGAACCCTGCGAGGACGCAGACGCTGCCGAGCTGACCACGGCAACCAGAAAAGCGGCGGAAAGCACAACAGAAGCCGTTCCCCGGCGTGAAGGAGCCCGCGGGGAGGGGCGTTACACCAACTACGGCTGCAGCCCCCCCGGGTCCCCCATCACCGGTCGCTGTGCGGTGAGGTGGCACCGATGCCTGGTGAGGTGGGGACGCGGCTGCCCCCGCCCCGGAGAGCCATAAAGCCTTACTCACCGCCTGTTATCTCCTCCACGCCCGCACGCTCCCGGGTTTTTATCCCGGGCACTTCCGCAGGGCAGACGAGCCCTTTTGGCTCCCTGGGCTTTTGGGGCCCTCGGGGCCACCAGCCCTCCCTCAAAAGCTCCAGCAAAGAGCTGGGCACAAAGCCCGGGTTGTTTCGGCTGGCCAAAGACCCCCGCAGCCCTCGTGGGGCTGGGAGGGGGGAGCAGCCCCTCCCCAGACCCTCTTTTGGGGGGCAAAGCCCCCGGGCACCCTGCAGCAGAGCAAGGTCCTTTTGAGGGGTGCAGCAGGCAGCGGCAGCTCGGGGAGCCCCCCCAAACCCACAGCCCAGCGCGGTGCTGACACCCCCTCACGCCGTGTCCGACACTGCCCATGGTACAGGACCGCTGCGGCCAGCACCCCCAAAAGCACCGGGAGCGGGAGGTGGGGGGGGCACCTGCCCAGGCCGAGCCCCCCCCCCCCCAGCACGCCCCAAGGATGGAGGAATCTGGCTCAAACGCAGCTTCAGGCTGCAGCGACAGTGCCGGGGCTGGACCTCGCCGAGCCCCCCACGCCTTCCAGCACCAGGCTGGCCCGTGACCCCCACCCGAGCGTGGGGACCCCCCCAGCCACGGCCGGCGGGCTCTCAGCTTTCCGCTGAGGCGGCTCCGGTCGTCCCCACGCTGCTGGGAGGGAAGCGCCCGCCCGGCCGGGACCCGGCCCTCGTCCCGCTCCGCTTCCCGGCTTCTTCCGGAGCCTCTCGCAGCCGTCGCGCACCGACATTAACCCGTTTGGTGCCCGCGGCGGCAGAGCCCCCCCCCCCCCCTCGCCCTCGCTCCTGGGGCCAAACCCCCCCTTCCCCAGCTCCGGCTCGGACGAGGCTCCGGCTCCCACGGGCAGCCGCCGCGCATCCCACGGGACGGGACCGGGGTCCAGCCCCGGGCAGGGCGCGCCGGTGCCAACGCCTGGCCTCGGCCCCAAGCCCCCGACCCCAAACCTCTCCCTCCCCGGCGAGGGCACCGGCACCTCTCCGGCCCCCGCACACGAACCATCCCCGCGGCGAGCCTGCTGCTGCTGCTGGAAGCGACCGCCCTGGGGGTAAGGGAGCCTTTGGGAGGCAGGGATTCCCCAAAAAGCAATGGGATCACCTCCAGCGCCGGTGGCTCTCGCGGCCGTTTGCTTTTCGGTCACCAAGGTTCAGCGACGAGGGCGCCGGTTTTCCAAAGGAAACCAAAAGCAAACAAAGGCGCCCGCGCTGCCCCGGGAGCGGGTGCCAAGCGCCGCTTTTGGAGGGGCTCAGGCACCCGCAGCTTTTTGCCCCCCCAGGCCTCACCCCAGCTCCTGGCAGGGTTCAAACCGGGGCAGCACCCACACACCCACCCACCACCCACACACACCCGGCAGCGCCCGTTTTGCTCAGGCCTGCACCGAACCGTCCTGGCAGCAGCAAAGTTTTGCTCCCGCGAGCCCCGTCCACGCCAGACACGTCCTGCTGGCACGGACAGACGGACGGACGGACGGACGGACCCCGCGTCCTGAGCCCCGGGGCGTCTCGGCACACGCCCCGCTTGGGGCCACGGCACCTAAAGCGCTTTTTCAGTTCTCTGCCCCGCGCCCCTGGCTCTGCGGGGTGGGACGGACGGACGGACGGACGCGTCCCGCAGCGCCGGGGCGGCCGTCCCCTCGTGGGGGCTCGGCGATGCCAAGCGGGACGAGCCCACCCGGTCACCCAGCACCCGGGGTGCCCACGGGGGGGGTGGGGGGGTTGCCCCGGGCCGTGGGGAGGGGAGTGGGGATGCAGCGTGGGGCCGGGGGACGCGGTACCTTCGCGGGCCTTGAGCAGGACCGTGTTGGCCACGATGTTCTCCAGCTCCATGGCGCGGCGGGGGGGGCGGCGGGCGGCGGAGCTGCCCCCCCGCCCGCACACCGTGCCCGGCGGCGCGGGGCGGTCCGGCCGCCTCCCGCCGCAACCGGCCGCCTCCGGGGGGGGGGGGGGGTGGGGAGGAGGAGGAGGGGGGGCGGTGCGTCACCGTCGTGACGTCACGGGCCGCCCCCTGGCGTCATGGCCTTATGTAAGGGGCAGCGCCGCGCCCCGCCGCACGGGAGCGCCCACCCCACTGTGGGGCTCCCCCCCTCCCTCCCCGGTTGGGGGGGGGCATCAGCTCTTTGCACCACCACCCCCCCACACCCCGCGGGGGTGGGGGCACCGACCCCCGGACCCCCAGCATCAGCAGAGCTGCTTTCCTCCTCCTCCTGCCCAGAAACGACACCCCAGACCGACTGGGAGGGGGGGATCCCCCCCGGCCGTCGCCTCCAGCCACCGCGGGCATCGCCGCCCCGATCCCCCCCCTCACCCCAAAGCACCCCCTGCGCCCCCCCCCCCCGCCCCGCATCAGAACAACGAAACCGAAAAAGCCGTTTCCTCCCGGCAGAGATTTTCCATCTGCGGGGGGGGGGGGGGGGGGCCACCGTCTCTATACAGCCTTTTTTTTTTTTTTTTGGTTAAAGTAAGAAATTGCATTTCCTTGTTTACGCCTTTTCTACCACCAATCTCACACTATCCCACGCGAGCCTGCACAAGCAAACACAACAGGGAAGATGCGTTTTCTCCCCAAAAGCAAGAAGCCCCCACCCCAGGGAAAGGTGTTTCAGGGTGCCCGGCCGGGGGGGGGGCCCTGCCCGCGTTGGCTCTTGGCTTTCCAGGATTGCTGCTGCCGGGGCTGCTTGTGCACCGGCGAGCGGGGCAGGGCTTGTCCTGCAAAGAGATGAGCTGCTTTGGAAGAGGAAACCCACCCGTGGGGGGGGCCGCCCCTGCCTCGCCCAGCAGCGTTTCACTTTGTGGGGAAACGAACCGAGAAGTTTTGCAGGGAGAGCTCACTCCGCTCGCCCCCGAGGCTGCACAAAGCCACCCCAAACCCCACCGCCGCACCCCAAGAAAGCTCCCGCCCGACGCCGTCACCCCGGACGGCACCGGGGCCGAGCTCAACGCGAAGGGGTCTCCTACCTGGCGCGGCCGTGCCAGCTCCCCCGAAGCACCGAGGCGAGGGGCCGGGGGGCAGCAGGGCCAGCCCAGCTGCAGCAGCTCATTATCAGCAATTAGTGGGCTCAGCTGGAGGGGAGCAGCTGCAGCCTGGCTGGGGGGAGCCGGCAGCCCTCATCAGGGGGCAGGGGGGGCACCCAGGTCCTGCTCCCCATCCTGGAGGAGGGGATCTCGCCTTTCCTCGGAGTGAGCCGACCCCGTGGCAGGACCGAGGGTCCCGCTCCCCCCTGTGCAGCGCCCAGGTGGGGACGAGAGTTGGCACTGAGGGCGGTCGTCCCAAGAGAGGGGAAAGCGTCTGGTCCCCAACACAGGTGAAACCATTGTTGTTGAGATCAAGGATTTATTTACACGTCAAGGAAAACTCTCACCCAGAGTCCCGTGAGGAGGAAAAAACAAACAAACCCAAAGGACCAAGCAATTTGCCTCCTGAACACGCACACTCGTGCTCCCCAGTGCGCCCGGCCGCCTCGAAGGGCAGCCGAATGCCTTCTCTCCTCCTTCTCTGCAAGGAGAATAGACTAACGGCATGATTATTTTTTTTTTTTTTTAACACAGTTATCTGCGCCACAGAAAACACAACCTGAAAATAAAAAACGCCTTTCCAAAGAGATCTGCCGACGCGCGGGCGGATCACGGAGCACCCCTTGCCGTGCAGGGAAGGTCCGAGGGGCCGCACTCCTAATACTCGTCCAGGGTGTCTGCCCGTGGGACGGAGAGGCCCCGCTCCTTCAGCGCCTGCACCTTCAGCTTCTCTGACTCCTGCTTGGCCTGCTGCTCCACGCGCTGCTCCTCCAGGATCTCCTCGATGGAGACCTGCTGCAGAGGCGTGTCACTCTCCTTCTCCAGGTCCTGCAAGAGAAAGAGCCCCTTGAGCGCTGCACGGCCGGGACACGCAGCCCTGCTCGGGGGATGCCCGTGGGGCAGCTCGGGGCTGAGCCGCCGCCGCCTCTCCCTCCCGTGCGTGGGCTTCGGTGACATCCTGGCGCTTCCCACCAGCGCCTGGCCGGGCTCTGCGCTCCCGGGGAGAGCCGGCGTCGCTGCGCCGCGGGCCAGAGTTGTTGGGGCAGGATGGTTCCCGAGGCACAGCGGGGTCTGCCTCCCGAGCTCGGGGTTTCCCAGCTCGCAGGCAGCCTGGGGATTCGGTCCGGGTTCCCCCGGGGTCAGTCACACGTCTGCACGTCCAGGACAGCCTCCTCCCGGTGAGCCCGTGCCCACCTTCCGCAAGTTCCATCGAAAGGTGGAGGTGATGCACAACAGAGGTGCTAGAGGCACCCCGACGGGTGGGGATGTGGACGGGGACCCCCGGGACAGCCGCCCATGGGAGGGGGCTCCCTGGGCAGCAGCCGGGCTGGACTCAGCACAGGGGGCCGAAGCAAACAGCAAGGACCACGACACTCAATTCCTTCCGAGCAAATCCCAGGCAGTGTCCCCTGGTGCCGAGCCAGCAGGGAGGTGACAGCCCCCCACTAACGACACCCTCCAGCAATGCCACACACGGGCCAGGGCTTCCCCACCCCTCCCTCTGCCAGCCCACATGCTGCCCTTCACCCCTCGCATTGTCTCAGAGGAGCTGCAGCTGCGGGGCACGGGGGCATCTCCACCACAGTTCAGCCTGAACTGGCTCCGGGAGGGGGCCTGGAATTCCAGCCCCTGCAAGCAGGACAGCGACCGTATTTCACAGCAGACAGACAGACACCCCGTGCCGGTGCCCATCTCGGCAGCGCTGCGCCGAGTCACGTCACCACAGACACAACCAGCTCCGTCCCAGACCGCGGCGCCGCTGCCGCGGGCACAACGTGCCGCTCACTTACTATTTCCCCAAGCAGAACAACGTTCTCTCCTCTCACAACGAAGATGCCTCGCGGGATGTCCCCGTACTTCTTGCCCACATGGATGCGCTCCACAGTCTGGTGCAACACCAAGTTTGCTGCAGCAACCAAGAAAGAAAATAACCCGTATTTCGCTGTGTTTTCTAGCTGTAAAGAGTGTCTCACCGGGGGGCCGAGCCCCCCCGAGCACCGTGTGCCGACGACAGCAGAGAAGACAACGGCGTTGTTGGTGCTGCAGGACCAAGGCGCTCAGCTGTGAGCATAAACATCACCCACACGCGTCTTGGGCTCTTTCTGCCCCAAAAGGGACTGCCAGAGCATCAGTGCTGGACACCACCAGGCGTGGGGGGAGCACCCGGTTCTGGGAGAAACCTCCGTGAAGCACCAAATCCCGGGGGACATGGAGGCGGGTGTTTAACCCGCAGCACAGGCACGCTCTAAACCCACGACCTGCGGTCACATTGCTCCACGTAGCAACTAAACCGATTTCTCATAAAACTCCTGGTTCCAGCCAAGGAAACGCGCCCGGCCGTCACTGCAGGCGGGGACCACGACATGGGGAGCCCCCGCCAAACCCGAACTGCAGCCACCGCCGGGGGAGGGAGCGGCTCCGGCGAGCGCAGCCCCGACGGGCACAGGAGCATCACCCAGCTCATGGGAACAGGCACTGTGGGGCTCTCCTCCTCCTCCTCCCCCCCCCCCCCCCCGTCATCCCAGCACACAGGAGCGTGTCCAAAGCCCGGCCCGAGCCCCCCAGCAGCTTCACCACCCGGTGCGGACGTACCGAACTGGTCGATGCTGCGCAGGTACCCGATGAGCGTCCGGCCGTCCCGCAGCAGGACCAGGTGCTTCTCTGTGGGAGGAGGAGAGTGTGCATGGATTGGGGGGGGGGGGTGTGTGTGTGTGAGCCACGACCACGCGTGGGCATTAACACCCCCCCCCCCCCAACGTACAGCGTGGGGAAACCAGCGACGTTAACTGCCCCAGCAGCGCGAAGGGGTGCGAGGATGCCTTCTGCAGCAGCCCCACGCGAGGATCGGTGCCCACAGGGGGGGGGCAACGCACCCTGATGAAAGGGAGGGGGGATGTCCAACTGCCCCACGGGTGGTGGTGGGAAGCAGCACCCACGGGGAAAGAGAGGGTCCAACCGCCCCACGGGGGTCAGCACCCACGGAGAACGAGAGGTCCAACCGCCCCATTTTGGGGTGTGGGGGGGTCCCTGGGGAAAGCAGGGGCTCCAAACCCCCCACGGGGGACAGCACCCACGGAGAGCGAGAGGTCCAACCGCCCCGGTTTTGGGCGGGGGGGGGGCCGGTCCCCGGGGAAAGCAGGGACCCCAACCGCCCCCCCCCCCCACCCGAGGACAGCGCGGGGAGCGGTCGCCCCGGGGGGCTGTCGGTGCGGCGGGGGGCCGGGTCCCCCGGGCACTCACTGTCGATGTCCTGGATGAGGCTGGCCGTGCCGGGCATGTAGTTCATGGTGCCGCCGCGCCGCCCCCAGCGGAAGCGCCGCCATGCGCCGGTGCCGCCGGAACCGCCCCCCCCCCCCCGCCCCGCCACGCCGGGCGGGGCCCACCGCGGCGCTGCCCTTTTAAGCCGCGCCGGCCGTGAGGGCGGGGCGGCCGGCGATTGGCCGTGGCTGGCGGGGGGCCTGGCCGCCGATTGGGCGGCGGCGGGGAGGAGGGGCGGGGCGGGGCGGGGCGGCGGCCATGGAGCCCCGCGACCGCGCCGCTGAGCGGGGCCCGCCGTGGCCCCCCGGGTCCCCCCGCCCGCCGGCGGCGCAGGTAACGTTGGGGGCGGCGACGGCCGCCGCCCCGATCCCGATCCCGGCCGCCCCGATCCCGATCCCGGCCGCCCCGATCCCGATCCCGGCCGCCGAGCCTGGAGCCCGCCCGCTGCCCGTCCCCGGGGGCGGACGGGGCGGGCAGGGCTGCAGCCCTTGTCTCTGCCCCTCTCCCCGCCCCGGTAACGGTAACTGCCCGCCCCGCGGCCACGACCGGGCCGGTGTCGCCCCCTGGGTCGGGCGGCAGCGGGGGGACCGATCCCGGCCGGCTCAGCCCTGCCCCTTCCCTCCCCAAACCCCCCGAGCTGACCCGCGGGGAAGCGGCACCGAGCCGCGACGCGCGGTCCGGACCTGTGAGCTCATCCCCGACCTCCTCCAGACGGATTTGTTTGGTTTTTTATTTTTTTTTATTTTTTTCCTCAGCTCTCGTAGCTTCGTTTCCAAAATTGCGTTAAAAATCTGCTGCCCCGTCCCCTGGGGTTTGGGCAGATGCTGTAACCGGAGAAAAATACATCAACCGGCGAACGCGGTAAAGTTTTACCTTCATATCCGGTTCAAGGTGACGTTTGTAGGGCACGCGTTCGACCGGAGAGCTCACCGGGGAAAGGCCGGTTGGTTTGCGGGTGACAGGGGGGAGCTGGGGGTGACTGACGGGGGGGAGCTGGGCACCGCCGGCCAGGACGGGTCCCGGTCCCCGCTAACCGGCCCTTCCCCCGCGGGAACGTGGGGCTCGGGGCTCCGACCCCCGCCACGGCCCCCTCCTTCAGGGCACGGGGGGGCTGAAGACGGCAGCCACGCGAGCCGTGGCATTTCCACGACAGACTCCCCAAAAGAAAGGAGCCGGCAGCGCCGGGGTGGCAGCTCGGGGTGGAGGGGGGAGAAGTGTCGCCGGTCCCATGACTTGCTCTTCCTGGATCTATTATTTGTTGGTTTTATTGCAGCAATAGCTTTTTTTAGGGGCCGTTGCACAAATACTGTGTGAAGAGAAGGGCTTTACTCTTTCCAAAGAGGTTGTCTGCTGCCCAGACATAACTGCGGTTTGTTTTAATCCTCTGGGACGTGTAGGTTTGATCCAGCGCTTTCATAAATCCCGGCACGCAGGTGATGCAATCCCTTCCCTGTGAAACAGCTCACGGGCAAAAAACTGTTTTGCCCAAAGCTATAGGGAGTCATCCGTGAGCTCGTGAAACCCTGACGCTGAATTGTCTCCTCTGTGGTTAGATGGAAGCTCACGTTCAGTGTCCATTTTTACCTGAATGTGTTCAGGTAAATGCTCACACGTGGTTTGGACATACAGACCGTTCATACGATGAGTTCTCCAACTCGACAGCTCCGGGGTGACCTGAGCACCCTGCCCCTCGGGCCCCAGAACTGGTAGATCTCGTCCGCTTGCATCATTTCTGTTCGCAGACTGAAAGAGGAAAGGAACTTTCCTGGGGAGCTTTTCATCCAGCAGCCAGTGCCTGAGCCTCCCGCTGTGAGGAATGGTGCGCGCGTTTCTGAGCAAAGCTTAGCTGAGTGCAGCGTGGTTAAGCTTAGCGTATCCCCTCTCTTCCCACCCTCCAGACAAATCTGCCCCCCTGCAACGCCCCCGACGCTGCCTGACCCCCCGGCGCGTGCTGCGGGGGCAGTGGGACCGAAGCGTGAGGCGGATGGGCGTTTATTGTGCGGCCAACAGAAAGCCACGTTAGAGCAGGAGAACCTAAAACTGGGGCACCCCAGCCTGGGGGACAAAGGAACCCCTTAGCTGAACGCTGCGGGAAGGGCCAGTCCCCTCCCCGGGCTGCTGCTGGGCCGGGCCGGAGCCCCCCTGCCCCCTGCCCGTGGCCCATCACCTTTCCTCTGCTCTTCCCTCCCCCCCAGGTGATGGATTCTCCCTACGCAAACGGAGCCTACAGCCCCCCGTACCCCCCGGCTCCCGGGGCTGCCCCGCACTATGCCAGCCTGCCGCAGACACGGGGGTACTACTGCTCCGGGCCCCCGCGGACCCCCTACCCTGCGGAACCCACGGGCATGTACCGGCCCCCGTCGCCGGCTCCCCCCTGGAGCTACGCCCCGCCGGACTGCCCCGCCGAAGGGTCCTCTCTCAGGAGGCAGCAGGCTCCTGGCTACTCCCCGTCGCAGGTAAGAGGCCGGGCACCGGGCGCAGCCGTCTCCAGCGCCGCTGTCGGTGCGGCTGCTGGGTTTGCGGTTCCACGGGCACAAGAAGTTGTTTTATGGGGCCGCAGCGGAGGGAAAGCCCCCAGTGCCTCCTCCGTGGGTCCTAACGGCTGTTGTGCCCTGAGCAGCTTGCCCTGCCTGGTTTTCTTCTTATAAAAACTGGTGGCCGCCGCGTTCTTCAGAGACTCCAGGCTTGTGGGCTAGGAAAGCAGGACTCGGGCAGCAAGCGGCTGTTCCCAGCGCTGCCTGGAGGGAGCAGGGCTGGGAGTGATTCCAGGGGTAACGCCTGTTCCGCCCCTCTTCCTGCAGCCCCCCGGAATGCCCCTCCCGCAGTATCCGTACGGAGACAGCAGTCCGGGGGGCACGGCGCAGGGCCCTCCGCCGCAGCCCAGAGCCCCGGAGGACGCGTGGGCTCCCCACACCGTCTATGGGGTGCAGCCGCGTTACGCCTGGCCCTCCGCGGCGGCGCACGGGAACTCCTTCGCCTCCGAACCGCAGCCGCCCTGGAGTGGGAGCGGAGCTCCTTCCCACCTTCCCGCGTGGGACTCGGGACAGGTACAGTGCCCACGCCGGGTCCTGGCCGCGGTCAGACCTCCTCGATTATATGGCTTTCCTCAAAAACCTGCCTCTATCCTGGGAATGCCCCTTTCTCCGAGCACGGTTAGTTCAGATAGAAACAAAGCAGCAGGTATCCAGCGTACTGCCAGCAAAATCTATTTGCATACAGGAGACCAAAATCCGCGGTTGTAATTCCAGAAAGGTGCTGGAGATACCAGACATCTCAGGGCAGGTCTTGAAATGGGTCAGACCTCGTCTCGTTTGTCCAACTCTTCTCTCGCAAGCAGCGAGCGCTGTCAGAAATCCGCCAGCACAGAGTGTGGGACTAACCTGCGGGTCAGTCCTGCAGACTCTGGTGTAGCAGACTCCAGTATTCCTCTACAGGTGCTTGTTTTGGGCATGTTACCGAGGAATGTTTTAAGCACAAAAAATAAGGAAATGATGCATTCGGTGGGGTCCATTCATCTCGGCTTTCTCTGGGTTTGATCAGGAATCAAATGACTCTCCAGAGGTTTGGTCCCCAGGCAGCAGCAGCCCGGATGGGAGGATTTGGGGATGGGGGCTGCTGTTACCTGGGAGCAGCTCCAAAGCGTGGTGCCTGCAGAGAAGTGTCTAATCCAGTGTATCCAGGTGGGACCGTGCTGCCATCTGTTTAGCATCTCCCCCGCTCGTGGGTGACGAGCCAGCAGTGGCTCATGCTGTTCTGCCCCGACACGCGCCTCTTGCCGGGGATCTGCTCTTTAACGGCCAGGGACTGGAGCGTGGGTCCCCCGTCCCTCTTCGGGGACTTCTCACAGAAACCAGCTCGCTTGGCAGGACACGGGGTGCCAGCCCGCGGGGCCGTGATGCGTGGTGATGTCACGGTGTGTGACAGTCTGGAAAATGCTGCCCAGACCCCTGGTAACGTCACGCCTAACCCAGTCTGCCCTGTCCTCCCAGGCACGCACACCTCTACGCGGCCGCCCGCTTCCCTCGGCCCTGCCCGCCTGGCTTTTTGAGTGCGAGATTAAAACCCTGGCTTCAAGGGAAATGCGCTTCAGGGTTTTTTTTTCTCCTTCTGGCTGCAGGATACCGCTTACGAGGCGCCCGAGCGGGGCGCGCACCAGCACAGCTACTACTGCGAGGTCAGCCCCCAGCACCCCGGGGCGGTGAACGACCAGGCGCCGGGCGCTGCGCGCCTCGCCGGGCCGCCCGCCGCCAGCCCCAGGGTGCAGTACAGCGCGCAGCCCCAGCTCTACGGCGCTGCATCTCGGAAGCTTTTGGCTGGGAAGCGGGAGGCTGGCTTTAAACCCGGTGACCAGCCTCCGGCAAATTCCGCAGCCTTCCAGCCAGAGATTCAGAGAATCCTCCACGTTATGGGGGAGGCCGAACAGCTGGAGCAAGAGGTGGATGAGTTTGTAGGAAAAAAGACAGATAAATCCTACCGGCTGCTGGAGGAGATGTTGACCAAGCTGCTGTTGGAACTGGATTCCATCGAGACTGGTGGCCAGGACAGTGTTCGGCAGGCCAGGAAAGAGTCCGTCCACAGAATTCAGGCCATACTGGAAAAACTGGAAAGAAAGGGATTGTGAAAGCGCATCAGCCATAACACACAGCCTGTTGTTGAGGTTCCAAAGAGTTTTAGTTCTGTTAAATCTCAGCTCTTTTTGCTACGCACTATTGACAATGGAATAGCAATAAGCCCCGAGCTAAAAAAACAAAAAACAAAACGAAACAAAGCCACCAAAAAAACCACCCAGAAGCCCAGCCCCAGCAAATAACTTGGCAGTGGACAAATTAAGCAAATTAAGGTCTGAAGCAACAAACTAACTTGTTTGTTTGTTCCAGGCTTTGGAAAAGCAGAACCACTTGAGGTACTTACACTGTAGAGGTCTCCGTGGGGGTCCACCTCCTCTTCATCAGCAGGAAGAAAATCCCGGTACAAAGCTGCCCACACCAGGCCCGATCTCTGGGTGCCTCCTGCAGCCACAGCAGTTCTTCAGACAGCCGGAACACTCGCCAGATGTGGTCGCAGTGGCACAGCTACGTGCAGCCACAAACCGAGACTCTGGGCTTGGCAGTCACTGCGTGTATTTCCAGCTTCAGCTTCCTCGCCATAAAAACGTGTGTCGTCGTGGGGTTTTGTTTGGCCTTAGTGCACTCGAGCAGCGACACTGACGTGCTGTAGGCAGGGACCACGCCGGCAGCCCGTCAGGGCAAGCAGACATCACAGCGTGCTGCTCCTCCTCCGCCGCGAAGAGCCAGGCCGTGGTGTCCCCCTTGGGCACGGGCCTGGAGATCTCAGTTCTGCCACTGGAACGGAGAGGTGCAAGCAAAGGAACAACGTTAGAGCAGAGCAACCCAGAACAGCAGGATGCTTGGAAATGCTTTCCAGGTCACTTGGGTAAAAGATCCACTTTTTAACTGTAATGTCCTTCCACATACTGCGAGTTTTGTATTCCACTGCAACGGCCGTGCTTGTGGCGCTGTACAGGACGGGGGAAGGGAACGGCTCAGCCTACTGTTAACCTTCTGGTCACAATGTGTTAAGTGAATCATTACTCTGTGTGACGAGATAATAAACCCTGACAACTTTAAAATGTTATTTTGTAATTAAGACGTCTCGGTCTCTTTTCTTTAAAGAGAAGGCGTGGGCAGGGCTGTGTAACAGACCTGCCTGTGACCAAAACGCCAGCCAGGCTGTCTCAGTGGTTAGGGACGAATGCAGCGACCTCCAGGAATGCCTGTTTGGGGGATGCCGGGGTACAGTGACCCCCAGCGCCCCCCAAGCAGCGCGGGTGCTCCAGGAACCTTCAGCCGTGGCGCTGGGGCTGGTGGCCGTGTGTTGGAAGGGGTCTGGGGGGGGGGTGTCTTGGCGTGGAAGGCACCCGGCAGGTCCCACGTCCTTCCCAGACCCGGCTGCGCGCGCGGGACTGACCTGCAGCTCCTTGGCCGTGCCCGTCCCCACGTGCGGCGGTCGGCCCGTGAGCCAGGAGAGCCCCGTGTCCGGGGACGAGGGAAGGCTCGGCTGCTGTTTCATCTCCTCCTCTTGCCGGGCAGCGAGCAGCTGGGCCAAGCCAGCCGTGCGTCGGACACAGCATGAAATCGGATTTCTGAGGGTCGGTGGCTGCGCTGGGGGAGGAAGCAGGTCACAAGGAAGAGGCTGAGGCCCCGTCACTGCGGTGCACACAGAAAGGGACGGCCCAGCCCCACTGAACGCCACTTTTCTTTCGCTGAGAAAGGCAGCAGTGTCAGCAGCCTCTCCAGGAATTAATCTGTGCTTTGGGTTTGCTTCTTCTTGTGAAAATACTCATGGTAGGGATGGTTTCCACACAACCAGCCCTGCTACCAGTGGCTCTTTAAACCCAGAGGAACGAAGAGCAGCACTGTGGTGTCTCTACCCCTTTTGGTTCATCTTATGGTTGAGCCTTGTTAAATGCTGCCTCTAATGTCCTGAAACCTTTCTCAAGAGACTGCTGTGTGTTCACTGAAGTAGTGTCATACAGTAATAACTTTACTTAGGTTTTTTTAAAAGGGAATATAAGCAACAAAAAACATCAATCCCTCATCAATCACACAAGAAATGCTTGGGGTGGAGGCAGAAAGCTTGTGCCACAGGATTGCTAGCAGACTCAATTCCAGGTTTACCGAGTCCTGTTCTTCTGATCCTTCAGCATTTCCCGCAAAGTTTGTCTATAAAAGGCTGCGAAGGAGATGGAAAAGTAAAGGAGGAATGTCAATACCCAAAGAGACCTAACTTGCCACTTTCTAGAAAAGCCAAAGACTGAAATTCCAGCCAGCAGAGCGGCACAAGCCGCTGGGCTCGTGGTGCTGGGGTGCCGGGGCAGCAGCCCGAGCCACGCTTCGCACCGGCAAAGGCTTCAGCGGGGCTTGGGAGGAGCGCGCTGGTGACGCAGGAGGGGAGAAGAGCCTCTGCGGCATTTCTCCGCGGTGCTCGGGGCATGACTGAGCTGAAGGTGAGATGAAAATTGAGACCACCCCACGCCGCCGCTTCGCTCCCCAGCCACTGCAGGTTCGGCACCAAGTCCGGGCCACAGGCTCGCCTCGTTTGTGCTCTCTAGGGAATTACCAAAGAGCTCATTTCTTCCTCTGTTACCACATTTGGTTGGTTGGTTGGCACGGCTCTTGAAAGAAAGGTTCGGATTCCCTTTGTGCAGGATCTAGCCAAAGCCTGAAATTTGCTGTTGCAAGAGATGGTGTAAGTCACACTTCAGCACAGAAATTGAAATCAAGCAGCTCGTCAATCTGTGCATATTGACTTCTACAGCACAGAGAGCTGCTAAAGGGCAGCTCGCGGGGCAGTCAGTCCTCCTCCACACCCCTCCGAACCGCCGGCTCACCCCTGCTCTGCCAAAACAACCCCTTTATAAAACCCCAGCGAGCGTGGGCAGGACTGCAGCCTCCCTTCAAGCCTGCCCGCAGCCCCGGGAGCTGCTGCGGCCGCCGGCGCCGGGGCAGGCCTCCCTCCCCACCACCCACCGGCTTTCACAGCTCCTGCTGCTGCCACGGGAGTGAGGTGGCGACAGGCAACCCGGGCACTGATGTGTCAGCCCTGCTGCTTTTTTGAGGACGTGGTGCTAGCAGCAGAAGTGCTGCAGCAAGTCACTGCTTACAGGTACATGGAAAGAAGCAGCCAGCAGCCAGCTTTGGTTAGTCTGGAATCGCAGAGCTGGCTGGAACTTTATTTTCTGTATTTGTTCCAGTAGCAAGAATTGCATCAGGAACAAACTGCATTGTTTACTGCATCCTGTTCGCTCTGATCCTCATTTCCCTCCCCTGTCAGTTGCCAGGGAAAAGGGGTAAGCCGGTTCTGGCTGTGCGAGGAGGAGTGTGGAGCAATCCTGATACCTTGCAAACTCCGTAGCACTGCAATGCAGTCAGCTAGGAGAGAAGAAAAAAACATTCACTGAGCTGCTGTATCACCAGCGCTCTGTGGACTGGGACAAAGGTTTCCTGCCGTGGGTGATGTGGTAAGAATGATCCCTTTATCTGTTCCTAAGAAAAACTGAAAGTGGGTGCGTGGCATACAAGCCAGACAAAATCTGGGAGGAAGGAGAGAGGAAGGTTTCTTCTTTGGTGTTTTGGTGCTGAACCTCTCAAGGTAACGTACTCCTCTACAATATTTCCTCTTCCGGAGTTTAAGTCCCTGCGTGTGGGAAGGACTTGGCAGAGGGTTATATAAACCTCAAGTTGACAGCACAGGAAAGACCATTGAAAAGCGGGCTGAGACGGCTGGTTATCATTTCAGCAGGGCTGGTTATCTGAACAGCTCTGCGAGAAGTCGCGGCTGCGTATGACGGTTCTGCGTCCCTCGGGCAGGCAGTGGGTGTTTTTTGTGTTCCCCCCAAAGCTGAGCCGAACCGAGGGCAGGGCTCGGGGCATACCTTCCACACGGCAGCCTGCAGAAAACTCCCGCTGACGTAACCGCATCCGTCCCCGCTCCTGCCGCCTCCTGCAACACAGGACCAAAGTGGGTCACGGCTCGGACGCCGATCTGAAAGGAGAGAGACGCTGCAGCAGAGCGCGGGCGGGAGCTGTGTCAGCGCCGAGCCACGGCTGCACGCACAGGGTTCACGGCCATTTGCTCTGCCGACGCAAAAATTAGGATTTTAGCCTTTCTGGCCATCCAGTCTTCCCAGCCAGCAACTGCCGTGGCGGAGGTGAGCACCGGGATGACGATTCCTGGCAACTGGTTTATCTTGCAGCATCCACCCACATCGCAGAACCCCAAATTAGAAAGCGTGGCCTGTTTATCACGAGGCTCATCTCTACAGAAACCATACTCTTATTCCCGGGTTGCCTGTCGCTTCTGCAAGCAGCACGCACCATCTGAAGAGGGTTTCTCAGTCTCCACTAAGGCGAAAGGGGCACGGAAGGGTTGAAAAACAAACGTTAAATCAGAATCTCGTGGCTTCCACTGCAGAGCACCCTGTGCTCAAGTGTCTGTCCACGCTGCTCGTGGGCGGCCACCGGCACGAGGGCACGTGCTTCCCGGCGACGCCGCGCCGGCTCCGCGCACCCCTGCCCGCCCGCCCCCGGCTTAGGGCCACAACGACCGGCCTGAAGTCAAGGCTTAGGCCGGAGAGTCCTAATTAGCGCTGGCATCGCCCGCCTGCGCCGGCGTCTGGGCAGGGATCCACTCGGGCTGCTGCCAGCGGCGAGGGCTGCGCAACCCTGCCGAGAGCTGCGGCTGCGGGCAGGGGCTGCGGGCAGGGGCTGCGGGCAGGGCTGTGGGAGGGGGCTGCGGGAGGGGGCTGCGGGAAGGGGCTGCGGGAAGGGGCTGCGGGCAGGGGCTGCGGGCAGGGGCTGTGGGAGGGGGCTGTGGGAAGGGGCTGCGGGCAGGGCTGTGGGAAGGGGCTGCGGGCAGGGGCTGCGGGCAGGGGCTGCGGGCAGGGCTGTGGGAGGGGGCTGTGGGAAGGGGCTGCGGGCAGGGGCTGCGGGCAGGGGCTGCGGGCAGGGCTGTGGGAGGGGGCTGTGGGAAGGGGCTGCGGGCAGGGGCTGCGGGCAGGGGCTGTGGGCAGGGGCTGTGGGAGGGGGCTGTGGGAAGGGGCTGTGGGAAGGGGCTGCGGGCAGGGGCTGCGGGCAGGGCTGTGGGAAGGGGCTGTGGGAAGGGGCTGCGGGCAGGGGCTGCGGGCAGGGCTGTGGGAGGGGGCTGTGGGAAGGGGCTGCGGGCAGGGGCTGCAGGCAGGGGCTGCGGGCAGGGCTGTGGGAAGGGGCTGTGGGAAGGGGCTGCGGGCAGGGGCTGCGGGCAGGGCTGTGGGAGGGGGCTGTGGGAAGGGGCTGTGGGAGGGGGCTGCGGGAAGGGGCTGCAGGAAGGGGCTGTGGGAGGGGGCTGCGGGAAGGGGCTGCGGGGGGGGGCTGCGGGAGGGGGCTGCGGGAAGGGGCTCAAGTCAGCAGCTGCAGGAAGGGGCTGCGGGCAGGAGCTGCGGGCAGGGGTCTGGGCAGGGGCTGTAAGCAGGGCTGCAGGTCGGGGCTGCAGGCAGGGACTGTAGGCAGGGGTCCGGGCAGGGGTCCTGGTCTGGGGTCTTGGTCTGGGGTCCCAGCTGGAGTCTGGGCAGGGGTCGGGCAAGGGTCCGGGCAGGGGCTGCAGGTGAGGGTCCGGGCAGGGGTGCGGGCAGGGGTGCGGGCAGGGGCTGCGGGTGAGGGTCCGGGCAGGGGTCCGGGCAGGGGTGCGGGCAGGGGTGCGGGCAGGGGTGCGGGCAGGGGTCCGGCAGGGGTGCGGGCAGGGGTCCGGCAGGGGTCCGGCAGGGATGCGGGCAGGGGTGCGGGGAGGGGTCCGGGCGGGGTCCGGCAGGGGTCCGGCAGGGATGCGGGCAGGGATGCGGGCAGGGGTGCGGGGAGGGGTGCGGGCAGGGGTGCGGGCAGGGGTCCGGGCGGGGTGCGGGCAGGGGTGCGGGGAGGGGTGCGGGGAGGGGTGCGGGCAGGGGTGCGGGCAGGGGTGCGGGCAGGGGTCCGGCAGGGATGCGGGCAGGGGTCCGGGCGGGTTCCGGCAGGGGTCCGGCAGGGGTGCGGGCAGGGATGCGGGCAGGGATGCGGGCAGGGGTGCGGGGAGGGGTGCGGGGAGGGGTCCGGCAGGGGTGCGGGGAGGGGTGCGGGCAGGGGTCCGGCAGGGCCCGGCTCGCTCCCCGCCCGCCCCCAGCCGTGACGGCAGCCGCGGCGGGGCCGGGCCGGGCCGGGAGCACCGCCCCGGGCTGGGCGGGGGCCGGGGCCGGGGCCGGGGCCGGGGCCGGGGCCGGGGCCGGGACCTGCGCTGCCGCCCGGGCCGGGCCGGGCCGGGCCGAGCCGCCGCAGGAGCCGCCTCGGCACCAGGTGGGGATGGGCGGGCGGGGGGGTGCGCACCCACGGACACGCGTGTGCGCGAGGGGCGGCGGGGGGGCGGGGGGGAAGCTGCCCGCAGGGCCCGTGCCCCCCGCGACCCCCCCCCCCCCCCCCCCCAGCGCCGCCGCCCACCCGCCGGGGCTTCCGTGGTGGTGGAGGCGGGGAGCGTTCTCCATTTACGCCGGAATAAGCCTTTCCGGGGCTCGTGACATTCACCCACTCGCGTCTCCCGCGGTGTCTGTGCAGGAGCATCATGTCGGCTCGGGAGCGGCCGCAGCCCCCCGCGCCCCCCGCCGCCGAGGCTGCGGGGCCGGACCCCGCGAACCGGTACGACGCGGTGGTTCCCCACTGGTTTTACTGCAAGGTCACGGACGGGAGGGAGCGGTGGGTCCCGTTCAGCGCGCAGGACTCGGAGAGGCTGGAGGAGGCTCACGGCTCAGGTAAAAACACACGCTCGGGCTGGGGCTGCCCTGCCGGGAGCCACGGGGAAAACTCCATCCACCCCGGCGGGCTGGGGGACGGCGCAGCACGGCTTGCCTGCAGCTCCTATCGTTTCTATTTTTAATTTGCCCTTTGATTTTAAATTCCTAGTCCCTGCTCTTAAAATCGCTGCGAGGAGCATGGCCTGGGAAGGGCAATAGGAGAGCATCAGGTGTGCGGTCAGGGGGAGAGCACTGTCTGGCTGTCGGAGGGAAATTCCCTGGACACGTCCCTGGGCTTCTGCCTGGGATGCAAAATTTTCCCCCGGGAATTTTATTTTGGGACTTTTTTTTGGCAACGTGCCTACTCGTAGAGCTGTAAACGCATGAATAACTAAACTGCTTGGATGCATCGAATGGTCTGACCTCATTCATTTGATATATGCTCTAAATTATATATACTCATACTGCAAAGCACCCTTCCGACGTGGATGGGAGCGTGCTAGCAGGACGGCAGGAATCCCGCTGGGGAGCAGCTCCCTGCCCCGGGAGGGTGCTGCCCGGGCCGCGGGCTCTGCTCCCAGCCCGGCTGTGCCGCCCGCAGCCCCGGCTGCGCGTAAAGCACCAGGGCTGCTCCCGTCCTCCCCTCCGAGGAAGCTTCGGATTCGAGGCCGGGCCGGGCGCAGGCTGGCACGGGGGTGCTCTGCCAGCGGCCCGGCCAGCGGGCAGGCCCCAAAGGCAACAGAATTAACAGAACTGGAAGTCCGTATTGGGATCTGTGCGGAGTTCTCTGGTTTAGGGGGGAATGACTTAGAGATCCGGGGACCCGCACCTCCACCGGTAAGCACTGCACTTCCCAAGGGCACAAATTCACATTTTACCATCTAAGCAAGGCAGGAAGAGTCCACGCCAGCCTGTGCCTGAGCTAGAGAGGAAGACGGTTGTAGCTGAGTGCCTTCATCTTACCTTCTGCCTCTGGGGGAAGTCTGACTTGGGGCATCTCTCCTAGGATGCCCGCCGACGCTGTTCTCTTGTGCTTGGGTGTGGAGAACACTGGTGTCCGCTGCCGGCACTCGTACATGCTCGTGTGTGCTGCCCACAGAAGACGCTCCAGCCTCATCCCTCTGTTCTGGCGTGGCGTACAGCTCTCCGATAGCGTGTCTTTCTGGTCTTCTCGCGATTAATTTCAGGCCTTGGTTCCTGCAGGGAAAGACAAAGAAGATCTGGTTATCCAAACGTCGGGGGGTCGGTACGACGTGCACCTGAAGAGGAGGCAGCGGGTCGCAGTGTACTGGGAGGAGGAGGTATCCGAAGTGCGTCGCTGCACCTGGTTTTACAAGGGAGACAAGGACAACAAGTACATTCCCTACTCGGAGACCTTCAGCGAAGAGCTGGAGGTGAGCACACCTCTCCTGGTAGCATCCCTCTTGCCGAGAAGCATCTTGGCTTCTCACTGTCAACTACTGGCCTCGATGTCCCAAGCTCCATATGGGGCAACGGGCACCACAGCCATACCTGAGGGCAATGGGCTCGGAAGAGGCTTTGGCATGGCATTTTTGCAGCGGATTAACAGCTGTAAACACAGCCCCTGTCTCCTCCCTCCCAGCCGGCTGTAGCTGGGTGACCTCCCCTTCCTCCTGCTACACGTTTAAGTGCCCGGGTGCTCTTGGCATGCTCTGCAGCTCTGGCCTTGCTTGCAGTCTTTGCTCTATTTTTTCCTGACCCCATCTGCTCTAACTTCAGTTTGGCTCTCCTTGTGAGAACTGTCCTCGCTGTGCTCACAGTTTCATCAAAGCCAAGGGAGTTGTGAATGTAAGAAAGGGAAATCATCGTTACGGGGCACACTGAGCACTGTGTAGTGTTAGAGACTTCAGTGGTCTGTACTGTTAATGGCTGCAGACTTTGGAAAGACACATATGTAGATGTATACATCTTTACAAAATCTGTATTCTGATGTACCAAAAAATACAATTCTAAACTGATGGGGAAGTCTGCCGCTGCTATTGAAGTGGGGGCTTCTGGAAACTCTTTAGGCAGGTGAAACTCCTATGACCCTACTTGCTCCTCCAGCTTGACCTGGCTGATTTCTCTGCCTCTTTTGCACAGTGTGTTGATAAGAGATATCATTAAATGGGTGGGGAATGTCCCCAGTGGTTGAATATTCATGGGAATATCTCAGGCTGACTCACGGAGGGTGTTATTTTTCTTAGGAAGCTTACATGATTGCTGTGACCCTGGATGAGTGGAAGAAGAAACTGGAGTCCCCCAGCAGAGAAATCATTATCTTGCACAACCCAAAGGTGAGGAGGGCCTGGTGATCTCTGTGTTGACCAGCAAGGACATCCCTTCAGTTCTCTTGAGAGCCTGGCTTTATGCCTGTGGCTTTATGCTCTTTCTTTTAACTATGTCTGCTGAGAAATCAGCCTTGTCCAACTGGTGTTCCCCAGGGCAGCAGAGTCTGCTTCACACCTCAGCCTTTCTTTTCGACACACCTTCCACTCCCTTTGTGCCAAGGGCTCGTACCAGCACAGTTAAGCGTCGCAGTCTGGTACCAGCCCCTGTCACCTACCAGCTGGTGCAGCAGCATTTCCCCGCTGCTGAAGCACGGTGCGCCGCGCGGCCCAATGACAGGCTCTTCTTGTTTACAAGCTGATGGTGCACTACCACCCGGCTGCCACCTCTGATGACTGGGGCTCAACTCCTATGGAACAAGGTCGACCTCGGACTGTGAAGAGAGGAGTAGAAAACATCGCTGCCGAGATCCCCAACGGTGAGCTCGCTTCTCCCTCCCTCCCCCTCCCTCCCTCCCTCCCTCCCTCCCTCCCTCCCTCCCTCCCTCCCTCCCTCCCTCCCTCCCTCCCTCCCACCACCCAGAGCTACAGGGTCTGTTCCCCACCCTGCTTTCTCAAAAAGACAGGAGCTTCCATGATCCTTTTAAACAATGGACGCGTCTAAACATTTCATGCTGAAAGGAATGGAATGGTTTTCAGAGACTTTCCTAGCCCCAGAGAGCCTGGAGCGTGAAGGAACGTGCTGGGGAGGCAGGCGCGTGGGTGCGCTTCCAGCTCCTGCGCCGAGGCCGGAGCGGTGGAAGGCGCTGCAGGGCCTGACGTTTCCCCCGGGGTTGGCGCTTACCTTCACAAAGGGGGAGTTCCCTTCCGTGGTAGGGACGCGGGTTTATCACCTTCGTGCCGGTGACTTTCTGGGGCACGTGCTCTCCCCATCTCTGAAGCTGTACGTCAGCTCTGCCCCCGAGCTCCCGGCCAGGCCTGGGGACTTGTCCCCGTGGTGAGGACAGGCAGTTACGCCCGTCTAACCAGGAAAGTACGTGTGCAAACTAAAGTGTGTGGGACGCAGGGAACGAGGCGTAACTCTGCCTGGTGCCTACCCGAGAGCTGCAGCTCCGCGGGGGCCGGGCGGCTCCGCAGAGTGGGCTGCACACGGGGCAGCTGGACCGAGTCCTCTGGTCCTGCCCTCCCGGGCCCCACGGCCCCACGGCCCGTGGGCCTGAACTGCGAGGAGCAGCCACTCCTGCTGAAGCGAGGACGGCCACAGAAGGGCGAGTGCTCCTGAAGCCACCTTGCCTTCCTCCGCTGTCCCGCCGATCCGGATCCATCCCAGGCTGGGCAGCTGCATTTAGTAGTACAAACAGTTCAGAAACGTGAGAAATCCCACTACCCTCGAGGCACAAAACCCAAGCACTAACTCAAAAGGTTTTGGTTTTTCTTCTTGCCTGGCTGAGGTGAGGACGGGAGGCTTCGCTCTCCTGCAGAGCACGTGGCTTCAGCTCCCCACAAAGTGATGTCTCCCGCAGGGCCCGTGCTCTGAACTCTTCCTTCCTCCTTAGGAGAGCCGCTGCAAATCGATCACCTGGTTTTCATGGTGCACGGGATCGGCCCAGCGTGCGACATTCGGTTCAGGAACATCGTCCAGTGCGGTAGGTGTGGAGCCCAGCCCTTTCCATACGCTGCTTTCAGCGGAGCCAGGGAGCCCTCATCTGCGGGGACGTGCGGAACGCTGGCGAGCGCATTCAGGCCCTGCCGACACGGGCGCTGGCGCCGGCCAGCTGCACGGCCCAACCTGCTGACTGCAGCGGGGAGCGTGAATGCAACTCTCACTAACCCGTGAAATCCTACCATCTGGAAAGGTTTGGGCAGCCACTTTCCATTACTGTGTTGTGCTGCTGCTCAAAACAGTGAGTTTTCCAAACTGGATACAGATTTTCCAATTAATTGCCTAAACCTGCTAAACTAATTACTAACCTGCTCTGTCTACTTCTACGGGTTAATCTCACTGGGTGAATTCTAACAGTCTCTGGAGTGATTTTGGACCAAAAGCAGGGATGCTGCTTCTGGCTCAGGAAATCCCCAAGCTGCAAATGCCTGGAGGTTAGGAGAGCATGTGAGGAAGTATCGCTGGTCTTACACACTCCTCTAAGCACCCACTGCTGATCAATATTGGAGACAGGGTACTAAACCCAGGGCCTCTGGTCTGACCCGTTCATTGTTATTTGCTCCGAGTGCTTCAGTTCTGTAGGAGAGGTGCTCATGGAAACCGCCTGGAAGCCCGACATGATTTAACTTGTAGAAATCAAGGGAGCTGAGATTTTTCACAGCAGACTGGCTTTAGTTCCTATAAAATATACCTCTGCTTTATTGCGGCCTATTCTTCTAGATGTTCATCTGATTAAACTATTTTCAAGGCTGCTGACCAACTGAAATGAAGGAAATCAGCCCTTCTCTCTCAGAACCGAAGGAGGAACTTCAAGTTCATCTCCCTTAGGATTCCCTTTGTAACACATGCATCTTTGCAGCAGATTTATTTCTTTCAAATTCCCGAAAATAACGTTCTTATCCTGACTACTGTGTTAAAGCCCTGGCCATGCAGAAAGGAGGCTTGTTACAGATGGGACAGCGAAATCCAGTAAACACACATGTAAGGACATGGAGCCTTCCCCTCATCTTGTAGTTAAAGATTCAGGGTCGTAGGGTAGCAGCAGCAGATTAAAGACCCTGGCGGGATTTCCCCTGGTAACGATCTTTCCTTTTATCTTATTAAGTGTTGTTGATGCAGCAGGCTTGCCCTGCAGCCTGGTGGATCTCGGTAAGAGTTGGTGCTCTTTTCCAGTGAATGTCTTCAGGAACGTTTCCCTGAGCATGCTGCAAGCCCACTTCAAGAAAGCCCAGGAGCAGCAGCAGATCGGCCGGGTGGAGTTCCTACCCGTGAACTGGCACAGCCCCCTCCACTCCACCGGCGTGGACGTGTAAGTGTCCTGGTCGGCTGCCTCGGTGCCGGCGCCCGAGCGCACACCCAGCCTCCTCCCACCTAAACTCCGCTCAGCGTCTAGCCGGGGTGGAGAGGCTTCCGCCTTTCCCGGGCTGGTGTCAGGAGGGACCGTGGACACCCACACCTTGCAAAGGCCGCTGGAAACCCACCGCCCTGTTTCTGCCCTCCAGCGCTGCTCTGCAGTGCCCTAGGAAGGGGAGAGAGGCGGTTAGGCTCCTTACTCGGGCCTGGAGCGTACGAGCACAGGCTGTGCTCTGCCTGCGGTCTTGGCACGAGCCCAGGGTCTGGATTACAACACGTGCCCTTTGAGACGGTGGCAATCCTTCTCTGAACTTACGCTCTGCTTTAGAAACGCGGTGGGGGTTCGCTGCCACCCCTAACTGCAATTCCCTCTCTCTTTTTCCCCCCTGGCAGTGACCTGGAGCGAATCACTTTGCCCAGCATCAACCGCTTGCGTCACTTCATCAACGACACCATCCTGGACGTCTTCTTCTACAACAGCTCCACCTATTGCCAGACCATCGTGGACACGGTGGCGTCTGAAATGAACCGCCTGTACCAGCTCTTCCTGCAGAGGAACCCGCTCTTCAAAGGGGGGGTCTCCCTCGCAGGGCACAGCTTGGGTAAGAGGCTTCACCCAGGGGCGCCGTACGGGGGGAGCAGGGAGGGTACGTGGTCTTTTGTCCCAGAAAGGAGACGGCTCGGGGCTCCTCCCCGACGAGATGCTGATGCTCTCTCTGCCTGCGCCCGGTTTCCAGGGTCGCTCATTTTGTTTGACCTCCTGACGAACCAGAAGGCAGCGCCCGAGGGGGACGAGCGCAGCGAAGAGGTACGTGGTGCTCGGGCGTGGACCCGCGGGGTGTTCCCGCAGCCCTGGCACCGGGAGCTGCGCCGCTGCAGCGTCGCACCGGCCTCCTGCTTCTGTGGCTGCATGGGGGACGGGGAGAGACTCCAGAACGCACGGGAAGAACATAAGTGAGCAAAACCCACCATCCCTGATGGCTCTGTTCGCAGGGGTCCAAGACAACCTCGAGCAACAGGGATACTGAGGAAGTAAAAGAAATGCTGAATAAGCTGGAGCTGTCTGAGTATGGTGATGTTTTTGAGAAGGAGAAAATGGACAGGCTAGCACTGGTAAGGAGCTCTTCTCTTTTGCCGTCTCTTTGCTTTCCTTCGCAGCCCTCCCACCCTGTGCACATCTTCCTGGTACTGAGTCACCTGCACACGAAATGTCTCTGAGGAGTGCAGCAGGAACAGAATTACAGAGAACAGGAATGCCTCACCGCACACACCTCTCTGCTCCTCTACTAATATCCAGGTCGCTTATTTTCCAGTTCTTGTGCACAGAGAAAAACCTTAATGAAATGGGAATTCCTTTAGGACCAAGAATGAAGATACACCATTACATCAGCTCCAAGAGGGAGATGCAGGTTTGTCGTCTGCACAGCTTGTTCTCGTCCAGGTCACGTCCCGTCGCTCTCAGACAAGGACCAGCCTTCACCACGTAGGAGCAGCCCCCGAGCGCCCCGTCCCTGCCCGTCCTTGCTCAGGCAGCTCTCGTGGGCTCGTGTTTGGCCGTTCCCGCGGGTTGCGCTGGTGTCACCCTGCTGCCGGAGCACTTTATCCCGTGGCCTGAAGGGCGATCGCAGAGCGGGAGGACTTGTTAGTGGTGGTGGAGGCCGAAGTTAGCGCTGCCGGCGAGCGAGGCGGCTGGCCGGAGCAGGGTGCTGCTGCCCCGACTGCCCTGGTTCGGGAGGATGCGGGACGCCGGGCAGGTCGCTGCAGGGGTTTCCCCGTTTGTGTTGCTGCAGGACCAGAGCGCAGCAGCCCGCGGGCACGGCGGGGAACACGGGGCCGAGCCTGGGTCCCCGTCGCAGCGCGGCCCGGGCAGCGCAGACGAGGGCAGGAATTGCCAATACCGGGACATTGGCCTAGGACAGGTAACGACCGCGCTCGGCACCGCGCTCCGACTGCAGCGACGAGGCGCCCCTGACACCAGCGTGGAGTTTGTCTCGCGAGACAAACCTGATCCTCCCTCTCCCCCAGGTCTCGGCAAACTATCCTCAGCTGAACTACAAGCCCACCATCTTCTTTGCCTTTGGGTCTCCCATCGGGATGTTTCTCACAGTGCGAGGAGTGAAGCGGATCAACCCAGACTACCGCCTGCCCACCTGCAAAGGCTTCTTCAACATCTTCCACCCCGTAGGTATAAGAGCCAGAGCCTTCCTGCGTGGGACGCATGGAGCACGAGCCCTGGCTCACTGCCCCCTCCGCCCCCGTACAGTTTGACCCGGTGGCGTACAGGATTGAGCCCATGATCGTCCCAGATCTGGAGTTTGAGCCCATGCTGCTGCCTCATCACAAGGGCAGGAAGAGAATGCACCTAGGTAAGGGAAGGGCCGCCCCTCACCCCCTGCCCAGGGCAGCTGCTGCGGCCCCCAGCCCGACCCCGACCCCCCCCTGCCTTTCAGAACTCAAAGAAGGGCTGACTCGCATGAGCGTGGACCTGAAAAACAACTTGCTGGGGTCCCTGCGGGTTGCCTGGCAGTCCTTCACGCGCGCCCCGCTGCCAGCCGTGGAGGCGGCCAGCACCGACGCCGACACGGAGGCAGAGCCCGGCACGGAGAAGCAGCCAGGTCGGTGCTGCGTGCGGGGTGCTGGGGGAGCAGCGTCGCGACCCACCCAGGGAGCAGGGTGCTGGGGCCCCGTCCCGGGGCCAAAGCCAGGCACCGCTGCCATCTCCTGTGCCGTGCAGTGCTGCTCCAAGAGTCAGGCAGCCCTGGGGGGCAAGGACCGAGCATTTAAAAGCTGCCCCTCCTCTGCAAAAGCCCAGAGCGGGGCCGAGGGGGGGGCACGGTGATGCTGTTACATTTTCATGGCTGCTGGAGCCCCTTGGCTGAACCACACTGCTCTTTATTCCTTCAGACACTACGCCCGAGGAGAGCCCCGCAGCAGTGAAGGAAGAGGCCTCCCTCATTAATGTGGGGAGGCTGAACGGAGGGAATCGCATAGACTACGTGCTGCAGGAGAAGCCAATAGAGAGCTTTAATGAGTATTTATTTGCGCTACAAGGGCATCTCTGCTACTGGTAAGATTCTGCATAACTGTCAAAGCTTCAAATTCATGTCTGCTGTAAGCAGAATGCCATCGTTTTTAAAGCCAACATAGTAAGAAAAGCCTTAGCTGAGTAAACGGGATATGCTCCTGCCCACAGTGCAGACACAGAGGGTGGGTAGGGACAGAGGAGGCTGCTGTAGTTCTCCTTGCCTTGCACTGCCTGCGCTCGCCGAGCCTCTACCCCATAACCATCCCTGAGAGAGCGGAGGGAAGGGTCCCCCTCCGATTCCCGTGTCCCCCTCCTCCAGGGAGTCGGAAGACACCGTTCTGCTGGTTCTGAAGGAGATCTACCAGACACAAGGCATTATGCTGGATCAACCTTTGCCTGGAAGCCAGTGACCAACCTGTGCTGCTCTGGCCGCCTGATGTAAGTCATCTCACCTCCACCTTCCTTCCGAATGTCCCAGGACACCTGAGGACATCTGGTTCGTTTGAGGGACCTTATTTACAGCGCTGTGTCCAACGCAGGAGTTAGCGTTGGGTTTTTCCTTTGGCCTGTCAGCATATTTGGCTTCTTTCCCCTTGTCCTGCACACAAGCACTATCGGACACGAGGAAAGCTAACAAACGGCTGCTGCTGACGATAAGGGCAGCAGCAGCTGCGCACGGTTACGATCAGTTCAGTCCAAGGAAGTGACCAGATGTCTGGCCTGTACTCCAAGCCTCCCGGGCTAAACGTTTCTTGCACGCAGGTGGCAAACCAGAGCGTGGACCCCGCAGCTCTTGCAGGGGTGTGTTCCCCCTCTGCTGCTCATTGCTGGCCCGGGGTTCACCAAGGGGAAGGCGCATCCTTCAGGTTTCTCGCCCTCAAAGCCCAACTGCGGGGTACAGCGGCTGGGTGGATTTTGGTCGGCCCCAGTGCACCCATTCCCACGTTCTCCCTTTGCTTTCTTAGATCCAATTCAACTAAGTACTCACCAGGAAAGTCCAGATTTCTTCTCTGCCTTCCTCTCTCCTCTGCTGCTGTGTCCCGCATGCTGCTTCCCAAGTACTTGCTGCAACCTGGAGATAAGGATGATTTTCCTCCATTTTGGGTAGGGGTGGGGGGAAAAAAATATCAAGGGGAAACACTTCTGCTCAAACACACACAGAACTTGCACTGTGACTCCCTGTGGCAACGTGTACTTTTAACCCTCCATCTTGTAAGCTACCACACCAGCTCCTCTAGCACCAAAGCAGACAGCGAGAGCCTGACTCTGCTCCTGGCTTAGCGAGGAAACGCGCAGCTTGTGACCTTGAGGAATAAAAGCCTTAAACGCGCAGTGTGGAGAGAGCTGCAGCAGCCTTGCTGAGCGAAGGAGATTGCTGATTCTCCCTGCTGTAACACCGAGCACCGGGGCGGGAGGACTGCGGTTTTGGGGAGGTGAAGCCCAGGGCACAGGCGTCTGCTGTCAAGCGAGCAGGAATGTGTCTACCAGCCATTCTCATCTCCCTGGATGGCTGCCGCAGGGTTTGGGCACCCGTGGGCTGTGCCAGGCAGGACTGCCCCACGAGACACCTCGTGAGAGCGGCACGTTTGTGCACACTTGACCTAGGTGCTCCTGCCTACTGCCACGTGCTGGCAGAGAGTTCTCAGCACCCTCACCCAGCCCACGGTGGCCGCAAACCCAGGGCCTCCCCCAGGCACTGCCTGCATCTTGCAGAGCACCCAGCCGGTGCCCGGGTGTGACCACACAGGGGAAAAGCCCAACCTGCAGCTGGACCGGGGGAAAGCAGCCGCCCCCCAGCAGCAGCCAGGCGGCTGGGAGGCCTGGAGGGACAGCCCTCCTGCGCTTCGCAGGGGCGCGGAGCAGCGCTGCCATCCTGCTGCAGCGTGGCTTTCAGGGTGGCGACTGGGATTGCACCCGCCAGCCAGGCTCGAGTCATTGATTTTGGTTTTAAACACACAGAACGCAGCTGGCCAAGCTGGAGCCCAGATCTGTAGGCTCCGGACACTGTGTCCCCGTGACCCCACTAAAGAACCGGCACCGGCGCTGCAGGCAGGTCGGTCTGCAGCTACCTGCGGCGTGCCAGCTCTGCTCCAAGGGGGACGGGGCCAGAGCCCTGGGTGACCCCTCCCTTGGGACCAAACCCACCCAGGGCGGAGGCCGGAGCCTGGGGTGAGGCGGAGGCAGACCTGGCCCTGATGGGCTGTGTCAGGTCGTTGCTGTGACAGCCTGTGGAAGAGCCAAACCACTTTCCCTCCCACTGCCTTTTGCCCTGCATGGGGCAAGGAGCCTTTTTTCCACAGCCTGATTGTTTGTCCTCTGCTGTACTACATTGTTTGCACTGTCTGAAAGGTTTTGTTTGCAGCCTGCATCCCTCCTCCCATCCCAGAGGAACAGAAACTGTTCTTTTACCTGACTGCAGAAACAGATGCTGCTCAGTCGGTGCCTGAACTACTGACTGCTAGAGCGTCTCCTACAACAGTAGGAAAAGGAACAGTCTTAACACGGGACACTCATGATCTGCTTTTTAATTTATGCACTTTGTAAAAAAAAAAAGTTAAATACATTTTAAATGTTATTTAATGTCTTTTCCAGTAAAAGCCAAAATAAATAAGTAGATGACTGTGGCGTGTGCGTGTTTGGGGAGTAGAGGGGAAGGGGTTGAAGAATTCACATGTGCACAAATTTAGGGGAAAGTAAAGCTATTTCTGTAACTTCTATTGAAGTTGCAGGGTCACAGAGGGCTTATGTGGCCCAAACTGAAGATGATGGGGTGGTGTTTTCATTCCTGTTGTGTCCTGAACTTGGCAGAGGCACACGTGCCTTGCTCCGACACAGCCTCGCCGTCACTGTCTGCACGTACGTACGCTCGATCAGGAATACACATTTCTGTGGAGGAGACTAGTGACAAATAACCACTTACAACAGTCCTGCCACACAGCTGTGCCTCGGGCCTCTCAGCAGCACTCTACCCTTCCACTGTCTGAGAAAACAAACCATGGTGCAGAGAAACAAGCGCCTCTGAAGGGCTGCTTTCAGACACCATTTCGTTTTCTGCTGACTGTCATCTCTTTACAGCTGTATTAAAGCTGCAAGGAAAGAAATACAAAATAAATATTCACCTAGAAACCCCTGCAGACACACCAAAGAAAATGGTTTATACAGCAGTAAACCCTTGAAGTCCTTCAAGTAAAGTTTTTAGTACCACAGTTCATTAAAAAAAATCAACTCCTTTATTTGGCAAATTAGAAAAAATCAGGGCTAGCACAATAATACAAATAATGATCATGCTAGTTTAATCTTCCCACTCCCCCACTTAATCCACTGTTAAAGACTGCAACCTCGTGCTCATTATTACTCTGAATCAGCTCAGCTGCAATTGAAAAGACGGACTTAAACCTGGCACCAGGAGCAGGTCCCACACTTCACTTTGGGAGCTCGGCTGGTCTGACGGAGACAACCGATGCTGCTTTCTGGACCGGACACCAGAACACCCACTGGACGGGGCACACCAGATCATCCTATTTTTCCAGTTCTTGCTTCAGCACTTTTCGTAGCTGGGCTGTCGCCCGCAGGTTCACACGCTGAATGCCTCGCTCGCTTCGCAGCGGGCCCGAGGGGAGGGACACCTACAAAATTCAGTTAACGAAGCGACACAGGCCCCTGAGCAGGAGACAACTTACCGGCACCGCAGAGAACGCCTGCTTGGCTTTCAGGTTCATCCTCATCTGAGCTACTCCTTGCAGACCATGACCAAGCTCCCCAAAGCCTTCCCCTGCCCTAGCACTGAAGGAGCAGCAGGAGAGGTGCCGGCAGGACAAAGCCCGTCGCTATATATCTAGGGGAAAGCTGGCAGCTCCAGGCTTTTCTTGGTGCACTGGCAATTCTTTGGATTTGTACAGAAATGGTTTGTGGCACATGGAGTCCATCAGAGGAGGGTAATACTGCCTGTAGCAGAGGTATGCAAGCAGGAAGCCGATCACTGAGCCAACCAACACATCTGTGGGCAAGACCAGAGGAGAGTTAACTTCCCTTTACCCTCCCAAGCTTCACGACTGAACTCTCCAGCAGGCAGCTTTTCAGCCTGCTCAGAGCTGAGCTGGATCGGCACCTTGACCCTTGGCTATAAAACTAAGCTTGGCGTGTATTTCAAAAACAAAGAGAAAGGCATCACCACATTGCAGGCAGCAAAAAAAAAAAAAAATCACCACCGGAGGAGGAGTGATTAAAAACCCCAAGTTTCCACCGTGGGCTCTGAACACTTCTGGGGCACTGCAGACTCCCCCCGCCCGCGGTCAGGGCACCCGGCTGTGACACCCACCCAGGCCCACGGGCAGACACCGACCCACCTTGCCAGTGGTGCTTGTAGTCGCAGGTGCGGGACACGGCGATGAGGGTGGCGAGGAAGAGCGGGAGGAGGAAGGCGCAGAGCCGCAGAGCCCTGCCTCCCCGGCCCGGAGCGAAGCAGCGCAGCTTCCCAGCTATGTAGAAGGCAGAGAAGGCGAGGCCAGCGAAGGCGACTGAAAGAGAAGCATGTCACTTCAGAAACGGCTCCGGGCTCTGCCGCGGGCTCTCAGCCAGACCTTCACCCTCTCCCCTGCCGCGGTGGAAGGGCTGAAAGGCGATGTGTGTCCTGTCCATGCAAGCCAAGGGAAGCACCAGCTTCCATGAGCAATGAAGGAGCCAGAGGGGCTGGTGCCGGGGAAGCATCCTTCCTCTCAGGAGCTACAAAACATCTTCAGATTACATTTGTCACCCCACTGCTTTGCAGAGGGAAAGCTGAGGCCCCCAAACAGGCCAGTGAACGTATCCAAAGCCGCGGGGTGAGTGAATGCAAACCCAAGCTGCCCTCCTCATGGGCTTCTGTTCACCACAGTTCGCCGTGGGGGCCGCAGCGGGTAGGGGACATGGAAAACTTACACGAAGCGTGTCCGCTGGGGAAGCTTTTGCGTCCCTCAGTCACTATGCCAGGGTTGCCTGTGCACACCAGCTCCACGTTCGCTCGGCCGTCCGGGAAGCACCGATAGAAGAAGTCCGGCCGGGGCCTAGGGCAGAGAACAAGGCGCGTAGCCCTCGGGCGTGCGGCGCTCCCGGCACGGCGCTCAGGAGACAGCCCAGCACCCACGCCCGAACGCAGCCGCCAGGCGCCTCGCACAGGTCCCTCCATCGTGCCAAGGGATGGCGGGGCCACCCGGGCTGCGAGAAATGCAAAGCCGAGCGCGGTGCCCATCTCCGCTCCTGCCCGGGCAGGCCGGGCTCGGCCGAGAGCCGGGCGGCAGCCACGGCCCCTCACCCGCCCACCGCCGCTTGGGCAGGGCCCCGCTTCGCCCCTGCGGATTAGGCCCGTCCTGATCCTCCCTGGCCAGCCCAGCACAGCGAACGCCCTACAAGAACCGAGGTCCCAAGCGGCCTCAGCGTGCCCTGGTTCCCCCCGGGCTGCAGCTCAGCACAGGACCAGAGCAAACCTCCCGGGCTGCAGCTCAGCACAGGACCAGAGCAAACCTCCCGGGCTGCAGCTCAGCACAGGATCAGAGCAAACCTCCCGGGCTGCAGCTCAGCACAGGACCAGAGCAAACCTCCCGGGCTGCAGCTCAGCACAGGACCAGAGCAAACCTCCCGGGCTGCAGCTCAGCACAGGATCAGAGCAAACCTCCCGGGCTGCAGCTCAGCACAGGACCAGAGCAAACCTCCCGGGCTGCAGCTCAGCACAGGACCAGAGCGAACCTCCCCGGCTGCAGCTCAGCACAGGACCAGAGCGAACCTCCCCGGCTGCAGCTCAGCACAGGATCAGAGCAAACCTCCCGGGCTGCAGCTCAGCACAGGACCAGAGCAAACCTCCCGGGCTGCAGCTCAGCACAGGACCAGAGCAAACCTCCCGGGCTGCAGCTCAGCACAGGACCAGAGCGAACCTCCCCGGCTGCAGCTCAGCACAGGACCAGAGCAAACCTCCCGGGCTGCAGCTCAGCACAGGACCAGAGCAAACCTCCCGGGCTGTGGCTCAGCACAGGGCCAGAGCAAACCTCCCGGGCTGCAGCTCAGCACAGGTAGCTTTTCTCTACCCTGACCACATGGCCCAGAGAGGTGAAACCACCCCATACGTGTGCCAAAGCACTCCTCCCTGGCACAGGATGAGCCCACCTAAATGATGCCCGGAGACAGCCAGTCCCTGCCAGTGTTTGTTCTAATATTTAATTGTCTTTACAGCTAGAAAAAGCACATTCTTTCCAGACTGAGCGTGTCCAACTTCAGCTTCTGGCCCTCGCTCCTGCTACTGCAGCTCTGCCCCTGCGCAGACATGCTTCCCCACCCCACACGCCGCAGCTGGGAAGAAGCCAGTGTCTCACCTCCCCACAATCAGCTTCAGGGCATTTGTGAAAACCCCGTTCAGGGCGAGAGCAAGGCTGGCAGCTAGGAGAGAGCAGAGAGGTCATGTCAGCATCGCCCCCATTCAGCTGGAGCCCCAGAGCTCGGCTTCGATAGCCCTGGCATGACAGCAAGAGCAAAGGGCTCATCCACGAGACCCCTGGCTCACAGCTGCAGCATCGGGACAGACCCCTCATGGGGCTGCAGCTCTCCAGGATAAGAAGGAGCTCACCTAGGCAGGCTTCTCGCGTGTCCTCCTGGTCGGCATTCATGAACACTCTTGCCAGGACAATGAGCAATAACGGAGACAGAAACGCGATGAACTGCCACAAAAAAAGAAGACTGTTAGCTGTCTGTTAGCAAAGCAGATTTAAGCACTCTCCAGAACACAGCAGCAGGGAGACTACACACCTTTCCGTCCCCAAAGCCAAGCAGCAACCTGTCCTCTCCAAACACTCCACTTCCATCAGAAAGCAAAACCAGCCCCAGCTGCACTGGCAGCAAGCCCCAATAACCCTGTGCTCCCCAGAGCACAGCCATTCCTCCTGTTTGTCGTCCAGCAGCAGCACCTCACGTACAAATGCCCACGGGCTACTGGATGTTGCCTGTACCGAAGCAAAACCCTCAACCCCAGGCAGCACAAATAACTCAGTGCACCCCTCTCTGCATTGTGCACTCGCTCGGCAGAGCATCAGAGCCCTCACTCCTCTGAGAAAAGCCCAGCATGCCCGCAGGCTCTCAGACAGCACCTCTGGCAGGAGAGCGCTGCTTTGGCTGGCTTCACATCACCCTGCCTGCAGCTCCCTCCTCTCCTGCTTGCGGGCACCCCTTCACAGCATCAGCCACAGCACCTCAACTCTCCCCACCCCGCAAGCACAAGGATTAGCTCTTCGTCGGCAGCGCCCATGCTGCTTGTCAGCACAAAATACAGGAGCCACTGATTCAGAGGAAACCAGTTACCATTCACAACATCTCAGCGGCGACTGCGGCTGCGGGATTTCACCCCGGGGTTGTCCACGGTGTGTCTGACAGGCTCCCAAGGAGTTTGCTACCACCCGAAGTCTGGCAGACATCGTGCTTTACACTGCCAAATCCAAATGCTACACCAAGGTTTTGACCTTTAATGTTTAGCGTCCACCTCTAGCAGAAAATCACAAGTGCTATTTGCTGAGAAAGTGAGTGCTTGCCCAACCCAGGAGCCAGAGCATCTCACTGAAACACCCCCACTTCAGAGGAAGACAACCCCTTTAACGGACTGTTGTCTACTGGAAATCTAACACGGTTTTATGTTAAACCCTTTTAACAGAGGCTACAGGCGTAAAGAGAACATTTTCACAGTAAAACCTTTGCTGAAAGTAGCTGCTTTCAAGCAAAACATTCCCTGACAGTGAGAGATACGCTATCTTCTGTGGTCCTAGTAATATGGGCATGGAGTTGATTATGAACAACAGCAAAAAGTCCCCATTTGTTTTTACAAGCTGAGTTAAAATCCCCAAGACAACCCTGGCTGATAAAGCCTAAAAAGATGACGAAAATTGACTGTAAATGCTGTCTAGTTTGTGCTTTCAGTAACATACATTAAGAACTACCGGTATTTGCGATACAAGCTTTAGTAGCTTTGCTTTAAAAGGATAGCTGCTAATGAGAGAAAAAACACCAAGCGAAGGCAGGAAACAGCCGCACTTACAAACATGGGTACTGTGGGGACGTGATCCGCCTCTACGTACGGGTTTCTATAAAGCCACATCTCCTCAGGCTGCACCACACGCTGAAACGGAGGCAAGAACTCCATGATCCTGGGGAGAGGAAAAACACCGGCGGATTTCGGGCAGGCTGCACCCCCGCACCCCCGCCATCCTGCCGCCTCGCCCGCTCAGGGCCGCGGCCCGCCGAGCGCCGGGGAGGCCCCGCTGTCCGCCCGGGCCCCGCGGCCGCCGGGCCCCGCAGCACTCACGCGAAGGCGGCCAGCAGCAGGGCCCGCACCGCCGCCTCGGCCGCCAGCTCCGCCGCCCGCCCTCCCGCCCGCCGCATGGCCGCCGAGGCCCGGCCCTTCCCGGGGCGGAGCGGAGCGGAGCGGGGCGGCCCCGCTGAGGGCCCCGGGTCCCCGGCCCGGCCCTTCCCGGGGCGGAGCGGAGCGGGGCGGCCCCGCTGAGGGCCCCGGGTCCCCGGCCCGGCCCTTCCCCGGGGCGGCCCCGCTGAGGGCCCCGGCCCTTCCCGGGGCGGAGCGGGGCGGCCCCGCTGAGGGCCCCGGGTCCCCGGCCCGGCCCTGCCCCGGGGCGGCCCCGCTGAGGGCCCCGGGTCCCTGGCCCGGCTCGGCCAAGCCCGGCCCTGCCCAGCCCTTCCCCGGGGCGGCCCCGCTGAGGGCCCCGGCCCAGAGCCCCCCGGCCCTTCCCCGGGGCGGCCCCGGCCCCTCCGGCCCGGCCCAGAGCCCCCCGGCGGCCCCGCTGAGGGCCCCTCGCCCCCTCCCCCCGCCGCGGCAGCCGCGGCCCCGGGCAGCGAGAGGCAGAAGCCTTTTGGGTCGTTGGAACATTCAGAACGATTTATTGAAGTCAACCTCAAGCAAAAAAGTTCAAATCAGTGGAATGTCGTTAAAAACCTTTCCAAATGAATCCTCACGGAAGCAAAAACCACATCTGAATTCCAAAGTATTTGTAAAATAAAAAAGGCAACATCTCAGTAAATATAATGTACAAAAATTATATGTTCCTACCATCACACACATTCAGTAAGAAGCTAAAATATTACAGGCAAGTCTAGATACACTATAACTAGTCGACAGTCAGCTATCTATATACAGGTTAACCAAGCTTTACAGGTTTCACACTATGCAAGAGAACATAGGCCGAACAACAAAACCCCCAAAATATCATATATTTCAAAGTCTATGCGGCAACATCAAGTCATAATACAGTAATGCCCCAGTGGAACATCGCCAGGGAAATTTAACACTACTTCGTTAGTGTCAAGAGCTTCTAGTCAACTTCCAAAAACTCTTAAGAGACCGACTTCAGTGAATATTGATGCTTTGCTATTAAAGACTTGAGTGATTTCGTTAAAATAACATTTCACAGAATCTACAAAGTTTGTTACAGATAAACAAAGTCTACAGAAATAACGACTCTACAAAGGTCATCCTTACAGATCAAGAGTACATGGGAATGGAAACGGAATCTGCAGGTATCTGTGTTGTGCAACATCACTCGTGTGGAAACAAACGGGTTTCGTTTCTCACAGCAACCCCAGGTATGCGCACACCCCTACGCCGAACAAAAACCCTTATTACCAGCCAGCTGAAACAGTACGTTAGCGCCTTGTTTTCTGTGGCAACGCGACTGGTCTGTTTGAAAAGGAAAAGTGACACCAGAAATGAGATACAGCTCGACTGGTGAAGACGAAATGCTTTTTTGTTTCTGGTTTTGTTTTGTTTGTTTTTTATTTATCTTTATTTTTTTGTCCAGGCTGTTGATAACCCAAAAGCAAGCGGGAACTGCTGGGAGGGGCCGGGTGCCACCAGCCGGCCCCCGGCAGGTAGTACCACACGAGCAACAGTGAAGGAGTGAATGGCTTTGGCAAATTTGTACGTGTTTTCCCTTTTTGATTTCACATTAATTACAAAAGTCTTCTATGCAAAGCACAGACAGAGTTTCAGCTTAACAACTCCCCTCTCTCCAGAGCAGTGAGATAGCCCCTCACAGGGGTAATAAGGACCTGAGCTTGTCACTCAGGAATAGAATATAATAGGAAACTGCTTTTTTTTTTTTTTTTTAATTTTCTTTTTTTCCCTTTTTTTCCTTTTTTTTTTTTTTTTTTTTTCTCATCGGAACAACATTGTGAATACATCCAAAGTGTAGGAGTGTATTGTAAGTGCAAATGTTTTTGCTACACAAACATAAATGGTGGGGGAAAGTTGATGGAAAACTGAAAGCAAATGGACAGCATTACTCCAAGGTTGCCGTCTCTCATGCAACACTTCTTGAACACACACAAGTCTGAGACAGCTGCTCTGAAAAACTCTCCCATTTGCCATAGATTCACTGTACAGTGGGAGCAGAAAGTAACTTCAGGGAAGTCAAAGACATTTTCAATGTAGTATACAAAAAAAAGTTATGTATAAATAAAAAAAGCTGTATAAGGAACCGCAGAGCTTCAAGTACATTAAACCCTGAATTCAATGAGGCAGAGGTTTCAATGTTAAAGTGACTACTTCGTACCAGCGTTGGACATCTCCCCTCCCACCCTCCTCCCCCACCCCACCCACATATTTCTGTAAAGTTTCAATATATACAGATTTTATGCTCATTGTTAATTACGTCCAGTAATTGTGTCTTTCCCACTCTATCCTGAAACTAAGATACATGAAGTTTTTTAGAGGAAAGGCCAAAATTAAACATTCCAGCCCTATTACTCCATTTTAACAGATTCTCTAAGACCATGGTAGTGACCGGAGAAGGTAATTTGCCCACAAAATTGCCTTTAACATTATCCTTCCTGAGCTGCAAATGCCTTCAACAGTCTATTGATAGGACAAGTCTATACTAATAATCTGAAAGCTACAATAACTAATGCTTGCACCATGTATTTAGAAAATGGTAGTAACCAGCCATTGCACCGTTTGGCCATGGGCTGCAGAACGTCTGCGCTGTGCTAAGGTGCAAACTGTAGAGTAAAAGCTCCAGTAAACAACAAAATCCCATTAACTTTGCAGAGCAGCTCAGGCACTGCACTACACGGCGCGCACAGGCGACAGAGCGGGAGTCTGGTGTTCGCCAGAGGCGTGGTGCCATCTCAACAATTTAAAAGAAAAGTAAGGGAAGAAAGTGTGACGGCGCATTCCAGTGAAGGAACAACTGACAGTCTTAAACAGCAGATTTAAGTTCTCAACCAAAATCACCAGCAGTTCTGCAGTGATTCACGCCTCGGCATGGAATGACCAAACTATCCAATACACTTATTTTAGAGACCACACAAATTTAATTCAGCAGCTGACTCCCCGCTCTGCCGATGCCAATTAATCAAAAGACCTGTTGAATCTTCCTTACAAAGGAACTGCATTATTGATATTAAAGATGTGGTTAAAATGTCTATTTTAACATTTTGTGTTTGGCATACAGAACAAACCCCCCTACAGTTACCAAGATACTTTGAAGCAGGTATTTTCTTATCTCAGAATATTAAAGTTTTTTGAAAGATTCACCTTCTCTGCAACAGCATGAAATCCAGTTCAGATTTTTTTGTTCATAAGTTGTACAAGCTTATAAACCAATCTCCCATTTTCCCTCTGAAGTCCAAGCCCAGCCGTTGGCTATTATTAATCTTTTTTTTTTTTTTTTTTTTGGTGGAAAAAAGGAGCACCTGTAAGAAGTTTGAAAACAAAGTTAACCAAAGACATCAAGTGGCACGGCCCAGGAGCAGCAGCAGGCCTCCGTTCGCAGCACTGTGCAGGTTTCTAAGCCTCCTGTGAAGCCCCACACGCGCGGCGAGCCGCGGCACGCCACGGCAGCACGTCTCCCGCGGCGAGGGCCGGTCGGGGCTGCCGATGCTCCCTGGCACGCCGAGCGCTCGCCGCCGAACCACGGCACGCGGGGAGGCACGCCCACACGGCAGCGTGTCTGCAATACTCAGAATGCTCTGACTTCCCAAGAGAAAAATCATCTGAACATTACCAAGCCTAATAAATAATACAAAGTAAACACATCGGGCCTTACAGACACGGCAGCAAGAGCTACGTTTGGAATTTCTGAAAAGGTTAAACACCCCCAATAAGAGCTTAAAAAGAGACATTTATCACATAAAATGTTAAGAAAAATAAAATCCTTTTTGTAAATTTTTTTTTGTAAAAAATACCAAAATATAGCACTGCTTTCAAGCAAGATTAGTGTTTCAGACATTCACTGTAGTACGGACCACAAGATGAAGTGCTTTATAGATCCCGGTAGCCCTCTGTACCACAAACTGACCCACGAGATAGCTGCAGGGTTATGCCACCCGAGACACCCCAAGTCTGTCGGAAAGGCATCTGCAGACGTTCAGAGGATGAACCGACAGATCAGTTAAATGGCACAGTAGCTGCTTGAAGAGACTGTAGTGTATTTTGTAATTTTACAATTGCACACACAAAAAACTCCCTCCCGTACATAAATTTGAGGACGAGAAGGACACCAGCTAGAGGCAAGACGTGTTCTCAGATACCACATGTACTTTTTCAGCCAACTATTTTCTTGAACTGAGAAGTCACTGTGTTCCTGTAGGTTTACGTAAGCAATTTTCCAGAGACTACGTTCTTAATTTCAAAGGCTTAATTTAGCCAGATGCCAGCAACACTTGGTATTGTTTCTTTCCATTCAGGATTATTTTAAATACCCATTAACAAAAGCTAGCACGACATTAGCTAATATAGGTATACGAGTCAAAAGTACACTCTAGCTATACCAGGGCAGGGGGAGATGCACAGTGCTTTGTAAGACTGTGGGCTAGGGGAGGAGGTTCACCAAAGACTAATTTCAGCCTGAGGAAACTAGTCCCTCTAAACTCCTTGCACAAGAAATGGACAACAGGTTTTCAAAACAAAATCTGGAGCCGGAGCCTAGCTAAGCCACTTCAGAAGCCTCACTGAAAGATCCTGTCTCTCCGCTGATTAACAGAGGAAATCCAAGAGAAACGTCTCATGAGGCTGAAGTTGGCTGCTGTGAACATGGCGCGTTACCCAGACAGAAAATACCCTGTTCACTGAAGAAGTGCTGAGATTTTTCTTAGCTCCATTAACAATGAAGACTGAAGTTAGAAGATCTCTCTCAGCAAAAAAAATCTGAACAGTCAATCAAAACAAACAGGCACATGAGTTGGATTCGTTAAGTGCTCAAATTTTCTTCAAAGCTAACAGGAGTCTGAGAAGGCAGCATTAAAAAAAAAAAAAAATCAAACTAATATGATGGCTATAAATTAGTGCAGACTTGGCAGATCACAAATGCACACGCACAGAACAATCCTCCATCTAAAGACGTCAATGGCAGAGCTCCCACTGGCAGGATTAAGACTTCAGTTCTGAGTGTGCTGCAGTGTGTGACCAGTGAGGCTGGGAGGCTGTCCTAACTAGGAAGGTTTCCCAAATGAGGTGGGATAAAGAAATGACCACTGTGCGATTAAGCTCCTTCTGAATTTCCACCTGTCTGCAAACACAGATGATAGCTCTCGAGCAAGGAACCACGATGTCTTCCCTCCTTAAACAATGCTAGATCTCGTGTTACAAGCACTTCTAAGAAGTCATACACCTGATTTCTCATAGGAAAAGCTTTACAATAATATTCGTAAGTTAACATGATATATAACCTACCTTCTCAAGATGCCTTTAAAAATAAGTACTGGAATAGAGGCATTTGAGGGTCACCCGGTCTGAAACCCACATCTGTCTTTATGGCGTCTCAATGTTACACAGAGTGGGGAGGCTTTATTCTTTTCATAAGCTAGACATAAAAATTACGTTGGCTTCGCTATTTTGCTTTTAAAGACACATTGACTGATCAAAACCAGATCTTCAACACCCTTTAGAAATTAAATAAATAAATATGTTGCTATGCTTTGCTTTCTACACTCGAAGAACATTATCTTAAACAGAATATTCTTTTCACTGTCGAAAGGTCTACGTTTTTCTTTGAAGGCCAAGACGTTTCTGGTTTCCAACAGTAAGAGCTGCTGTAGCACATTCAAGGGCAAAAGAAAGACCAAACAATAAAAAACAAACACCACTGCCTGCTTCTGCTTGCTAAGATTAAATGGTCCCATCCCCAGCTCACACATGACAGCTCTGATGACAAAGACTGAATGTGTCATAGCAGTCTCTTCAAGTTCATCGCCTGTTTGCCCCTCTTCCCCCCTCCCTTGTTTGTTTTTAAGCAAATTCACTCATTTGCTTCTTCTACAGGATTCTGTGGTTCCAATTTGCACTTTATCTTGCTCCAGTACTCAGGTGCCACGGGAGATTTGGGGTCATGTGCGGCACAGCAGAGACGGCCATCCAACGCTGATGCCACCAGGGCTCCCTTCTCATGATCCTTACAGAACGAATGAGGGCAAAACTCGCAGAACGAAACTGCAGGATTGCTACAGACGTCGCACTGATGCCATGGACATTCCCACTTTCCTGAGGATGGGAGGGGAAGGGAGAAGAGAGAGACAGGAAGCAGGATTTAGTGCATTTTGAGGACAGCACTGGCCTTCAACCCCTATGCCACGTTGTAATGGTTCAGGTGAACGCAAAGAAAGTTCAGAAAAATCAGCTCTTACTGTAGCTGCTACTTCTGCTTCTCATTTACAAGAATCTGACTGGAAACAGTTCTTAGTCATTTTGCATTATTTGGGCCTCACTTGGCTCAAAACGTTGCTGCATGCATAACCAGAGTTTAAAATAGTTCAAAAATAAGCAAGAAATGGCTCAGAGAACAAGTTGTGTAAAAATACGTTTGAGCATAAAAACCCCCAGATGCCCCAAACCATTCAGACATGTATCTGTATGACCACGTGCTGCTGAACTCTCAGACCCCAAAGGTATACTGAGCATAGCAAAAAAGGAAAATCAAAAGCTTCTTGCTGCTGTGCCCAAGCCTTGCTGAAGTCCCCTTGGGCTGGGTTACTGTTGGGAAACAGCGCGCGCTCTCCCTCACAGGGACACGACACCGCACCGACAGCGTGCCGAGACCCGCGTCCTGAAGAGCGAGAATAGCGCCCAGCTGGGACTCCAGACTCTGACAAAGCTGTCATCAGCCCGTCTGGGCCAGGATACGGCCCTGCCCCGAACTTCAAAGGAAAACAAAGCCAAAGAGAAAAACCTAACTCAGTTTGTTCTCGGTGCTAAGTTGTTAAAATTTCTTTCTGCAGCAAATAAGCTATTTTGAGGATAGCTTCCACGTTTCTAATATGCTGAGAAGGCACCTGAGAGATTCAACATCGCTCACGGCAGCCTTTTGGTTAATTTAATCACAGACTAAGATGGACTTCTAATTATTTTCACTGAAGCCTTTGGAATCAGGAAGATTAAAGAGAGACACGGACATTTACAAAATCCTGCAATTAGACAAAGATGTTGTATTGCGGAACAATTTGAGCTCTAGATACAAAAAACGATGACTTAGCATGGAAAAAGTCAAATGGAAGACAGGTGCCATCAGGATACAGTAGATAACTTGAACACATCTACTGATTAATCAAGCCCTACACGTCATGCTTGCTATGTCAGTGGTTTGAACTGTCATTTGATTTGCACTTGGTGACCTTGAGACATCAAGATGAGGGTTATATTTCAATCAAAGTAAGAGGAGGGTATTTGATCCAAGAAAGAGATGCAACAAGAACAACATCAGAAAGTATTACAATGCCTCTCTGTCCATCAGTTCTCATCTAGGCACACTGCCACCTGATGTATTTCTAAAAATTAATGGTATTGCAAAAGCAAATACGCTGCATTTAATGTAAGTGGATACTGCACTTCAGCTCAAACACTGTCCTGCTGCAGGAAGGAAAAGATGAATAGGAAGCCATACGACTGCTCTTACCAAAAGGTGGTTGAGTCAGGTTAAGGCATAGGAGGTGGTATGCTTTGGGACAGTCCTTTTTGTCACACATGACTAGTTCTCCCCCATCTCCACACTGGAAACAGTTGTCTTCATGCATCTGCTTCTGTTCTGTTTTTATTTTCCGTTTCTTTTGCTTTAATTTTGCATTCTTCACCTTCTCTTCATTTGCCGTTGCAAATGCTGTCTAGCAATTACAAAGATCACAGCATACAGTTACTTTATAAACCCCTTGCAATAAAATTAATTTAATCAACTTTGGGTTATTATTTGCATGAAGGATGCTTAAATTAAATCCACTCAAAAAAGTGGCTTTAATCTATAAAAGCCAGAAATGCCCATCCACACATTATCTGAATTAACACAACTTGGTAAATTAACTTCAGCCGACACACAATAGTGCTACGGTCCATAACTGTAAAATCTTTAGAGACTTTCAAGGGTGGAAAGTATTACATAGATGTAAAAAGTTAAATAAAACAAAAACCTCTCCTTGCCCTACTCTCACTAGTTCTCTGCATTTGGGAAGAGAAGTTTCACTTTTCACCCACGTACCTTTGGACGCACTCCTAGGAAACCACTGCAGTTTTCTGCTCCGCAATGACATTCAGTCCTACCATTTCCCAGGCAATCCAAATTATAATTAAACGTTAACTCCATTCCTAAGAGGTAAAGAAAAACAATTTACCCACACAGGCACTGAGGAAAGACAGGCTTATGACAATGACATTTCATTAGCATTTGTCTCTTCATATTGCGTGAGATCTAGCAGCGACACATTTTAAAAGGAGAAGCATGAACTCCGAAGGTAGCAAATTCTGCCTAGATCAGACATAAGTAGCAGCTACACTATCGTACAGACCCAGTTAACATGACAGGTCAGGTAAAAACACTCAACATGGAAAGGTAATACCACACCAGACAAGTATTGGTGAAAGCATCAGCGCTACGGTAAGCGTTTACATGACACAGAGTAAACACTGGACTTAGCAGCAAACCCTGCAGTTACATTCAACAGTAGCTTTCAGCTTCACACTAATTCTAACTATGAGATCCCTACTAAAACTGGAACTCAAATATCTGTCTCCACTCCAATGAACGACAAAGTTCCTATAAATGTTTCTGGTGTTAAGTAACTTCAGAGGAAAAAAAGCCATGACCAAGTTAGGAACTTAGCTGTTTCAAGACAAAAGTATACATGCAAAATAGTGCCATCTTTTTACCTGCAGGAATATCACAAAGAGCAAAGAGTCCAACTCTAATGTCACCATTCACTGTCCATTTCTGTGTTTCACAGTTTGGATTACAACTATGGTTCATAAAACGAGAATAATTCCCCTTTGGGCCAGCATCTATTATCCGGTCCTTCAAATAAAGAGACAAAGACATTCAGTACTTACAAACAAAAAAAAAGGTTTCCTGCTGACAAGCGACTACTAATGGCTAAAGCAGTAAAAAACATGCTTATTTTAAGTTAGTTAAAAGTGGTAAGATTTCCCTGCAGAGTCAGTTCTCAGTAGGAGGATGACATCGAGCACAGAATGATGTTTCTGCCAGCATTTTGCCCCTAGTTTCAACCACAGACAGTTCATATGAAACAAGACATAATATTTACCTTTGTTACAGTTAACATATAAAAATTGGTTACACTGTTTTCATGTGCACGTTTGATCCGCAATCTGCACTCTTCTTCATCAATTAGCTCACCAACATATTCATTCACAAATTCACCCTGAAAAGTAAAGGAAAATAAGAAACCCATGCTTACTACTTCTTATGATGGTAAAGGGAAGCAGCACAGAAAAAAGAATTTCATATAAAATATACTCTAATCATCACAAAAAGCATTAGACTTTAACCATGTAGTAGGCAATAAGTGAATATGTGCACCAGGTATTTGTGGTCTAAGCAGTGAGCCCACTCAAAGTAAGAAGGCAGGAGAGCCAAGCACTGCTCTGTATTCACTATACAAGCCACATTTGCCACTACTCTAGAATCCTTTAAAGTTTCATGCCTTCTTTTAAAAAGGACGAGACAATATTCACAGACTCCTAAGGAAACACGAACTATTACAATGGCAAGTATTTTCACTACATACTTCACTTTTATCAGGACTTGTAAATAAGCTCAGAACATTTGCAGTAAAGTTTTAATAAAACACAGATTATACAAAAATGGTAAATGAAAAAAAAGTAATTGCTAAAAACCATGTTTAAAAGCAGCCCTCCACGCCAACAGCGTGCTCCCAACTTTCACCTGAGGAAACTCAGAAGAGCTGGGGTGTGACTGATACCTTGCTACAAGGGAGTCAAGCATCACTTCGTCAAGACAGCCAGCCGCTGATGGTTTAAAACACTGTTAAAAATAGCTATCTGAAATTCTGAAATTCCAGTGTCCACCAAGCACCTGATACTTCAAGAAAAACTCTTGTCACGTGCAGTACTGACAGGTTAACAAGTGCTACGCTCTCAGCCGTGCTCGGGGCAGGCGCCTCCCGGGACGGCCCGAAGGCTGGGCCGGGCTCCGGGCGATGCCGCTCCCTGCCCGCAGCTCAGCCCAAACACGGACTAAGAGAGCAGTAAAGGAAAGGGGTAAGAGTGGAAATCAGGCATTTCGGGTCACCTTTCTGAGGTAAGTCACCTCAGTGACTCAGCAGCCCAGTACTAGTTAAGACTGATTCACAGTTTGGAACAGTCTGAGTCTTATCTACTGCACACTCACGTGATAAAAATGACTTAGGTGTTTCTGAAAATTTTAGCTCAAATTTAAGGGGAAAAAACGGAAGTCCCTTCACCACCACGTCGCTTTGAGTTCAGCCCATATGTTTGGGAACACCTGGCCAATTCAACACAACCATCAACAGTTTTCAGTAAAGCTCTTACAGGACATTAATGCATTTATAAAGTCTGCACATTAAATTCACAGGAGCTCTACTATAAAACACCACAAAGCCCGGTATAAAAATTCACCGGGTAGTTGTGACAGGAGTAACTGTAGTGTACTAAAAGGTTTTTAAACACAGCGTTTCCCCCCACTATTCCTCTAGCTACTTGTCACATCAGTCAGGTGAGCACAGGCTGAAAGCCATTCCAAATGCAGTCAGAAGTGGTTAACGGCACCCTCTCTGAAGCTGGTCTGCTAAAACACCTCCAATATCACCTACTTACATACATGTTTGTCAAACTGCTACAAAATATTTTGATATCTCAGACTTCTAGAGACGGTAAGCTATATTTTAAAAAGCTAAGCAAGTAGATGTCTAGTAAAAATGGACAAAAGCGAAGAAATTACAGTTGAAATTACTATACATGAGCCCAAAGCTTTCATCTTGACATTGCAGGAACTCTTCAGTGGATTATCCTCCAAACTACCTGTGCGTACAGTTAAGTACCATATTGCTGAATGGCAAAAGAATCAATTCAGAATCTCTTTGCTTTTTCTACATGTTCTGATTACGTTGGAAGCTAAACATGTCATCCCACAGTGATCATCCAAGCCAAAAGATCACAGCAGAATTTCCAGTTTGCAGAGCAGCCACCTTCTCCCTATGGGGCAGAGCAGTGTAATCCTCCCATCAAGTCTGAGCCCACCAAGACGATGGCCTGCTTCCTTGGGATGAGAAGCTCCAGGATACTATTGCTGTTAAGATGAGTGCAAATTCAAACTGAAGAAAGTAGGAAGGCAACCAAAGGCAAAAGAGTTCCCTAGAGCACAGTCTTGAGCGTGTGGGCTGCACAACAAAAACAACCTGTCCTGAAGTCTTACAGTGTCTAATTCCATCCGTGTGCACAACTGCATCTTCCACTCTTCAGGTATGCTTGGCCATCTCCTTGTTCAGAAACAACAGAGCCTGCATCAGTAAGGGCAAAAGACACATCCGTCCATCAGAGCCATTCCTCTGCCTGGCAAGTTAAAGCAGAGGTGAGAGCCAGGCCAATCATCCTCATGCTTGCCTCAAAGTCCAGCAAGACTGCAATCCAGCTAAATGAGGATTCTCACGCTTGGCTACACAAGTGTAAGAGTTCGTTCTTCCACACCAGCAGTTGCATCTCCCACCTGAATCCCAGCAATACAGTGTAAAGGAAAACCAAAGTGATCCACATCCAATGGCTTTCTGACACTCAGGGAGGAATATTCCTGTTCCCCCTCCTCACTGATGGCACCCCCTGATCCTCTTAAAGACACCAGCCATTCTAATATTTGAGCCAAAATCTGTAGCACTTCCTGAGGCTTGTCAGTCCTCGCTGCTTTTTGTTGTTATAGAAGCATCATTTACGTCAACAGTAATCTCTGTATCTTCATTATTCTTCTCTGTTTTCCCGAGCTTCTAAGAACCTTTAAAGTATGTTGTCCAATGCAGCCTGGTCACCTCTAGCCTTTCTTTAACAACCGCCTCCGAGTTCTTCTGAAGCAAATCCAGGCTGAAGGGTTGAATGCCAGGAGGGTGAGAAAGCTGACTTGTGACCAGACATCTGCAAGAGTGATAGCGCAAACTCCCCCACTCCAAGCAACCCACTAACAGGAAAATGCTGTCAGCATGTTGCTGTGTAACAGCATAAAAAGGCAAAAGGAAAGGCTTAAGAGTAACTCCCTGAAAAGGGGCTCACAATTCAAGCTGATTCCACCCACCCTTTGAGCTTCTCTCGTATTTTGTGGATGTCATTTGCTGGCTTGCGATAAGGATGAGAGGAAGAAAAGGACAAGAAACCCAGGCAACTTATTGTGCCAGCCCTCTAAGATTTCACCACCTTCAACAGCCTTATTTAGGGAAAGAAACCACCATTCAAAATACTTTTTTCCAGACCACTCTCTCCCTTCTTGCCCAGTAGGCAGTGAGAACACACACACACATGCTCTTTCCCTCCACCAACACAACAGGATTCACAAATTCACAATCACCTGGAACTCTGCTTCCGTAAGCATCAAGGTTAAGACGCTTCTGTCAAAAGAGCTAAGCAGATCTCACCATTACTGCTTCCCCTACAGAAGTTTCACGTCTCTTTAACGCACGGCGTTTACTTACAAGTGCTGAAATTTTTGTATGCATTCACTTAAGGTACATGGAGTTGCAGTGTTTTCACATAAAACTACACCGATGGCTATCACAACCCTGGTCCGTCATAATTCTACCTTTTTAATGTTCCTTTTTGTCCTGAGACCCCATCCACGTCGATCAGTTTTTATGATTTCAGCGTCAGGGTAGAGTCTTTTGGTGAAACACTGGTTCTGACATCGCTCCCCGGCCGGGCACACCTGGGGATGGCACTCGTACTGCAGCATCCTGTTCAGACACTCTGACTCCAGCCCGCAGGGGTTCTCGTCCGATGGCTTGCAGTTACAGCGAGGGATTTCTGACAGATCAGCTACCTGGATCTGAACCTTCCCTATTACCTTGTTGGACTGTGGCACAAAGGGAAAAAAGAATAAATAATGAAGAAAATGCACAAAGAACACAGACTTAACAGCCTTACTGGAGGCCACTCATCAGCTGACACAAGAAGACAAGAAAATAATGACTACCTCACTATTTTTCCTCTAGATCCTTTTGAAGGATAGTGTGTCACAACAAGAGTACTACTTGCAATTCAGCAGCAGACACGTGCCTGTGCTTTTACAGGTGGTAGCTGCCACTCTACTGCTAACTTAACTGGGGACACATACTGTTCAGAGAAGCCAATAGTAAGCAATTTAAGTGAAGAACATTAAAATTCATGACTCCAGACAATACACCATGAGTCTCTCTCCCCATTAAAGTTACTGGTTCAGGAAAAAAAAAGCACACAAAGTTTATCAAGTACATTACTGAGATTTCTTCCAACTAAAACTAAAAACATTAGGAGGAAAACCACTGAGTCCTGCATGTCCAGAATTGCTGGCCAGAGTTAGACTCTGCAGCAGGATAAACAGTCAGTATCCCTAACAACACCGAGTTCAGCTTTAACAAAGTTCAGTAAGTGGCAACAGCCAGCATGTATCTAAGACACACAAGACAAGCTTGCAACCAGCAAAATTCTACCTCAGGTAAAACTGTTCTTCAACTGTTAACTCTCTCAAATACTGTGCTAAAAGACTGGTTTATAGTCCTGTAAGACAGAACAAAAGATTCTTAAAGAGAAGCAAAATGATTTATGTGAATTTCCTTAAGCTTGCATTGTTGCAAATATTGGTTTAAATACATAGCTTACTCATGCACAGAATAAAAACAGGAAAATAAAGAAGCCAACTCACTTTAATGTGTTTGTAAGGTGGGGGTTTCCTTGAATTCCTTTCAATTTCTAATGCCTCCTTGCTTTCTCTTTGTGCTTTCAGCTCCTGGAAGCGCTTTGCCGCTTCTTCAAGTGCTGTGCAAGGGAGTTCAAAATAGAAAGCAGTTAGCACCAGCTGCTGTTAATCAAGCATATACATGTATGTATTTAAATTTTTTTTTTTTTTTAAAGCTTGGAATAGAGCTCTGTAAACAAAACCAGAAGCTACGAATGAGTTATTGCAGTATATCATGAATTTATCATCAAGTACTTTTCAGTAGATACTGAGATACTGAACAATGATCCCATGCAGCAGAGCCCAAGCTCCATCTTAACATTTCCCAGTTTGTGGAAGAATTGAACTTGCCCACAATACACAATGAGTAGGCACTGAAAGAAACATATTTTTATCTGCAGTCAAGGGATCTACGTAATGTTTGCAATTTTACGTGAACACAGAACACTAGTCACATAATATTCCCATGCAGGTTAAGTGGTGATGGAGACACAAACACGTGGAATTTTTGTCATAAACCACTATAAACTTTGTTTGATTTTACCTTTCTTGAAGGTCTTGTTAATACTAGTTTGCCCCTCAGCAAAGCTTTTATCTCCTTCAACATAAGGGAAAACTCTGCCCTGGTGTACCCAATAGTAGTCATGTGAACCAAAGAAAAATACTGGGAAGTCCCCGATATCATGTTTGAGGCCCTGTATGTTGAGAGGCACAGACCTGGGATTGCAGATCTCTGCTGGCCACCACCTGAAAGTTAGAAAAAAAAGAACAATGTAAGTTCCCTGAACCGTAGCCTTAGCTTCTGAGTTTGCCTAACTGGATTGAGAAAGAAAAGGCAGTTTTCCCTTCTTAAAGAAATTAACTCCTTCCTTATGCAACCAAGGGTCCCTCTGGCCATACTTGTGAAGCACCATGCAAAACACAAGAGGAGTTCTTACTCCAAATTTTGGAAACGCCTTTTAAGAACATATGTGGCGTGAGAGTGGACTTCTAAGATCACCTATAAATGCTTGCATTCCTGCTGGTGACTAACAGCGAACACAAGCTAGGACATCTTGGTTCTGTAAGACAGTCCCTGGTTTTCCATATCGCAATTACACTCTACAGAGCAAATGTCAGAGCAATCAAGTATCCACCATTGCCTGGAAAAAGCAGGAGAATTTAATTTCAAGGGCGACGTCGATGTCTGACACGAAGTAGATGAATTACTGTATTTTTAGTTCTTGTTTACAAAGACTGAGCTGCTTTGAGTTATCTTCCTGTAATTCTATAGTACATTAAAAACATGCAAAGCATGAAACAAAAATAGCAAACTTGCCTGTAATTTCCAAGCTTGACCCAAACAATCTGCTTGTAACGTAGCTTCTTGCCAGCCTTACAGTCATTGCAATTCCAGCATCCTTCAGGCATTTCTATGTTGAGACACTCAGGGTGAAAGGAAGCTGGGCAGGATTCACAGCACAACAGTTTTCCACCTTTAAACAAAGAAACCCTGCTTGGTTTATAGAAGTAAGCACTTGCTTCTCCCTGCGCATAGCAACTGACATTCATTTTAAATCATCCCTTCCAGATTCTTGTTTGCCCCACAGAAAAAAATGGCAAAAGAAAGGGATCAAGTCAAACTTAACAATGTTGGTTAAAAAAGACTGTGCAGTGCAATCATCTAATGTACAAGTTGTGAATCTTAACTGCATCAAAGACATACAAAAAAGCAGCTGCGTATTTTTTAAACATGAGGTAAGTTGGCAGGAGAAGCAACATTCCCAAAGGCAGGACTGCATCTGACAGCAGTGCCGCTAGCTTTTATTTCTTTGGCCAAAACTTTGGTTTATTTCTTTGGTGATGGCCAAAACAATGACAAATAACCAAATTTTTAAGACTCACTTTTTCAATCAACATCATTATGACTGAATCCCCCAGCAATCAGTTAGTGTGCATTAAAAAACCCCACAGCCTATAGGTTGATCAATGCTTTTCTGTGCCAAGGACATTATAGAAGAATTGTAATGATAAGTGTGTTTATTCCACAAAAAGAAAAGTTTATCAGTATGAGCACAGCACATAATGCAGAGTGAGACACCACACAAGTTGTCCCCATCCCAAAAGTTCCTTTTGCGCACGAAGGAAATCTTAGCGCAGTGGTTAACATTAATTTCTGAAGTTTACACTTATTTGGACAACAGTTGTTTTGGCTGGCTTACATTTTGGCAGATGTATTAACGTGGAGAGCCACAGCACATCTCTAAGCCACCCTCAGCAAACAAAGCAGCTCATACAGTAAGACTTGATACATTACACATATTGTAATATTTTATATAAGCAAGTATATAAAATATATACACACATTTTTATAGATATATAAATATTTTTAAAATTAACAAGTTTTTGTGTCCCAGATGGAAAACCTGGGAGAGATTTGAGAGTATTCAGACAGTATCAAAAGAAGTGTGAATAGTGACTTCCAAACATTTATCAGAAAATCTTGTCCACCTATAGACTTTCAAAAATATCATTGCATTGATTGTTGCATGTCACAATAAGCATTCCTTAAACAAATCAGTTGCATGACCAATACTGTATTTCCTCTGCCAAAAACCAGTAAAATCCAAGCACACAGATTTTTCAGAGCTCCCCAAACCCATAACAAAACGTTAACTTTTTTTTTTTTTTTTTTCAAGTGTTATTTCAGAGGAAATACAGACCCAGTGTAAATTACTGAAACGTTATCCAACATGGTAAAATGCCAAGAGATGCAAAAACCAAACAAAATCAAACACAAAACTCTCGGAGCTAAGCAAGAAAAAAACCCGACACTTTGCTCTCAGGATGCATTAGTAAGATATTGCTCAAGCTAAGCAGAGGGCTCAAAATAATTTTTGTTTTCAGGAATTACAGGAACTACCGGAAGCCGCCGGTCTAGCAGCGTTCGAAATAACCTGGCTTTAGAGTGGTTGACCGGGCACCGACTCTGCACGCTCAGATTTCCGTGGGGAATAAAACACCGCCCCGAGTGCGGCGCGCCGGCCGCAGCCCCCCCCCCCCCCCCCCCGGCACGCCGAGACGCCGCCGCACCGCCCGCGCCAGGGGGGAACGCGCGCGCGCTCCCTCGCGGGGCCGCCCCCCGCCCGCGCGTGCCCGCCGGGCACCCCTGGGCCGCGCGCCCCCGCTCACCCGGGGTCTCCTCCCAGGCCCGGCCGTGGGCTGCCGGGCAGGTCTGACACTGAACGTCCCCCCCCTTCTTCCGCGCTTAAAAAAAAAAATCAATTTAAGCAGGTGGGTTACGCCACCCTGGGAAGTACGGCACCGCAACGACATCAAAGCTCGACTTGCCTGCTCTTCGCGTCACCGTGTAAATAGCTCCCCTAAAGCTGGAGTACCCTGGGCCAGATACAAAACGGTTTAACCTCTTTCAAGGAGAATTTAGTGACAGCAATTATTTTAAGCCCTTTTGTAATAAAAAAAAAAAAAAAAAATCGCCAACAACATGAACACACGCTCACAATAACCAATGAGTGAAGTTTACTGAAAAGCAGTAAGAGGTGCTTGACAAGCAGACATTTCTTGTTTGATTTAAAGAGAGAGAAATAATAGAAAAAGCCAAAGTAAATTAAAGAGAAAGAAACTATTTCGGTTACCTTTCTCACATTTCTTTTTGGAAGCTGACGAAGGAGGAGGAATCATAGGTAATTTCATCAACTCAGCACGATTTGATTCATTCAGTAGGTAGTGGGACTTATAGGCATATGAACTGAACAGGGGGTCTGAATGATCCTGCACTACCAACCCTATACGAAACAAACAGAAAGACATGAGTTGCAATGAAACTACCCATGATTCCATAAAGGAGAAAATAAAATAAATCAAACGAACACCTCTAATGCGTATATGTGCGAATGAAAAAAAGATAAAATGAAGAAAAAGAAAAGTCTGACAGAAAGTTTCTTCACTAAGAAAGAGGTTATGTGTTGGAGAGGCTAAATTAAACTTAACTGGAATAACTTATGATGAATAAGCTGCTTCTAAGTGGCATTTTGGTTGTGCTTTTACCCTTAATTTGTGCATTTATAGAAAAGCACAAGAAAAGCAACCAATTTTAAATCTGTGTGATCCACCCTCCCTCCCAAATTCAAAAAAGCAAGCTAATTCGAAGAGCTGGGGGATGACAGTCACTGCAAAGGTCACGCTGTTAGTTGGGGCTACAAACTGAAAAAGCAGACGTTGTATACAAGAATTCACCATCCCACTTACTACTAATCTGTCTCTAAGATCTCGTCTATGACAGTGTTTTGCCGTTACAGTTGTGTTGGAAAAAAATAACCAGGAGGGGTCAGCGACTCTGCAAGGCACCGGAGGGGTAAGAACAGATGAAAGTTCTGCCCTACGCCACTTGTGTTTAAGTAAAGCTCCACCAACGCTGCCCTCCCACAGCTACTCCGGAGCAGTCAAGCACCCTGTTCTCCTAGATGCCTTTATTTCAAACGATGTGTTTGCATTTCTCTGTCTTTCTCCACCAAGAAGAGTTTTTCCTCAGTGCTCCAAAGAGCTAGGCAGCCCAGGTGAGAGCCCCGCAGCTACAGACCAGAAGCATTTGGCCAGTAATTCATGGATGAGCAGAGCAACTGGGACCCAAAGAAGCAGGAAAGATGAGCTACCAATTCTTTCCCTCGTGGGACACAAGCAGAGCTGCGTGCTGTAGAGAAGCTTTTGAAGTGGGGTGCCTAAAATCCTGCTGTAAGGAGAATGGTGTCAGCCTACCTGGAAAGCACATCCTCAGGAGGATTCATAAAACAAGTATGACCTACACATGCAATCAGATGAACTATAACGTGCTTAATGAAGGATATTTCAGGAAGGTGAATAAGAAGTCTTAAAATATACCGCATTTGAAGTACCTCATGATAAGCAAGTTTGTACGTTTTACAGATTGTCTCATATCTACATTTTCTCACTTCAGTAATGCTTTGCATCTAAATACAAAGTTCCTCCTTCTGGTATCAACTAAAACTAAACAAATAACCCTTCTCACAGACAGATGCCCAAGTGTTTCTAAAGCATTCAGTTCCCCAGTTCTTTCTGAGCAGGTACTCTCCGTGCTCCTGCCACAGATGCTGTCCTCACCTTATGTCCCTCATGCTGACCACATATGACTAGAGAGGACTCAATTCAACCCATCCGGGAGAGTTTGCTAAATGTAAACCTCGCACAATCTTTCTTCGGTGAAGCACACTGGCTCCTGATTCCAGCTATGCCTAGTAGAAACAAACCCCACAAAAATTTTCTAGAAGAACAAGTACATAGTTGCTGTAAAATACAGAGGATTCAGTCAGTGGTAGCTGTTTGTAACTTTTAAAGTTCTCATAACTAAGATTCAGTGAATATACAGGACAGGAAATTCCATCTGCTGGGGTTCAGAGGTTACTTATATTGCCAGGAGAAAATACAGCCTTCTGCAGTGCCATCTCTGATGAAGCTAGATTTAGGTATAAACAGAATTACTAAAACAATGTCAAATGGAAGAAAAAAGAAAAAAAAAAAAAGGAAAAAGAAAAAAGCATGCAAATTTTCTTCTGCACTTCATTTATTTTTTGGAAATAAATGCAGGTCTGCCTCTTCAGCAACCATTAGACTCCTTTATTGTAATTCAGTTTTGGAATTTGACTCCTGAATTCTGATTTCTGTGTCGTATTAGAGGGATGCCAAACAGCAGATACCCCTTTTCATAAAGCTTTTAAATAGGTTCTACCAGAGAGAAGTAGGCAGCCTCTATTTTTCACCTTTGTGTCACAGAGTAAGTAGCCAAAACCTGGAGAAAAAATTCCCAAGGAGATTCACCTTCGTATTTATCTATAACAAACTACAACAGATTTATAATCTTCTGTTTCTATGATTGGGATCTTAAGTCAGCTTCAGGCACCTGTAGTAGCTGGCCACAGGTTTAATAAAGTACAACTTCAAAGAAATTTACTTAGCTGTTCTGTATCATGCAATGTATTTTGATACTACAGCTTAATAGTGGAAGAAAACAAAGTATTTCAGATAAATGCAAGGGCAGAAGCCCGCCATTGCCTTCCATTCACATCTCAGTATAAACAGAGCTTCCCTGGAGATCAGCAACACTCCATCAGCGCTGATCTCTAACGGCTACGACCCCACGACCTACCTCATGTAGGAGCAGAGCAGCAGGACAAGACATCGTCCTACTGCAGGGAATCCTTCGCATCGATACTTACAGGGGCAGACTAAAGCCTCCGCTGGACCTTGCCAAGAGACACTTCTAATCTGACATTCAAACCAGGGAAGATCCACAGAAACTCTTCTGTCATAAACCTATATCTGATCCTGATACCAGACTGACTCCGGACAACTGAGAGAAAAAACATAAAACCGAAGGACTGAAAATATTATGGAACTGCTCTCCTACCAGAAAAATTGCTTTTAATGATTCTACTCTAGCTCCAGAAAACAAAGAACTTCTTTCCACCTATTCAGGTTGGTCTTTTGGACAATTATTGGTTAAATTAATGACGTTGAAGGCTAGGTGTACATTTGTCTCGGAGTTCGCACCCCATGAAAACGCCTCAAAGCATCTGTCTGCCAGCAGAATGCCACCTCACACTTTTTCAGCTAGCTGTACTTCAAAGACGTGGCAACTGGCTTGGTTTTGTTGTTCAGACTGCGCATTTGTACAGGTAATCATACTACCAACAAAAATTAAACACAAAACATATATAAGGCTACCTAAAGACCTAAATAAAAGAGCATATAGACATAGACAATGTCAAATTTGCACATGTACATTTATGCAATGCTGATGTGACTCACATCATGCATATCCTGTTTTGGGGTGACCCCACATTGTTCAAATAAGCCCACATAAGGAGAAACACTGAACCATGTTGTAAACATCTTTTTACACATCCAGAGGAGTTCTTCTAAAGCTCATTCTAAAACTTACTGTTTCTAAGCTTCTGGATTTTTTTTTTTATATTTTATTTTAAACTTGATCCTTTGTAATGGCTTCTAAATCACTTGAAATTGAAAAATGGGAAGAAAGAAGAGAAGTAGAAAGGAAATTATTCTGGCACCATCTTTCCCTTCCTAGTCAAAGATCTTTAATTACTACTCTGCTTTTGCAAATTCAAGACAATCTTCCCCATACTGAACCTCCAACTGAACGAACACAAGTGAAAACCAGTAACTTCAGGGTTCATCTAATTTTCACTTCCTTACCAGTGACTTCAAAGGTGCCAAAAAGAATACATCCAACATAAATTTCTGAAATACTGTAGAAGATACATATTATACAAACACCTAACCATGTCACTTCCACCAATCTGAGAGAATAATGACATTTTTGCATTATGAGACTAAAGCAACGGATACACCGGAACTCTGCAACCTGCTAGCTGGCAGAAGACTAGTGACTTCAGAGCCATAAAAGTAACAAGTGGGAAAAAAAAAGAAAAAAAAAGGACAAAAAAAAAAAAAAAAGAGAACTTTGGTATATGGAAAATCCCAGGGTGAAACCTGTTTATACAGTATTGCAAATGCTTTTTTTTTTTTTTTTTTTTCCAAAGTTCTCATATGTGATGGTAGTTATAAATTAAAATGAATTTTTCTAGTTCATGAGTAAATCCTACCCTTTAGCCTTACAAATGTAAAGAGTTACAAGTTTGTGAGTTTTGAAAGAACCCCCTTCTGCTTAATAGACAGTGAATAATATCACAGCATCCATTCTCAGCTTGCAATGGCTGGAACTGGGGGCTTGGCATCCACTTTTTCCTACTGGCAAAACAAGTAAGCCTTCTGAGTACCTACTGCTGTTTCTGAGTATCAAATATTACGGACCAAAATAGCAAGTGGAAGTCTTATGAGAACTGTTGACCAAAAAAAAAATAAATTCACAGGCAGCATTTAAATCCCAGAGAGCCCTAAGGGAGGAGTTCTTTATGAAATACATTAATTTATCACTAAACTGCACAATTGACCATAGAACTATAAAACAGGGGAAAAAACAAGTGTGCTCACCTCTTGCACAAACGAAACAAAAGCCTACATTTACAGCTGATGAGGAGTGATTCCTTTTGGAATGGTTACTACAGATGAGAATGTGGGATGACACAAACAAGCTTCCTGCAGCAATACAGCCATCTCCTGAGTGATAGGCAATGGGACATCTGAAACATCTCACCATGCGACCTGTTTAATATAAATGCAGAAAAATGCACCGTGTCACCCTGCAGTCAGGATATGGTAGAAGACACCAAAGACAGATGCAAGGCTGATTTTTATTCCAATCGGAGTACTAGATTGAAAAGGAACATCTATATCTTATAAAAAATAGTTTCATAAAAGTTAACTTCTAGCTTTCACTTTAAAACTCTCTTAAGAAAAAATACATGGTTTCCATCATTCTATAGTCTACTTGTTTTGATTAAATATTTTGGTTGATTTCTAAAAGAATTCTTTTTTTCTTGAAAAATAACTGTTCTAAAGGCCACTACCAACTGTCTTAAGAAAACAAAACCAGAAACATTCCTTGCCCTTGCAGTACTAAACCTCAGCTTCCATTAAACCCGGCAACAAAAGATGCCTGAAGTGCTGTGGATCCAGGTATACCTCAGCAGCAGTCCCGGGCCGCTAAGCTGTTTTCCCACCCACAACAGACTCCAGTTAACGACCACATCCCGAAGGAAACCCTTGTTCCTTGCCGCACGCTGCATTACACAGGGTAGAGTTACAGTCACTGGTACTGGGAGGATGCGTTTGCGTTTCCTCCTGCTGTTCAAAGCCAGCTCTGTTCTTACCTTTGCTTGCTTTATGAATATCCTTATCCATTGAGCAGGCAGTACAGCAATGCTGCGGGCAGCGAAACCCTCGCGACTCGAACAGAGCAGTGGCAAACTTGCGAACACAGGCCTCGTGGTAAAATTTACCGCACGTGTTGACGGAACAGCGCTTCACATCTCTGCCAGGAAGTTTGCATGAAAAGCACGTATGTTCTCCTTGTAAAAGAAGGAATAAGGAAGCCCAACTGTAACGGCCAATTCTTTGAGATACAGATGTTAAAAAAAAATTCTGAATCAAACAGTTACACTGGTTTGAGCAACACAGGCTCCTTCCCTTCAAACAGGTAAACTGGTTACAATGATCCACAATAACTATGTAACTGAGTAGAAGTCTCTTATTCGGAGTAAAACCCTAAGTAACTTACTACTTTTTTTTTTTTTCTTACCACATATTTGCTAAGCAGAAAATGTGAATCTGGGCTCAGAGGTTCAGAATGGAATAACCCAAACCCACTCCCAAAACCTAGCAACTTACCATCTCATTTGCTCTGACCAGAACATGGCTCCTTAGCAAACTGGGAAACCCCTCCCCATTTCTCAGACACAGGAACACACTCACCATTTTTACACTCTGTGCAGATGAACTTCTCCTCGGGCACTGACTTCACGCCAAGACACTCCATGTGAAAGACGCTGCAACACTCGCCCTCACAGGACACCAGAGACTCGCCAGAGCTCTCGCAGATCTTAAACAAGCAGACAGCTAGTCAGAGAACAAAGGGTACCTGACATGCTTAGATACAAACACAGAGAATAGAAACTGGCTGAAATCTCTTCAGAGCCAAGCTAAGGCAGGAGAACCCGCCTACATCCCCCGGGCAGACCCGGTAAGTCTCGGGGCTGCAGAGAACCCCAGCACGTTCTGCACCTTCCTCTCCTAACAGCGCGCGCCGGGACAGGCAGGAGAGGCACTACAGGATCCGTCTGGACTCCTCGCCTTCTCATCCACCTGAGCAGCAAAAGCAGCCTGTGCCCTTATTATCGACCAGGAAACTGGCCAGAAGATTCCAGGATTTTCTCTCCAAAATACTGGAGAATTCTCACTCTGCCCTATTCTGAAAGGCCACCTGGAATCATGCAGCGGAGCAGGAAATGGCATGTACTTTTTCTACTAATGCTAGCAGGCATGGATTAGATACCACTTTCTAGCTTTTGAGCTTTCTAGCATGCAGGAGAGATCATGAATCATTTCCAGACCATAAAAACTCATAAAAGCCTTCCTGTTTTATGAGATGTCCAATTATGAGACATGGTTAAAACGAAGTAGTGCAATTTGAAAACTATGTCAGCATAAACTACCAGAAATGGACAATACATCTTTAGTATTAATTTCTGTACAGTACCATAACTTACCTGACAAACAGTGTCTTTTTTACTTGTTCCAGTTCCTCTCCTGGATAAGCTAGAATCTACCGACTGCACATCAGAAGCATCAGCATCGGCAGTAGCTGACGGGCTGTCTGAACGTTTTCCAAAACTACCCTACAAAAAATGAAAAATCCAAGGCGCTCAAACAAGACACTTCCAAAGGACAGCTACATTGTGAAAAAATATTTGTCACCACTGATTAAAAGATCATTCAATATGTCAAGAAATACAAAGGTCCTCAAAAGTTGCTGAGCTTCATTAAAAAGACAGAAGTGCTGCCTTCTTGACATACCTTTTACCTGTACACGCAAAAAACCATAAAGATATCTTACTTTTTCCAGACACCTCTCAGTTTTACACCAAGATACAGCAGCGTCCCCCAATTCCCAAATCATCTAACAACCTTCCAAAGAGCAAAGTGAGTCAGCGTTCTAAACAAATATTTGCCAGACAGAAATAGGAAAAGCTGTAAAGAAGTACTGTATCTTTTTTTGCATCAATACAACAGAGGGGATTAGGAAACAAAAGTCTAGGTTTTATTTTTTAGACAATAAAAGACATTAAGTTTGTAGAAAATACACTGGTCACACATTTAGCAACATGCAACGGAAAAGCCTACTCTACTGGCAGAGTAAACAATATGCCTTTACCTGTAAATCATTAAGTCCTCTTGAATCAGAGTCAGACGTATCTCTGTAAGCTGAGCTAGTCAGTTCTACATCAGTTGAGGCACGACTCCTTTTCTTTAAAGGTTTACAAGAATCTGAAATCTCGCTGGCACCTTAACACAACATACTAAAATTAGTTTTAATATATGTTCTCAACTTTTTGCTTAAAATTAATAAAGGAAGAAATACGAGAGATAGTCTGAAACTGTAGTTTATTCACTAGCCTTAATCTTCAGTTTGCAATTCTGATACTAGTTTAATTCTCCCTGAAAAGCTAATTAACTGAAAAGCACATAGGAAGACCTTTTGACAAACTTCCAAACATGCTGACATAGTGACAGAAGCTACTAAACCGTCTATAACAGAGGATAAACCCTTAGATTACCACTTCATCGGTCATCTTTAAAATAAGGCTAAGCAAAGACTTTTTTTTTTAAAAAAGAAATGTCCAGAAGGAGGCCTTACATTATGTGCTTACAGCACAGCAACAAACACTATCTTTCCAACTAGCAGTGCACAACCAAATGAACAACAACAAAAAAACCCCCTAGAAAACCCTCACAGGAAAAATTACGATCAGCATCTCTCACGTTCACCACCAGAAAGCATTAAGGCCTCTGCATTTTACACAGAACGAAACCCACGGCCGACGCGTGACAAGCCAGGAAGTTTTAATAGAGTTTATTTTCATATGTAACTCACCTTTCTGCAATCCTGTCTTCACTGCTGTCAGTGGAACCATTTCAACCTGTTTGAATAGGAAAACCCATAGTTAAAACCAGAGGAATTTTTCTCCCTAGTACTAAAAAGAAAACATTTAAGTTTAAGCGATTAGCATCTCTGAACTCAGATGTAGTCTGTCATCCCCTCCTCAGTGCGAGCCTTCTTGTCCTGTTGGATTTAATCCTAGCTGCCTACGCTGAAGGCCAGGAGACAAGGCAGCCATACATTCACTAGCAAGGTCCTTTCAATCACCCCCTCTGGGCATGAAGATGACAGGAAAGCTTTATCGGTGTCCAGCAGGCGGGAGCGGGGTTCGTTTTGGCAGCCAACCCTGATGCTTTTGTAAAACCCCACACCTGTGTAAGCACAAGCTCCCCTTCACAGGCATGACCTCGGGTTAGTGAGACCCTGAATGCATCGCCGCTTAAGGCGCTTCCCCCCAGCGTGCGCTCTGGAGCTCCTGGGGACAGCCCTCCTCTCTGCATAGAGCGCTGCAAGGCGCCCGGCCAGGGCGCGGTGGGCTCCGCGCGGCCTTGCAGGGCTCTATGCAGCTGGAAACTCAATGTCAGGATACACTTAAGCAGACAAGTTTACAACCTGGCAAAAGCGCTTCAGGTGCTCGATCCTACAGGAGGAGGGGAAGTTTAGAAACTGTTCTGCCAACGTACGTGTAACACGTGAGAATTTGGCGACTGCGTAATAAATAAAGGAGGAAGTTGCTGCCTAAAATCCTGGTTTTAAGTTTAAGAATTACAGGTTATTTCTTTACGATGTGGTTACATATGCATGTAGAAACACATTTAGTAAATATTTAAGGATTATTCTATAATTTTTTTAAAAAATATTTTATTTTGTTGTACAATAGGTAAAAACATACAATAGAAGGATTTGTATAGGATACATTTCGTAATACAAATATAAAATCTAAACAATCACTTTTATTTCTCCACTAGTCACTGTAACAGTAGCATTAACATTTTGTTTTTCCCATTAATTGTACTCGTTCCAGTTATAATTTTATACCAAGTTGTTGCAGACTAATTTGGGAATCAGTTGCAAGAAAACTTGACTTTGGGTAACAAATATTGTTGCATAATTGTAAGAAGTTAGTAAGATTTTTTTTTTTTTAATATAACTTAATACATTCAAGGTTATGCGCATTACAGTGCATCTCTGTTTAATTTTTAGTCATACACTTTTCCTGAGAAAAGCACTTTCATGTTCATAGTCTTAGTTAGCCAGATAATATAAGCAAGCAAAGCTAACTGGGATCCATGAAGTTCATATTGTTGGTTCTTATACCTTTGTTAAATTAAGAAACATTTACAAACATAAAATAACTCATTTCAAAATAGGGAGGCGACAACACCTCAGGACAAGAGACTTAAGGGACTACGTCAGGTATCTTACGCCCAACATTTAAGTTGCTTTAAAGTTTCAGGGAGAAACTTCCTAGAGTTAGAGCATTCTTCTGCTGAACACAGATGTAAATGCTATGGCATTGAAAGAAAAATATGGGGGGGGGGAAAAAAAAAAAGCAACTGGGTCCACTTTCAATCTCTGAAGTGAATTAAGTGCAAAAGAAAGCATAAAGGGCAAAGAATAAATTAAAATAAGAGATAAAAACATTTTTTCCCCTTCCCATATAAATCTTTAGCCTGACTGTCCCTTTTTTAAAAACTCTCACTGGTAAAAGCTATACTATGAAACTTTTTATATAAAATTCTCAGGTTTCGAGTGGAGAGGCCCTTGAAGAGGGAAAATCAACCATGTAAGGAAAAGAACCAACAACTTTGACAAACTTGTTAAAAAAGTGTATTCAGTTTTTAATATTAATGTCCATCCACTGAACTTTCCTACTCTTTTCCACGCAGAATTTTTTATAATTTTTTTTAAAGCAACAACATTTGTCTGTCTGACATCCAGATTAAAGGAATGCCCTGTACATGTTAGATCTACTTAAGGAAAAAAAAAAAGAAAAAAAAAGTATCTCAGAAGATCTGTTTTGCTGATGTCTGCCAACATAAAAGTCTGACTATTCATCTGTAAATTAAATCATTCTTAAAGTCCATTTTCAAAAGTGGTCAGATTAATCAGTCTAACTTCATTTGAAAAACAAAACCTCAATACAAACCAGCAGCTAAATCAAGAGCAAAAGGAAGGAACCTGGTGGCAATTCCATCAAATAGAAATTACTGAAACAAAATCATTTTGCCCATAACAGAATCTCAAAGTAAACATGGCAGGTTCATTAGGAGTCTTGCATCATTGAGTTCCCACTTCCATAGCCTGACTGATACTGTGAAGATGCCAGTAGCAGAGTCACAGCAATGGTATTGACAAGGGGATTTCATGGAGGATAGTCCAAAACGAAACCCGATGGGGAAAAAATGGAGAAAAATAAAAAGGCACCAATATAAGCCACAACATTTATGAATACAATATATTTTAACTCTCTACATGGAGGAAGCCAACCTGCTCCTTTTTGATCTTCTTCTTTGGCACAACTTCAGTGGATTTCTCAGACTCTGAGCGGGTTCGAATCGATCTTCTCTGTTGCTTCTTTTCTACAGAACCTGAGGAAGGAAAAAGGTTTCCATTATACGATTCCTTGTATTTCTGAGGTACAGCAAGATGTACAACACCAAATCAACAGATAAAGTAATGAAACCAAGACTTTTTCCTCTTTTGAATGTTTTATTTTTAAATTCAGTTCCAAGCTATTTGCCAACTGGTGCTGTGGTTGCAGACAACACATTCTGATTCCACAGACAGAGAGATCAGCTTCAGAAAAAGACACCAGTAACAGAGCGAAACAAAAAGCTGGAATCCAATTTAGGGCAAACAGATTTTCATAACACACCTCAAGCACAGTCTTCGCTTTGGTTAATTTAACCGAACAGTCCATCTTTGGTGTTTATGGGAAGGCATCCACAATCAACTTCTTGAACTAAAACAGGCTAGAAATTTAAGACACAAAACACAGCTTCCAAGTTTTCACTAAAACCACCAGTTTTGTGCCCCTGCTCTGCAAGGGCACAGCCTTCTATCAGAACTGGCTGACACAAAAACTTAGGAACCACGCTGTAACACGTGCCATCAATAGGAAATCTGAACGCTCAGCTAAAGATTTCAAGAGGTGAAGAAAAACTCAGCACAAACAGAAGCAGTGATCATTGTATATTATAAGTAATGAATGTGAAAACCAAGTTTTTTAAAATATCACCATGGGAAACAAACTCAGATTAATGAAGGTTATTATGACATTTCAAGAGATGAAGTAGGCGCTACTGGTTTTTTTTGACAACTAAGGCTGGCAAAATCAGAAGACCTTTCTACGCTACAGTACCGCCAAAAAGGCCATATTGAGAAACATGTACAACACTTAAAACCATGTGCAACTTTTAGACTTAGAACAGTACTGACAGAAAACTGGACTTTGAAGATTTACAATTATCTGTTGTGAAGCATTATTCTTATTTTTCAGTTTTGTGTGTCTCACCTAAAGACAGTACAAATGTAAAATACTTTGTATTCTTCCAAGCAAAAACGCAAACTCTTGGGACCAGCAATTAGCTTACTGTGCCAGATAAGTATATTGTTAGAAGTTGTAAACCTGCGTCTTCTCGGTAGGAGACAAAATACCTGGAGAGATAGGCAGGCTTTGATCAGACACTGAGAGAAAGCCTTTCAACAGGACTCCAGAAAAAAAAAAAAAATTCACCTTGATTAATCAGATGAGCATGTTTAGCAAGGTTGCATGGCTCAGGAATATTTCAGTAACTGAACTTTCTGGTTGAAATGTTGTTGTTTTACAGTAACTGTATTTCTTCAAGGGGAAAAAAGTTTTACAGCATATTAACTAATTAATAATAGCAATGAGTTATTAGTAATTCAGAAATTAATAACTCAGCTCAACATCCTTCATGTTAGCACCCGTGTAACTTTTGGTTCCAGTGACCACATCCTTTGAGACAGACACACAACTACAATGGTCTCAACACTAAAGCTAAGTGCCACCTTTTGTCACCTTTGTATTCAGTCAGAATTCTCTGAAGCAACTTAAAGCAAATTTGAGCAAGTGTGACCAAACAGTTAATTTAATCAACAATGTATTTTCTCCCTGTGTTGCCCCACTGTAGAAAAGGAAATAAGATGCAAGCCCTGTATCAGAGCCATCTAACATTGGCTGAAAGCAATATTGATCAACGCAACAGGCACTTTTTCCTCTTCCCGCTCTCCAAGGATCCAGTGCATCACCTCCACAATGCTCCTATCCCGTCTTCATGCATATTTTGATCCAGAGTTTCAGGACAGATTTCAGACCAGCAATCTACCTCACTACTGGCCAGGTCAGGTCAGGTTAATCCTGTTTCAGCTGTATGTGGAGACCAGAGGCACTACGAATTCTCATAGTTGTTCTCTCCTTATCAGATTTCAAGTTACAGAATTATTTTCCCGGCATTATGGAATTCTGCATAACTAACTGCAGGTTATTAATAAGGACTCCCAGAGTCATTCTGTAAAATACTTTACCGTAAAGGTATTCTGAAGTTCCGGTGACCTTAAATTTGAAAAAAGGACTTCGCAGTTATGTTCCATGAGAGGGGACCAATAACTGTCTGGACTTTGGAAATGGCTTTGAAAGTGACTGTTTGGAGTGTATACTGAAGTAAAGCTCATGCACTCTATAGGGTGTTATCAGGTGGAGTTTTACGTATCCAAAAAACCTAAGAAAATGAAAAAAGAGAGGCTCAGAATTCTCACCCCCCTACGTCTGAAGAGCCATTGTGAAGGTGAAGCCTTTAGTTCCCAGGTGAGAGAAACAAAACAGAGATCAGCTCTCCTGCTGCACGGCAATTAAAGTAGCAACTGTTTGAAAAAACTGAAGTAGCTACAGCAACTAAACTGGAAAGAAGAACCACTGTTGACAACAGCAGAGGAAACCCCACTCACACCAGAGTATCTGCAGTACTCGGCCTGTATTATAAGTCTCCAAATACAGTCCGTGAAACAGTGCATATGAAAATAAGCCTCCCTAAAAACTACACAAGTACAGAAACTGAAGCATGTTTGCAGAGGACAGTGATCTCGTGTATGTTGACCATTGAGGTTTTTTACCCGGAATCTCATTTTATATTTGGAAAAGGAGAAATAACCAAATAGACAGATAGTTAAAGCAGAAGTGACGCTTGGCAACACTGTAAGATTTTTTTCTCAAGAGGAAGGGCTTTTTTTTTTTTTTTTAACATGCATACTGCAATAAGTCTTCCATCTTTTTCTACTTCCATACCATGAGCATTTGTACATCATACTGCGAGAGAAAATCAAGGTGTTCTGCTGCAACTCAGAATTTACTTTTACACACCCAGTGCAAAACTAAGTATGTTTGAAACTATACCAAGGATATGATTACAAGCACAGTAGCAAACATGTAAGAATTATTGTGGATTTTATGTGGCCTGTACAAAATCTGTGGTTGAAAAACAGAAGTCGCTGTAAGGACTGGAGGAACTTGAAAAACTCTTGGCTTAGGATGACTCAAAGCTGTCTCTTTCCAGGAACCTCCATCCTTTCACCAAAGGGTGTCCATCTCCTCTTGAGGATGATGAAAGGACATACTTCAGACAAATTTCTGCTGGTGGGGAAAAGCTCAATCCCTTTGATAGACTTCCCATTAACTATTTTTCAAAAATCGAAACATGAAAAAAATGTTTTTCTGTTCCAAGTCTAGAAAGCACTTAACCCATTTATCTTTCCCATTCTTCTCTACTACTGTACTAGAAACCAAACTTCAAATAGCTTGTTCCAGGGTTTCCCTTTTCAATGTCAAGCTCCATTATTTGCTTCAGTGGTTCTTCTCCCTCAGACATGATACTTTGAAACTTAGAGCTTTATGATGGGGCCCCTAAAATGCCTGCAAGGTGGCAAGCATTATCTCATTTTGCTGATGGAGTTAGTTGAAGCACTTTAAGGAAAATCACTATCCTTTACAAAGGTCATGCAAGAACTCAACAACAAAGTCTAGGAAAGCACCCATCCCGATTCAGAGCTACTCCTTACTGAACTATGCCACTTCCAGACTCTCTCCCTTTGATCCCTGCTGTTGTATTTTACATTTGGTGCCAAAAGCCATTACAATACTCTGCTAACACACATCCACTATGGTGTCTTTAAAACAACTTGCCATCTGCTCTCCACAAGGCATCCATCCTTCTAATATATTGACTTAGATACTGTAAGTTACAGACGCTAAAAGTTCAGAGGCCAAATCAGCTAATCCCAAAGACATCCTGTGTTCCTCAAGCACCTGGGCTCAGCATGCATTATATTAGCCATGCTTCTTACAACTATTATGTAAACAGAAAGACATAAATCATAGTTTTTAATTAATGGTAAAATGTTGGGTTTGATACTTGAATTTAAATGCCATGTCGCTAGAGTTCAGACAAGGATTCTGCAATTTTACCTACCTGTTGACCCAGAAGTTGTTTCAGGAGAGGACACATTTTGCACTGCTGCTTTTTCATTTCTCTGATTTGATGAAGAATTAAGTTTCTCTTGTCCTTTGACGCTTATTTCTGCTTTGTTACCAACTCCCTTAAGCAGAAAAAAAAGAGAAAAGATTGTCTTAACGTATTTATATGTGTATTGCTGGTAACAGGCATATCGATCTACTTCTAAATATCAGAATAAAAACATTCAATGCTCTTCAATGCAACAGGTACACATGATATCTACTACTACTCTACTTCCCTGCAGAACTTTCCATCCCTCTCAATCTCCCCTTACACATAAGGAAAAAAAAAATTCCAGTGACTTTTCTAAACATTACCTTCTCTATAAGTAGAGAGGCAGGAGAAGGAGGCAGAGAAATAGTCCTAAACCTTTTTCTTACACTGACTGTGAGAAGCTGCTGTGCACCTGAAGGAAGCTAGGAGGCAGAACTCATTTTAAAAGTCTGTTACACAAAATGTAGTTATTACTTTTTAATACATTATTAACAGTTTTGTCATCTCATCCGTTTCCCACAAATCCATTGACTTTAAGATTTACAGAGAATTTCTGGATTATTTCTGTTAGGAAGCTGGAATTAAACAGTTTTAATAGTTTGAACATGTTACGAGCAAAACCATGACCATCTGTAGGAAGCTCCTCTGCCACCAGTCAAAACGGTTACTGCCAGAGACTTTTGGATGCACTGAAATGAAGAGTTCAGTGCACTAAAAGGTTCTGTTGCCACATCTGTCTTTTGTTAGATCTAATCTCTCCAATGAAAGGAACATGTACTGTGAAACACAAGTTTAAGGTCCACAGTAAGACAGACTTGGGATAATTTATGAACAAGAGGAGACACTGCACCAAGTACATACCTTAGTGGAATAAACAAACTGATCGATGAGTTTCCCATCCCCTGCAGCATTCTGAAGGGCAAAAACCTGTTCAATTTTAACAACTGGAGACATGTTACATTTCTGAAGATCCAAGTTGTGCATGGTTATTGAAGCCGGTAAGGATTTTCTAGCTGCAGCAGTTTTCCATGCAATTTTCACAGGAGGTGGCTCCTCTTCTTCCACACTTGACTGCCTCCGTTGGCTCTGCCTTCGCACCTCAGCGTTTGAAGGCGATGCTGCTACCACGTTGGCATGTTCTGCCTGGGTGTTCAACGCTGGCTTCGGTCGCCGGTTCTTCTTAGTCTCTGATTTAGAAGCAGCAGTCTTTTTGGCTTTTGACAGAACCTCCTCTGGCTCTTTGTCTATATAAATGAAGGTGTATTGTTCTATCCTTTCTTCCCGAGTCATTTTCAACGCTTTCTCAGCATGGGCAATACCAATATCCCACTGAGCACGCTCCCTTTGCGGCCTTGGTTTGCGAATCTTAGGGAACAAAGACAGGCAGCTAATTACACTGAAGATTTTGCCCCCTATAGCACTTAAAATGCAACCCTGAGGTTCTTTAAGTCTCTCAGGCAGCAAATTTAAGCTTGCTCTCCATTTACAGGGTATTGGACAGTGAATCCCCTGCTCAGAGTACAAGCAGACACTTGAGCTGGATCATATGACCATCACAATTGAAAGTGTCTGCCCTGATTACAACTTCACTGAAGACAAGAACAGGCACTATTCAAGCCCATAATTCTGTTATGAGACACAGAATTAATCCCAATTTATCTACTTTTAAAATCCTACTTATTTTTCTATAAACACTCTTTTTCTTCCACATTAATATTCTGATTAGCATAAATACTGACTGAAGTAGTCCATGTATAGAGTATGTAATTCCTGTAGGAAACACTTCCCTTCCAACAGAACAATGGAAAAGAACATATCCGCTAGTAGCACAGGCTGGAATAGTGTCATTTAAAAACTGTATTTTCCAACAAACATGTTAATAGTGAACACACAGGCACTGTTTTTATTGAATACTTTAATACAGATGTAAAATTATCTCCAGTGCCCAGGAGGCCTACCATCACGACAAGCCGACAAAGTAGCTTCAGCTATCAGCCTTTTCACATGGAAGTCAGAGCATGGAAACATTTTTGTTACTTTTGTGAAAAACACCTTTGCCCTGAAATGCAGACAACCCTTTACAGGGTAAAGTATTACAGTTTCAGAACTGCCCAGGGAGAGTTTCACTTACACAGGCTCCGTAGATAACTCTCTACACAATTAGTGTTCATCATACCTTCTGTTTCTCAGAGTGGTTGCTGGCTTGCTTAGCAGCCTCAGCCAATAATTGCTCATACTGTTTGTGTCCTTTGTACTCTCGAACCCGCTTCTCGTGCACCCACGCCCTCTCTGGCTGGTTGCTAAAAAACTGAACATGGTATTCACGGGCACCTGAAAATGAAAAATTCTAGTCAGCAGTTTTATCAACATTGCTTTGCTGGTTTAGCTTACTCTATCCTCCTCCACATCACTCAATTCCTGCAGGTGGAAGTATCTAGCTAAAATTAAGAAATAAGGCGGGCCTAGATTTAGAACAGTTTAAGATGGAAGGTAAGCATACCCTGCCCACCCTGAACACTCCCATGCTTATCAGTGTCCTCTCCTAAATACACTGACTTGAGAAAAGTGGGAGTATCTGTGCACAAGCCTAGTATGTACAGGCTCATCTGCAGAGGTAATTTAATAGGTACTAGTTTTATACATTTCAGGAATAGTCTTGTTTAGCATACACACAAGCAGAACTCGTCCTGCAAAGCATGTTCAAAGACGAGGTATTTTCAATAAAGGAACAACTACAGACATCTGATATACTCTGGCAAAGATCTTCCTCCCTTACCTCTTGTATTAATTTTGGTATGAACATCAAGCTGTGGATCACATGAAACCATGCAAGGCCACCATGGGTATGTTCCCACCTTGGACCAAACCAGATCGCCAACCTGAAACTTGATGTCATGGGTGACTTGCGTTGGAAGAGAAGGCAAGAACTGCTGAACCTACAAAGAAAAAGTAAGCTTAAAGCCACAGAAGATAATTTAGCACACTTAGAGATGCACACACTATCCACAAGGACTTGTTATTTTTCTCTCGGGTATGCCTGAGGTTTGGTAATCTAACACGAGAGAACCGTTTCTTAGAAACATTACAGAAAGGAGTTACATACAGCTAAGCTTTACACAAGACAGTCACTGACAAACCAAGACACACAACAGCAAACCCTCTCCCCACCCCAAAAAAAGTTCTACTTCGTAAGTTAAGAATGTTGCTCTTGGGATAAAATAAAGCAACAAATACAGTGCAAGGAGAGATGTTTTGATGCAGTAGTGATTAGTAAGAGTTTCAAATAAATGGCAATTGATTTATCTGACAAATTAAAGAATCCAGGTAATAATTAGTTCAAAAATAGTAACACGCTAGAAGTTCTTAAAGTGTTAATTAGTGTATGTACTAACCGGGGTATCCTCCAACACTGTATCTTCTCTCGGTCTTTCTGATAGCATGCTAAGCCTCTCATTTGGTCTCTAGGAAATGGGTAACAATGAAGAGAAAAAAGGAAAAACAAACACAAACAAGGTAAGGGGACAGTAAAACAAAAAATAGCCAATAATGAAACCAGGGAGAAAAAGTAATTCACAGAGAGAAAGGCAACCATGAACCCAGAAAATATGAATATGATGACTCTTTATGCCCAATTCAAAACATAGTAGCATCACAATCAAAAAATACATTTTCTCCCTACACTATTTACATTACCATCACACCTATATACAGCAGTGTTATCTTGTAACAGGTGATAGAAGAACATGTACCCAGGGACAGTAAAACCAAATAATTTTCCACTTAATACAAAACTTCAAAGAAACAGAAAAGAACATATGAAGGATATCCATAGTAACGTGATAAGTCTCATTGTATATCGGTTATTTGCAAAAACTACATTACAAAAATCGTATTAAATATACAATGTGAAAATTGTAAACTTGATGTTAAATTGCATATAGTTGACCAATTAATTTGGAGGACCAAAAGTCAACAACATGAAGCCTACGGTGCCTATGTGAGGCACACGTGCAGTCTATTCTGGCAGAGCAGGACAGGAAAAGGTTTTGACAGCAGAGGGATCACCACAGAACAGAAGCTCACGCCACCGGTGGAGTGGCCATGATAGGAAGTGTGATGACACAGCAGCTGAGAAGAGGTGGGCCATGAACTATCTAATGAGACAGAGACCAGATGTTTGCTTTTACTACAGTAGAGGAGCAGTCAGTAGTCAAAGGACTCAGAGAGCAGCAAAAAGAGGAGTCAAGACACATGCAGTGAGAAACTAATAATGCTGTTAACCCAAATTATACCTGGTTCATTTAAAATGAAGGCCTCAAGTTGCACCAGGGGAGGCTTAGATTGGATATCAGGAAAAATTTCTTCACCAAAAGGGTTATCAAGCATTGGAACGGGCTGCCCGGGGAAGTGGTGGAGTCACCATCCCTGGAGGTCTTTAAAAGACGTGTAGACGTGGCACTCAGGAACATGGCTTAGTGGTGGACTTGGCAGTGTTGGGCTAACGGTTGGGCTCAATGATCTTAAAAGTCTTTTCCAACCTAAATGGTTCTGTGATTCTATGTTAGTCAATACTGCGTGCTTCAGCTCAGGGAAACTAGGAAACACACATGTAAACATCATCTAGAACAATGAAAGCCAGTATCTCATTTAGGGCAGTCTGTAGAAAACCATCATGACAAATCATATTAGTATTTGCTGGGCAGAAATCATTTGTCCCTGGTACAGCACAAAGCACAGCAATGACTCCTGCCTTTCTTTTGCTACAGTGAGTAAGTGGAAACTTCCTCTCTGCCAGGAGAGCCAGGCTGATGACAGACTGTAAACCTCTAGCTCCTCACAGAACACAACTAACCAGCAGAGTAGCTTATTCTTAAAACAAGTATTCAGAGTTCAAAGTTCAACGTTGTGTTCATAACATTTTCATTTCAAATCAACCTTTCGGGTAAGAACATACCCACACAGTCAGTGGGTTTCCACAGAGATCAGTGTCAGAATGAGGCAACAACTGCAGATCACCTCACTTTCCAATATCCATGCTGAGCAGAAAAGTGTAAAACAACCGCAGCTGTACCAGAAGTTTTGTTTGTTCCTATTAAGATGATCCAAAGTTACAAGTCTCATACCATTAATACTAAAGATGACGACAGTGTCTGTGGTGAACGTACATGAAGATGAAATTGTGCAGTGGAAAGGCAAACGGTGGGAGGATGAAACTGAGACTGCACTGGATAATTCGTAAAGAAAACCACTAGCACAAAATCCTGTTCACGTCAGTGTGATCTGCTGTCTGAAACAAGGGTGAGTAACATGAAAAATTTTATTGCAACAACACCTTTTGAAAGGGAAATGGAAGCTACAAGGAGGACAAAAGCAAGACCAAGATTTCTGGTGAATTCTGGATGACACACATAACTAGGAACTTGAAACGAGAGGCAAGGTTTTAGTTCAATCTGGGAAAGGCAGCATGCTGGGTAAGGCAGAAGATTACGTTCTCATGATAACCAGGTAACACCAGTCAAACAGAGGAACAGGCACAGCTGAAACTTCAAGAGTAGAACTGCAGTCCCTGGTAAGAGGGAGGCCAAAATGGTAAAGCAAAACTGACAGCCTGACGTGGGGGTGACAGAGGTGACAGAAGTCTAGAGAAAAGGCCACAGAGCCTGGATAAAAGACTGCGTCTTCTGCTGAACTCTGAAAAATCCAAACTCACTGAGGTTTGGTTTCCGTGACATTGAGGGATAAGCGCACGATTTAAACGAAGGACAGGCAGACGACCACCACAGGAGCAGCAGAGGCACACAGCGGAGCGCTGAGGGCCAGAACAGGCCCCCGGCCCTCCCCGCGGGGAGGCTCCCCCCCGGCCACCAGCCCGCCCGTCCCAGCTGGACGGTCCGTTTCGAGTTTGGATTACAGCGTTTATTAACATCTTCACTAGAGCCAACTGTGGTAACCGGATATAGTAGAAAATCTTGATACATCACCAACCAGATTTCTGGCAAAGGTCCACTTACCAGACGGGAGATGTAACAGTTATAAACTTGTAAATATTCCTGGTAAGGGGTGTGCATACGTGAAATTCGCGTGTCTCCCATTAAAAGTAACACCACCATCACTACATCAAGCATATGAACCTGCAATCCTAGAGCAGCAGGACAGGATCTTCTCCCAAACCTACCAAAAGCAGCAAGTACCAGGGGGTTTCACAGGAACTTACAAGAAACTCAGCTCCATACTGTAACAGCCCAGCCCGAGCTGGGCAGCTTCCGCCCTGGCCTGAAAGGGCAACTTCCCCATTGCAGACACTCGCCACTCCTCTCTGCTACACACTCCCCTCAAACTGGGAAATACAGAAACCAGTATCGCAGAGTGGGCAGGAGCAAGCAAGAGAAAAGGAAACAAGTAATGAAATGGCTTATAAAATTGAATAAAAAAGAATGGCTGAGAGTAGTGAAGACCTATACTTCGTCTCTCTACTTCCTGGAATCCAAGTTAGAACATCACTTATGTATACACACCCTGTATACATACAGCCATATGAAAAAACTTGACAGAAACAGTCATAGATATCAATATTGAAATTCCTCAAAGTTTGCAAAGTCAACTTGTACTTCTAATTTGCCTACTATTTTCTACTGGCTTCTACATATGCTACACGGCTCTTAGGTTTCATATCTCTTTTGAGATACACCCCCCTTATCTCTTTTGAAAGGTATTTATAATACCTTTCAAAAATTAATTAAAAGCTGCAATGCTGAACACTCCAAGTAACCCAACTTCCCACTGAATAACCCAGCATTATTTTGAGAGGTAGTTTTAGGAATGTGTACACTTCTATGCTTTTGGACAAAAGCCCCATCTTCAACACCGTCCAAAGTGTAGCAAGCTCTGAACATTCTAAAACACTAAATAGTATTTTAAAATACTACATATCCTTTTCTAACATTTATTTTTCATATTCAGTCTTTTAACCAGAACTGTGTTGTCCTAGAAATACAGTTCCTAGCAATCTAACATTGAGTATCTGACAAATAAATAAAGCCTCATGACTTTAAGTACGTATACAACTAAAAGTAAGGGAAAACCACTGCTGAAGATGAATACTCCATCAACAATATCAGGCATACAGATGGCTGAAACTATTATTCCACTTACATTTTGCTCCTCTGGTTCTAATTTTGGAATTTTGTGCGGCTTGCGCTCTTCCGATCGGGAAGAGTCATGCTTGCTACTTTTTTTCCTTTTCTCTTTTCTCCCTTCATGTTTCGCCTTAGCATACTCACTCGCTTGTACTTCATTTAAAAGGTCCCCACACAGAGAGGACTCAAACAATTCCCTGCCGTTCTGGATAGTTTTGGTTATTTTTAATTTGATCTCTGGTGAGCCAGTCTTCTTTGGAATCACCGTTTGTGAAACTGAAGGTGGTGGTGGAGGTGGCGGCTGTGGAGGGGAAGGTTTTTCCAGAACTTCATGCGGCCTTGCGTTAGAGTTTTCCATTTGGTAATACTCTGGGGGACTAAAGTTTCTGACTGTACCAAAACCATTGGCTGAACCATTGGGATACTGACTGTACGTCTGGTATTTGGCTTGAGGTTCGTACATATTGATGGTTGGTGGGTAGCCATTAGTGAGGGGTGGAAGGTCCTCCGTCGTGGGCGTAGGGTACTGAAAGCCTTGTTGCAGGGCAGTTTCGTATGGCGTTTGACCACCATCTTCAGCAATGTCACTGCTGGCATCAAAGGCATCCTCTTGGCGGATGTTGGCTGAGTCAATGAGTTGAGGTGGTTGCTGAATTGTGTTTCCCATGATCCCTTGCATGAAAGAGAAAGAGAAATCCATTGTTCTGCTCCAGCATCCTTAGCTTTCCCTTTTTCTCATAGGGCCTAAAGGCAGGGGAAGGGAAAGAAGAAGTCAGCTTAAATCAAAAGGTAATAATCAAGCAAATTAAATTGTTGAGAAAAAGAGAGACCTGAAGACCAATTCCCCCCCCCCCTTTCAGTAGCCACCCTCCTGTGGATTCAAAGGACTGGTATTACTAAATCTTTAAAAAGGGCTATTTACACATTTCTGCAGAACAGCTTTTTTTACACAACCACTTTCTTTTCCAAGACACTTAAAGAAATGTTATAAGCACCTGTAAGTGCTTAAAAACTATAAGCCCAAGCATTACAAAGTCAGAATAATGGTGCTAAAATTCCAAATTCCATCCTCTATAGCCCTCCTCGTTTGGCACTAGGAAGCATTATTCTAACACAAAGCAATAAGACAGCATACTCTGACCCTCAACATACAGAAGATACGAGTTCTCTTGACACCATAGTCACTGCAAACTGAACAAGACAGAAAAAACACAGAAAGACCACTCAAGACAGAAACCTCGCCTCCTCCTCCCCACTTCCTTGCCAAAATTCGAGACAGATGAGCAGCCCTTGGCCAGCAGGAGAGCGAAGCCGTGGGCTTTTCTGAACAATGGCACAATTACAGTGAATAGGTCATTCCACCTCAGCTGCTGGGAAAACCAGTTCATAGTGTCAGCCAGCCTCAGATGGGGTTTCCCAACCTCTTCCCTCACCAGAAAAGCAGAGAATTTGCACCCATTGGCTCTCAGCAGCTAAGTGAGGAGGTTTATTCTCCTCATCCCCCTGCCTTATTTTAATATTAAACACTTAGAGCTTAAATGCTACGTGGTTCTGAGGGAGAGAAAAATAGCTTCAGCATCAAAAGATCTCCAAAACCTGAGGCTATTCACAGAATTAGATTACAGCTGAGAAAGCTGTCATACATGCTTTCAATTTTCCATTGCATATTAAAACAAAATCAGACTAGAAAAGTTAGGTTTTCAAATCCCAACTACTGGCTCAGAGAACCAGTAGTTCTGCATTCACCTAAATAATACCAATGCTCAACAAGAAATATACAGTGACCTGAACTTCAGGTACGAAATACAAGTTTGCTTCCACAGCAAGGTCAATTTAGCCCTTCCAAAGTAAACATAGCTCTCTATTATTTATTCTGCCTCTGTGTAGGCATAAAGGAGGGTTACTGTGCCCTTTTGGTCAGGGTTTGAAGTGACATTAACACATCCCACAGATATTTCTCATAATAAGAATCTACATATAACCCTGCCCACACTGAATTCTCACCCTCCCAATGCAACACATCGCAATACCTTATCTAATAGTTTTCAAAACACCAAGAACACCTCCCTCCTCTGAGACTGCAAAAAGAAACTGAAGTTATAACCGTAACAAGTAAGAACTTGATCAGAATTTTGCTGTATGTTCTGTGGACTTTGTACTCAGATTACATTGATGTTTGTATTCATTTTACTGCTCTGCACAATCAACTAGGGTTACGTTTGTCACTGTAATTAAGTGACTTAGAGAAACAACAGCACAATGCTATGCAGCAAAATTCACTCATTGCAGTAACTTTTAATTCTCATGGCTGTAAACCCATCCCTCCTCTCCAGCAGCTCTCTGCACATCAGCCACAAAACCAACACAGAAATGTTACTGTTGAGGGGACAGCACATCTGAGGGACAGCACATGGAGCAAGCAGGATTGCGTATCAAGGTCAAAAACACAAAACCACCACCCATTCTAGGAAGAGGAAGTGGGACTGTTTGTACTACTTACCAATTAATTGTTACTTTACATCTGCCAAACTGAAGAGCAAACAACAGATTTCTCACACTAGTAAGAAATTGCACCCCCGGCTGCTTTTATTTGTTACTAAAACCAGGTTCAATCTTTTTTTTTCTGCCGAAGGCTTAAAAAACCCCAACTTATCCTGAGAAGCTGCAGTAGCGCTTCAGTCATCCTGGCACAGAGTCAAAGCAGAAATAGTTCAAGAAATTTCAGAATTACTCCTGACTTGAACTAAGAACCAGAATGTTAAAGAAGAGATCTGTTAAAGTATATCACACCAGGACCCAAACTTTGGTGTGGCCACACCAGAACTATAAAAAGCAAAAATCAACTTGCAGAAAATGAAACTCTATAAAACAAAACAACATACAGCATTCTGTGCTTTGTTAAGGATAACTTTGCTAATATCACATGGTATTTGAGTAATTATACTTTACGTTTTCCTTCTTATAAGTCTGAGTGGAAACTCTGTAAGTTTTGGTTTCTGCTGGAAGATGCTAATCTGAGGTGGTAAAATAACTTTAACACTTTTCATTTCTCTGTTGAGTGGTAAGAGAAAGGACAATAATTCATTTAAAAGATATTTTTTTCCCCAGGTGCATTTCTTTGGCCTTATTTACAGTGTCAAATATCAAGACAGACTACTCATTTCACTAGACAGTAGAGCTCCTCTAATGAGCAAGCATCTCATGGTGTAAGAGGAAAAAAACCCTCACTGCTGCTAACAGAATAACTAATCCTCCACCCAGCCAACGCCATCAGATTTAGGGCCTCCACAAACTCTCGTTTTCAAATTAGCAATGGATATTTACATTCAGGAGACTGCCCTGAAACTGTACATCTGCACATCTAGTCACACAATTCACTAAGTACAGAGTGAGAACTTGTGCCTCAACTGGTGTATCAGGGAGAAAAAAAATCCTTCTCTCCTACTACTGTGACCTGCGGGTTACATAATCTGGTCATTCAGTTCACTTCTCTGGCAGCAGTTTAATGGCATGTCACTCTAGGCAACATTACAGAAATTCTGATCCGCTGAATTCACTTAAATCTCCCTTAAAAGCTTCTCTAAAATTGAGCCACATCATCAGGTGAGGATGCATACAGAACACTAGAAGGCTGTTCATGCAATCCACAGCCAAACATTTCAGTTTGAGAAGCACTGAAAATGTACAACAGCCTAAGCAGAAGGTTTCAGCATTACCTTCTCCCATCCCTCTGAAGTTAGAGCAGACCTTTATCTACTACACTGGCAACTTGTAGTGTTTCCTTAAAAGAGCTTCCACACTTTTTAAAGTTGGGATATAAACCGAAGTATTTTGTTCAGCATTTCACTGGGACACCAAAGTTTATTTATTCTCCGGGATGTTGCAAGCATATATCTGGCCGATTACAAAGTCCTGTATTAAGCTATTCATATTCGCCCATTATAATTCCATCTATAAACATCATTCAAAAGTTGATGATCTACAGACTGCTGAGTGATTTAATGAAGACTCTTTATGAGCCCCAGCCCTGCTCCTAATAGGAAGAACTCCGTGCCACACGGCTAGAGCACTAAGCCGTGACAAAACTACAGGCTTCTCATCACGGTCATGTCTGTCTGGGACTAAAGTGAGATGCACTAATTGATCAGTGTAGCCAGCAAAAGTCCTTACCCATACACAGACAAAGGATGCTCTTGCCAGGACAGCTTATTTTTCTCAGAAGGGCTGCAATAAGGTATAGCGACAATGCAGCTTTGCTAGTGTCGAGAAGCAGAAGTTCTCTACTGATACCTTGGTACAGCTATCCCACCAAAGCGGTATTAATGAGATCCAGACACAGTATTAACAGAATTCAAAAGCTGCACGACAGCGTCTGGTGCCTCTTATCTCCTCCACATCCAGCCCTCCAGGTCAGTCCGCCCAGGCTGCCCCGCTCTCGGGAGCGGCCCGGCCCCAAAGCTGTCAGTGCGCCCGCCTCCAGGGGCACTAATCGAAGAGGACGGGTCATCAGTGTGCTTCATTTTGTTACGTGACAGAAGTTGTGGATTAATGAACTTCAAAACACCCTACTGACATTGGATTTAGGAGTTACCGGTAAAAGATAATAGTCTGATTATTATTTTTTTAAGTAATTCCTTTCTGGAGCTCACCTGCTTAAAATAGTCCTCGATGCTAGCCCATGCTTCATAGCCGGGACAGTTTGCACACCTGCCCCATTATCTTCCCATGCAGGCTGCAGGAGCAAGGATTATTGCTTCACCAACTTGCTACTCTCAACAGTCTTAGAACACAAGAGGTTGTTCTCCTCCCACAAAGCTGACATCACCCGGAGCTTCTTCCTTCTGAGCCTTTTGCTGTCATCACTGTTAACACACCCAGATTCTCCCACCCTTCTTCCTTTCCAAAACCCTGCATCAGTTTGCTCATTTCTCAGTTGCTATCCACTGAAGTGGCACCGGGGCTGCGTTACAGTAAAAGGACAGCCCCGGGAGCATCGAAATAATACAACAAAGTGATGAATCCTGAACATATAGCTTTCTCAACATTTAAACCTCAGGAAGGTTTACTTTGTAAAAGTCACTCCCAAACTCTAGTGCAAAGAATACCCCACTGTCATTGAAATATCAACAACAGGCTCAAGAGAGTCATACCTATCCTTCCTCAGCAGAGGAACACTACCTTAACCACAAGTGAATGTGATTTTTTTTTAATGATACGTGTTGATCTTGCAGAAAAGTATTGAAGAATAAATTCTTTTCACTGTAACAGCGATTACTCTCTTAAATTACAGTATCAGCCTTACAGTACATCTGCAAGCTGTAGAATTTGGCTTCCAAATATGACCCATAACAGATACCGCACTGATATGACACTGGAACTCAACCAATGGATAAAGAAACAATTTAATTATTTCAAGGTTTATAGGAAGTGGATACTTTATAGAAACTAGAAAACAACTTGAAATCAATGATACCTTTAAAATGGCAACTGAATTTCCTAATGAGAGAAAGAGTTTGTTCTCTAAAACCGGGTAGCCAGCATTCTGTACTTGTCCTTTCCCACGGCTGTAGGATCTTCTGGCTGAGCAGGAAAACACAACTGTTTACAGACACTGAGACTCTACACATGGACACTGTTTCAGCAAATATTTTCATGTTGCCCACAGGAGAGTCACAGTTCAAAGTATCAGAGGAAAAAGTCAATTAAATAAAAAATGTAAGCAGTACTAGATAAGGTAGGTCAGCCTAGTAGAGCTCTTACAGTGCTCCTTCTTAAATTAACACTACACTTGTCTCACTTCCCACCTCGAGCTTCTAAACTTGACTGAGCGTACCTTGAAAAATTCAGTTACACCTTCAACAGTGAGCGCCTGGTCATGGGAAAGTTTCAAAGAGATTAGAAATCCTCTCGATTCATATTTTTCACCAACAATTGCACTTATCTAAAGCCGTTTTTAGCAACTTCACTCTTAGAAAACAAGATACTGATGTTCTCAGGTGTTGCTTTCATGCTGCAGTAGACTAAATAATAACCGACCTCTCAGATTATCAAACAATTCTGAACAATGCTGATGCTATCTGAAGAAAGCCTTTCTTCCTCCCAATGAGAGAGTTTTGTAGGTCTGCACAAAATACAGCAACACAGTAGCACTTTACCTGAACAATACACAAACGTGCATCTATCCACTGTATTATTGCTGAATCGGGAAGAGCTCAAAAAAGTGAGAAAAGATGTGGTGACTATGCGATGCGTAAGAGGAACTTCCTCAATGTCAGAAGCACCCTCCACTACTCATCACTGCACAGGAGCCCAAGGTGAAGACTCCCAAGCAGGAGGAGGGAGGGCTGTCTCCAAAGCCCGCTGGATGCGGAACTTGGACAAACGGGCCGCACGTAGCCAGAGGCTGCCAAGCGACTGAGACCCGCGGGGTGCCGGGCGCTTCCTGCCCATGGCTGCCAGCTCACAATCCCTGCTCCCACCAGCACGGCCGCCTGGCAATCTGAGGCCGGCTATCACCACAGTGATGAGCCAACACAACATCTACTCGTCAAGCGCAGCACGGATCTACTGTGAACTGAGTTTCCACAAAACCTTCCTGAACGAATTTTACCCTTTTCTGTTGACAACCACCACGTGGGTAGCCCTGCCTAAAGCAGTTGGGCTAGCACTTTAGTTAGAGGCAAGGCATTTCACACAGATGGAAAGTATCTGCTGTGAGAACAGAAACTATCCTACTGGCTCACTGACTGAGTTGAAAAAAAAGCAACAATTTGAGTCAGTCTTATGTGTTCAGTGAACGGTGTCACTGCCTTGTCACCCTGAGCTGGACTTTCTATCAACAGCCTTGAAAGCAGAAGTTCTGGGTCAGCTGTACGCACAAATGACAACCCAGCTCCTGTCCAGAGAGACCCGAATCAGAGAGAGTCAAAGATCTATTCCTATCCTACCACTCCTTCATTACCTGACTCACCAGACGTACGTTTACTGCCCCTTTCTGCACTGTTTCATTCCAATGTATGCCCGTATCTAACCTGCACTGGTAATGGTCACCTCAAACGTCAAGCCACACAGCAGCTATCCTCACTAGATGTTCACTGCTGGAGGTGTTTTACAGACAGACAGCTCTTTGGCTGGAACAGGCTAGGTTGGTCAGGATTCTGAAGTGATGCAATTGACTGTCACGTTTCCATTTCTCCTCTCAACACCTTACAACTTTGCTGAAGTTCAGCACACACACCTGCCACCAAACTCCTCGTGAGAACCCAACATACCCACACTTCTTCCACAGCCATGTCGAAAATCACCTGGAGGGTCACCTTTATCAACTGTAACAGCATTCTGTGATGTTCAAATTATACGTACTGTAGCCAGAAATAATTATTCTTATTGATTCCTGTATTCAGTATTTGCAGTCTGCTTTGTCCCATTTTGTTCTGGATGTACTTAAGAAAACATGCACGGGAAGTTTTATTTACATACGTTAAGACAATACCAAGTTTTTCAACAACATGTAGACTCATTAGCAGAAAAACTGTAGCCTGTAGATTTCTACTGACTTCAGCTGGACTGAGCAGTCTCTTCTGGCAGACACTGAGGGTGAATCAGAGGCCTCCTGACAAACTTTAAAGCACGCAGTAAGGCCGACTACTTCCCTGTATACCTTTTTAAAGGTGGTTTGGTGTTTTCTTAAGTGCCAGAAGAAAAAGTCATGCCTGTAATATGGTTTTGATAAGGCCACTTTTAACAAGTTTCCCATGGTGACATGGAAAGAAACAACTGGCACATAGTAAAGAAAATGCTATGCATTAAAAAGAAAAACAAAAAAAAAAGGGAGAAAAGGGGTTTGTCTTGAATATGAGTTTAGAGTACTTGTTTGTTTTTAGAGCCTCAGGATTCAAATAGGAGATGTGGAAGACAATCTTTTGTTCAAGGAAAGCCACAGATTGATATTCACATAAAACCAGAAGTCCGATCTTTGGCAATACCAAATATTGTAAGAGTGGTTACATGCTTTCACTTATCAAAATCAGTGTTATAACTGCAACGTATTTCACGTGAACCGCTTCAAACTCAGACAAACTTGCCAAACTGAAAAATGCAAACCCACAGATGTATTAAAACAAAGCACACAGTCTTTGATCACCATCCTCTACTCTTACTCTGTAACTTCATAAACTACATGCTCGCTTTTTGGAGCAAAATCTTTTCAAGCAGTTCATTACTATTATTTATTTTTTAAATCTAACTGCCAAAATATTCTCTGTGCATCTCTACAATAAGCCACTGGAAGACTTAAATGGTCATCAAAACAGGCTACAATTTTTTCTTCAACTCGGATCATAAACTACTTTACATTGTCTTTTGTGTGGGTTGGTATATATAGGACTACGTTAACATAAAATTTTATTTAACAACAAATTGAAAATCTTAGACCTGTGTTAAAATTGTTAAGTGTATTGACCGTCAAATGAAAGCAGAGAGAGTAGCGCAAAAAAAAAAAAAAAAAAACAAAAACAATCCAAGAAACAACAAACCCTTATGCCCATGCTTCAGAGCACGCAAGGAAAACCTGTTTATCGGAGAAGTTGACAAGTACGCGGTTCGGTCCCCAAGCCGGCTTTGCATCGTCCCATAAGCGCGCGGTCCAGGCTCCAGCCCCAGGTTTCTCCCCCCCACGGAGCTTTGGGGCTCGCCGAGACCGGCTCCCCCCCCAAACCCTCCTCGGTGACCCGCCGCCGAACCGCCCGCCGGCCGGAGCGAGGGCTGGGGAAGCGCTGGCGGCCGCCGCTTGCCCAAAACCCAGCCTGGGGCGGGGGGACAAGCGAGCGGGTCCCGCTGCGCCCCACGGAGCCCTGCCCGCCCCGGCCCTCCGCGGCTCCGGGCAGACGGCGGGCCGCCGCCGCGCCCGGCGCTGCCCGCGGGGTCGGGACGGCCCGGGGCCCACCGCCCGCGTCCCGGGGCCCAGCGCCCGTGCTCCACCGCCCGCGCCCCGGGGCCCACCGCCCGTGCCCCAGCGCCCGCGTCCCGGGGCCCACCGCCCGCGTCCCGGGGCCCACCGCCCGCGCCCCGGGGCCCACCGCCCGTGCCCCGGGGCCCGTGCCCCACCGCCCGCGCCCCACCGCCCGCCCTCCGCGGGGGCGGCCCCGGGGACCGCGGCGCCGCCGCGGCGCCGGCACCAAACATGGCGGCCTCGGCCCCTTTAAGCCCGGGCGGGCCGCCGCCACCGCCCCCGCCAAGCGCGGCCGCCCGCCGCCCTCACCTTCAGTCTGTTCCATTCTAACTGCCCCCGCCGCGTCCACCCAGCCCAGCGGAGACAAAGGCCGGCGGCGGGGGCGGCGGCGGCGGCGGGCCTCCCCCGCCTCCTCCCGCAGCAACAGCAGCAAGGCCGCGACGGAGCCCCGGCCTCGATTTCCGCGCCCCCGCCGCTGGCGCCGGGCTCCGCCCCGGGGAGGCCGCCCGCTCCCCCCACCGCCCGCTCCCGGCCGGTGCGGCCAAGGGGAGGCGCTCGGCGGGGCGCGGGCGGGCGCGGGCGACCGCTGGCGGCGGGGGACGGCGGCGCTCCGTGCCGCTCTGCCCGGGTCCCGGCCCCGCTTGCGCGCCCGCCGCCTCCGCCCCCCCGCCGCCGCCGCCGCCGCCGCGCCGCACCGCGCAGGCGCCACCCCGCCGCCCCCCGCGCCCCATTGGCCGCCGGGGGCGGCGCCCGCCGCAAGGCACGACGGGGGATGTAGTTCCGCCCCCCCCCAAATCCCCCGGGGCACCGGGGGAGGCGGAGCCGGGCGGGCAGCGCGGCCGCGCCCCGCCCTGCGCAGCCAGGCCTCGAGCATTCCCCCGGGATGGGTATTACCCACCAGGAGCCGTGGGGCCCACCCTCTGCTCGCCAAACGCGCCGCGCGGTAGCCCGCCGGGGCGACGGCGGCGAGAGGACGGCGGGTCCGGTTGACCCCGGCGCGGCGGCGAGCACCGGGTGCCGGGCTCCCCGCCTGCCGAGGCGTTCCCGACCGTGCCGTGTGCCGGGAAACACGCGCGGCGTGGCCGAGGGCACGTGGAGAACCCCGGTTCAGAGGGAGAGTATCGGGACGGGCCTGGCGGAGCCGAGGTCCAGCACCCGCGGTTCGGCGCCTGGGCGAGATCCAGAAAGAAAATGCTGTCACCCGCGGTAGTTTCTAGTCCTATTTTGGCTGAAAAATGGTGCATTGAGATGTTTGCAATTAATTCCCCTCCTCCACAACCCTCAAGTCTTTCTTTTTGCGGAAGAAAACACAACCCGAGTGCACACAATAAATCTTTCCTGCAGCAAAAACACTAACATGCAAGAAAAAAAAAAAAAAAAACAAAAACAAAAACAGAAAGCAAGAAAAGCACAAGAGAGTGGAAAGTAAACAAAATGGGAAGATGACGTGTGTTACCAGCAATAAAAAACAAAAAAAAGTCAGATAATAAAACAATTAAGTAGAGACGTGACCCAACACGAAAGGGGAAGCTGAAGAGCTACGGGCTTTACGAGTCACTGACATGACTCCCAAATTCACACTGTTTCCCACTGCCCAGAAAGCAGAGGCCGGGAGCCCACAGTGAGGAGGTGTTCTTCTTTTCTAGGGGGGCGGGAATTGCTGTAATAAAGTGCATTGAAAAAGCGATTCTCCTCCTCCTTAAACACAATAAGGCACCAAAAATGGAAGTGACCTAGAAAAGGCTTTTTCTCTCTTCTCCTCCCATCTGTAAATGCTCAATGCTTAATATTAAGCGTTAATATTAATACATGGGGGGGTTCTTATGTTCCTGCAGCTGAAGTAGCCAAGGGATGAGAACGTACTTTCTTTCTGATTCCTTCTGACAACTAATGAACGTTATGACAGGAACTAGTTTTTCCTCCATTTCTCTCTTGTTCAGTTTTCTTTCGCATCACTTCTTCCTCCTCCTGATAGCTTTTACTGGAAATGGTCTGCTGGCTGGGAAACTGCACTCAGCGCTAAAGCTGCGTGCGGATGAGGGAAGCGCCACGACAGCAACTACACCTCTCCCAGCCCCTGAGGAAGGCTGGATGATCCGTGCCACGGCCAGCACAGAGCACGGAGTAAGGGAAACGTAACACATCGTTTTGCTTGCCCTGCGCAGGGACTATGAGATATAACCAGCTACCAAAACACAATCACGGTGACCAGCGCCCCTTGCCAGGATCACCACTCAGCCCGCGCTGAGGAACCTGTGGGTGCTTGTCCCCAGCCCTGGGAACAAGCGCTTCTGTGGCTCCGCAGGCGCTGGGGACCTCGCCGCCAGCCTCTGCATTTCCCGCTCCAGGAGGTCGTCGCACGTGGTTCAAGCCAGCGGGCGCCCGCAGCTCCATCAGTCCCAGACCCCAGCGTTCCTCGCACACCACACACCCGAGTGCTTTACAATAATCCCAAAGACGTACGCAAGAGAAAACAATACTCTTGAACACTCGAGGTGGTATGTTCTCCCTGAAGAATGCTCCCCTGTAAGCGCAGCATGCTAACTGCTTCCAGACGCCGTGCCCCGAATCGCGCTGCCTGCCCGCTTCAGATCAGTTCAGGACCGACGCCTGTTCCTGGACAAAGGACCCGTGCCCGGTGCTGCTCCCCAAAAGAAGGGGTGGCCTTGCTAGGGGGGCTCCGAACAGCAGCGCAGAAGCTGCAGCTCTCTGACAGGGCTTTAAGCGTGCGGTGTTGAGGGGGGGCTCTGACCCCTCGTTGATTTAGTGACTTTCGTGAAGGCCCAGCACTTAGCGCAGCAAGGGCGCAGCCATGTATCAGTCTCCCTTGAAGCAAGAGCATCTAGCCCTCGTTCATGTAGGAAAAACTCCTGAAGATATCACCTAAACGTGTTTAAATCACAGTTTTGAGCACCGTGAAAGCCAGAAGGTCAATAAGCACATCTAACAGACTCTGGTCTGCATCGTCTTAGAAACCATCTCACAAATCCACACTGAAATGCATCTCTGAGGAGACAGAAACAGTGTTTCCAAGTTCTGGAAAGCCAGAGCACGCTAGTACAGTACCACAGATCTCCCACTCTAGTGTGTTGAACAAGGGACACCCCCTTGAGCTGGGTTCAGAGGACTGGAGTTTGTGTTTGCCTACTCCTCTAGTTTTAATTTCCTATTCTGTCACTTCCTCAAGCAACAGCCTCTCCCAAGGGAAGGAAAAAAAAAAAAGAAAAAACAACCCCACACCAAATGCCTCTTCTGCGATCCCAGGGGACATGGTTGAGCAGAACCAACTTTGGAAAATAAAACGCATGGAAATGAAATTGTACTATTACATGGTCTGCATTAACAATGCAGAAATGTTTTTGACAGTAAAAAAGTATTTGGCTTAATGGTGAGGTGGTTTTTTTTTTCCAGAATTTCAAGGACTTGGAGACCAGCCCTTTATGGGAATTGTGTTTTCCAACCCATGGGAAACACAGAAACGCTCTGAGAGCTGCGGTGGCAGACTTCGGGAGCTTTCTGTCCCGTTTCTTACCCATCTTCCCCAATTCTATTTTATGCTTTTTAAAATACTTCTTGTCTATTTAGCCACTTGTTAGTGAAGTTGACAGAGTTACAAACTTTCTTCATTTTGGGCAACAAAATGCTTCTCCCCCACTAGTCTCTCAAACGCAGAAGACATTTCGAGAGAGCAAGTCTCCCGTCACTTACTGAGAACGCTCCTCCAGCTGCCTACGCGTCTCACCAGATCTGCTGACCCGCAGGATTTGTCTCAAACGTGTCAGGGCTTGAAACTTCCTTCTGACACCTAATCCCAAGCAAAGCTGTTCTCCGGCAGTAACACGCAGGAGGAGGCTCTACTCTCACATGCGCTGTCGTACGCACAGCTGCTCGGAACACGTCCCGCTCTACATGTAGACACAAACAGCGATCACTTAAACTGGAACCTTTCGCGTAAAAGCAGATTTTTGCGGGTCCCACCTCGGCGCGTGGCTCCCGCTGCGCACCGGGCGCTGCGTGGGTGACGGCGCGAGGGCTGAGGTGCGAGCGGAGCGCCTGCGGCCTCGCCGTTCGGTCCCCAGGGCAGCCTGCCGGAAAACTGAGGAGAAATAACCAAAATTTGGGAAACGGAGGGGCCCCGGTGGGGAGGAGGCCTCGCCACAGGCGCGTCACCCCGAGTGCGCCCCTTCCTCGCCCTCACTTACGTCACGCGCAACTCGCCCGCCTCGCGATGGCGTCACGCACCGGCCCGTGACATCACCCCTCAAGACCCCGCCCTCTCTCACGTCGCCACCGCCACCCTCGCAGCCAATGAGCGGCCCTTTCTGAGGGCACCTCGGGTCAAGCCCCGCCCCGCCCGCCCTCCCATTGGGCGGCCCCCGGCACGGCCGCAGTGCTGCCTTCTGATTGGCTCTCGCCGAAGGGGCGGTGACGCGAGGCGGTGGCGCGATGGAGGGGGAACCATAGAGCGCTGTGCTAGACCGCCGCGGGCAGGGCGCGATGGGCCAGCGCGGGCGGACTGCGGGGAGCGGGAACCGGCACCGGCCCGGGGGAGCGGCGGCGCGGCCCGGTCCCGGCTCCCCTCGCCCCCCCGGGAAGGTGACGCGCCAGCGCTGCCCGCCCGCTCGCCCCCGCGGCTGGAGATGAGGGGCCGGTGACCCCGGCGCACCATGGCCTTCTGCAGCTGGAGGACGCTCCTTGCCGTAGCCAGGCCGAGGTAAGCCGCGCCCGGCCGCGCCCGCACCGTTCCCGCGGTTCCGGGGGCGGCCCGGAGGATAATCGCACCCCAGGGGGGCAAGGAGGCTCCCTGCCGTGGCAGCACCTCCCTTCGGTAATGTCTGCACGGTCACCGGTGCTGCTCCGGCGGTTGCTAGTGCCCGCGCCCAGTGTAACGTCAAGAATGCTTCTGCAGACCTCTGCAGGAGATTACCTGGCTCGACGTGAGAAGTTCAAGGTTTGATTTGTCTAAAACTAAGGGATTTCGGCAGTTGTCACGCTGTACAGCAGCCCGCGATGGCTTGTATAGTGAGAGATCAAGCGATGTCACTGCTTGCCTCTCTCCAGTGTGCAGCCCGTCCTTCCCAGCCCTCGCTGCCAGGGGAGGGAAGGCGCAGGAAATACAGAGAGCTCTGTCCCAAATGCTTGGCGAGAGGACAAGGGGCTTTGGTTTTTTTCCTTTTTTTTGCAACTGGCAAATTTTAGCCAATGCAATTGGTAGAAGGGCTTGCTAGAGGCAGCCTGAAGCCTTGAGTTATTCTCTGCCAAGAGAAAAGTTGTTAGTGTGGGACAAGCTCAATATTTTATCTGTTGCTGAAGGATCAGAGTTTCAGATACCGAGGCAGCCACAAGATCTATTTCACAAGATTAACAATTTGGCACTAAGACTGTTAATTTGCGTGTAACGCCTAGGTACCTTAGCCACAGTGCACTATAGCTTAAATCCCTCTCCAGTTTCAGAGGCGCCCATCTTCTTGCGCACTCCAGTTCTCCATACTCTCCAGCAGTCACTTTTGGCCAACCGGTGGATTCTCACTTAAACCGGACTCGTGTAAGAGACCCTGGAAAGCAGCCCTCGCGGCGCTGCGCGCGGCTGGGTACCGGCCTGCCTCCCGCGCCGCCTGAAGCCGTGCGAACGCTGCACGCGTCCGCCTGCTTGGCTCGGCAGCTCCGGGGGGAACCTCCGCCCCACCCGAGTACTGCAAACCAGGGCACCAAGCCGGCGAGAGCTCCAGCAAATCCGGTCGTGGAGACTCCTGTGGGAAAGAAGTCTTTACGCCAAAAAATGGTGGATGAACTGAAACATTATTACAATGGATTCCACTTGCTTTGGATTGACACTAAGGTGGCTGCCAGGATGGTGTGGAGGCTCCTACATGGTCAGGTCCTCACCAGGAGGGAGAGACGGAGGGTGAGTGCCGGACATGCAAACACCTTGCTAAAATGATGCATTAAGAGGCTTACGGTAATGAAAGAAGTTTTAACTTCTCAGTTTCCACACTTTTTTTTGTGGAAACCTTATTTTGCGTCATGTTGAGCAGTAACTTCTGCTGTGCTCTTCTCCGTACAGTTGCTGAGAACTTGCGCAGATCTCTTCCGGCTGGTTCCCTTCCTGGTGTTTGTCATTGTCCCCTTCATGGAATTTCTGTTGCCCGTGTTCTTGAAACTCTTTCCTGAAATGCTGCCCTCGACGTTTGAGACGGAGTCAAAAAAGGTTTGTGTCCTGCCTGAGCATGTAGACTGTGTACTCCAGCTTGTTAGAACATCCACACAGCTGCATAAAGAGCTGCTGTTTCCTGCCTGCTGCTGTAAACGAGCATCAGCCTCACACACACCAGACATTCCTAGCTTACCCCTATACAGGGCAGCATAATTTGAAGGTTGTACTGTAAACAGTGATCAGCAGGAAGGGGCACAGCAATTTCATTTTCTACAGTAACCAAAGCCTATTTGCTTTCAGTCCTAAAGTCTTATTTCATCTCTTTCCTGGAATCCCCTCCCTTCTGATTTTCAAGTGGAATTTCTAATTGTGTTTTATTTCCTGTATGAAGGAAGAAAAGCAGAAAAAGAAATTAAATGCAAAGCTGGAGTTAGCAAAGTTCCTGCAGGAGACCATTGCAGAGATGGCCAAAAGGAACAAAGCAGATACAGGACAAGGAAAACAGTTCTCCTCGTATGTGCAACAGGTACAACGGGCTGTGCTGGGGCTGACAGCAATGGTACTTATACCAGCTTTAGTGGTGTTTTGGGCAGAGAATATGGGATTTGTACAAAGATTGCAGAGGGGTTTGGCAGCGAAGAGCTGTCCTGTCAGGTGTTATTGTTAACTGGATACTCTACGGACACTGGCTTTTGACCCTCTCTGTCAGAGCTATCTGTACAGACCAGCATTTCCATCCTGGAACAACAGTGGAAGTTTTATGCTGTGAAATCCTTTAAGTGGCCACTCAAAACCACTGTTTTGCTTTGGCCTTTTAACTGTATCGTCCTGTTTCCATCGAGAGATGGCAATACCAGCATGAGAAATGGGAAGGGCTTCTTCCATAGAGGGGAAGGAGGCGTCACGAACTGTGATTCTGTTTAAGTTTGGGTTTTGGCCCTGATGCCTCTGCTTTGTTTAGATTCGTCACACCGGCCATCAGCCCAGTACCCAGGAGATCATACGCTTCTCGAAGCTCTTTGAGGATGAACTGACCCTGGAACACTTGGAACGGCCGCAGTTGGTAGCTCTTTGCAAATTGCTTGAGCTGCAGCCCATTGGCACCAACAATCTGCTCCGCTTTCAACTTCTGCTGAGACTCAGAACTATCAAGGCAGATGATGAAGTAAGTTTAAAATAGCACAGATGTAACTGCTTTGGTGGCATGCACGCTTTTCGCAATCTCCAGTTCTGCCCTCTGAATCACTGCCTGCTTTACATAAGGCATGTGTCACTGCCCACACTCCATCCTCAGAGGTGAAGTTTAATATTGTGGGAGTCAGATTCTCCCCATGAGATATTCCAGAAAAAAAAAAACAGAATGAGAGTTCATCTTCCTGCACCCTTGCTGATTTTGGTGAACCCTAATGAGCTGTGGCACTGCAGATACTGTCACTGTTTAGAACACCCTTATATTTTTATTTTGGAGTCGTACTAACTTGTAGAAAAGGGAGGTCTCAAACCTGGAATAAATCATATGGAAACACCAGATTTTAACCAACTGAATTCAGTATGAGTTTATATTAGTTTGTAAAGTGGCTGGATTTATTTAGCTTGGAGAAGGCCAAGGGAGAATCTGCTTGCTGTTTTCAACTGCCTAATGGGGTTATTTAGAAAACGGAACCAGACTTACAGGTGCATAGCAAAAGGACAGCGGGTAATGGTCATAAATTGCAGCAAGAGAAATTACAACTTGATAAGAGAAAAATTAAAAGCAGCGAGTGGGTAAACAGCGGAACAGGTTGTCTAGAGGTTGTGAAATCCGCATCCCTAGAGAGGCTCAATGCATAAATGGAAAAGGCTGAGCAATGTAAAGAAACTTTTAAGTCAACCCTCTTTTGAACAGGCGGTTGGCCTGGGGACCTTTGGAAGTCCCTTCCAGCCTACATTTTATGATTGTGTAGGAACTGTAAGTTGAAAAGGCGTTAAGAATCCTGTTACGACACAGAGGAAAGACCGGAAAACCTCTTGCTAGTAAGAAGTGACCAGCTCTGAAAGGCATGTGCAACTACCCACAGGTTCCGCTTTAAAGCCTGCAATCTTGGCAGTTCTCAGGGTCACCTGCCCGAGTGAATTCTTCAAACCTGTAGGATCACATGTAAAAGTGAAGGTCTCAGTACTTGAGGGGGAAAAACAATCAGGATCAAAGTTTTTCATCCTCTGTAGCTGAAGACTGTCAGCTTTCAAGGACAGAATGAGTTATCTATAAAGTCAGTTCTGTCTCACCTTTGTATTGTTATGACTTTATGCACATTTACCTAAACAGACATTTATTTGGGCTCAAGTTCATCAAGTACATGAGGGTTTTGGCATACTCTGTGCCTAGATAGGAACATTCCTTTTCATTTCAGATGATTGCCAAGGAAGGAGTCAATGGCCTAAGCGTGTCTGAGCTGCAGAGCGCCTGCAGAGCCAGAGGAATGCGATCGCTGGGTCTCTCAGAGGAGCAGCTAAAGGAACAGCTCGGGCAGGTGAGTACCCTCCAGTCTGGTCTCATTTGACAAGGTCTCTCCTAGGAGAGGGCAGCACGCAGTGTTCAGACAGAGCAGGCACAGGTTCACTAAGAATGCATGCAAGTGTTTCTAGATGGGTCCTCACCTGCATTGCTGAGCTTCAGGGTATGAGGTATCCAGATTATGTCTTAGACTAAAGAGAAAACCACGTAGCGTCAGGGCCAGCTAGGAGCAAGGTGAAGTGTGGGGGGCAGAACATGTTTTAAGCTTCTAAAGTAGCCAAGACTTGTAGTAGAGCCAACAGTGTTTTATAAGCATTCAAACAGAGCACAGCTACTGCTGCAGCTGCTGTATTTCAGATAAGCTGTAGATAATTCAAAGAGCTTTGCTTAGCTTTCACTGTTGACTGTCAGTAGTGATGCTGGTACCTCACTAGTAGCTGGAAACTTCCTCTCTGGTGTATATTCCATACAGTATTCTTAACTCTTCAAAACTATTTCTTCTCATTGTTGTAACTTAAAACTGTATTAGCCAAACTCAAGACAGCTTTAAGAGCTTTAAGGACAGGGAGTGCTGTATAAATAAGTACTGATGTAGAGCCAATATGAGATGACTTTTTCTTCTGTTTTCCTTTAACAGTGGCTGGATCTGCATTTAAAAGAGAATGTTCCACCTTCTCTGCTCCTGCTTTCCCGTGCCTTGTACTTAATAGACATAAAGCCACAATCTGTTCCAGTTCCACAAAATAAGGTGAGTTGTTTGAATAAAACTTTCAGGTTAATAGTTTAACCATTACACATTACTAAAAATTGAAGCACCGTGACATGAATCTTGTTCTTTGATCCTCCAAGTGGACTGAAGTTTTAACTGTGCTGAACTGTATGTTCTTCCGTAGATAGGCGAAACTGCTGAAATCGTGACATCCGTTCTTGAAGGTCAAGAGACCCTGGTGGATCCTGCCCCCCTTGTACGGGGAAGAAAGGTTAGAAAATAGGAGTCTACAAGTAGGAAAATGAGTATGTAGTGCTGTAATCTTTGGGAGGAGCACGTGAACAAACCTTTCCAAAGCTAGACAAAAGCCAGTGTTTGACACCATTGCACGGAGCACAGAAGCAGTGTCTGTTCTGGTGTTGTGTACATGTTTTTGCCCGAGAGCCTCCCAGTTGCACACTCTGATGTAGAGACAATGAAAGGGTGCAGAGATCTGCTGTGGCACATCCCGTCCTGTTGCTGGAAACAGCTGGTTATTCAATACCATGTTACTGGCTCCCAGCAGAGGAGCACTCACAAGACTCCAAGTTGCTTTATTCACATAAATACAGATACTTCAGTCCAGGTACATTTAGTTCAGAGAAGCTGTTTACAGGTGACTTGTTTGCAGCATTCCTAGGGAACTCGGGCTGAGTTGTCAAGGTCAAAAAGATCCAAAATGTCTACAGTAAGAAAGCCAGAGAATACAGTTGTCAGCATAAGGCTGAAGCAAATTCCTTATATTAGTCCAAGCTGATAAAAGCACCAACAGAAAGGAAAGGGGAATATTGTGTCAACTGCTAAAAATGTTTCCAAACAGCTCTATTAAATTGCATAGGGGAAATGCTGACACACAGCTTTCACAAACATGCATTGCAGGGAACAGCCTTCTTCAGAAAGGAGAAGGGACTGCACGGGGCCTAGCTAGAGCTTTATTTTCTGAGAGGGTTCTGTCACTTAAAGCTGCTTTTTCCTTAAAGAATGAAGAATTTATATCTCAGCCAACAGAGAAATTGCCAGTCTCAGAAGTGTCAGTTAAGCCTCCCCCACAAGAGGTAAGCTTTTCAAAACTGTTAGACTTTCCAGAGGAGATTGCTCTTCACACAGCTTACAAATTAACTGTGGAAATTTGTGCTACTGGGTGTTGTGAATGTTAAGTTCGAGGAGTGACTGGAGAAATTGTGGACAAGAACTTCACTGAGGGCTGTTAAATACAAAAATACCACATGTGACTGAGAGGCTGGGGTCCAGTCAGGGAAGGCAGCTGAGCAGGGTGGGGAATTGCCAGTATGTCCTTTCCTTGTGCTCTTCCTTAATCTGCCTTGGACCACTAGGACAGAGCAGCCTTCCCTCAGAACCACCATAGTGTTAAGTGCCATTTTGTATCTGTACAAATATTTCCACAGTGACTTGCCTTTCTTTAGTCCATTTTCTTTCTGTGACTGTTTGACTTCAATTTAGCTGCTTATGCCTTTAGGATGCCCACTTCAGGCAAGTCTGGGAGTCCAGACTGACTTTTAGTGACAGGAAAATGCTCCTTTACCCCGAAGAACTTTGTTCTTAGCTGTTATTCTCCAGAGCAGCTTCCTGCAGTAAAGGGGAAGATGCCTTCTTCAAAAAAGGTTTTGAATTTCAAGAAGCACGTGTATCGGTACTGCCTAAAATCTGCAACTTTCTTTCACACCTAGACTAAAATGGAAGCATCTCAGAGCAGCAAGGCCGGCGCCAACGGCGCCTAGCCTGGAGCCAGCGAGGGCTGTCTAGCACCGGGACAGAAGAGCTTTCATCCCTGCGTCTCCTTAGAAGGGAAGAGTGGTTTTCCAGGAGGCTGCTTTACACAGCAAGGTGTCGGCAGCCCTCGGGGGCCTCTGTCTATTCCAAGCTTATGAGCAACTCGGCCATGCTAAGGCCGTCTGGATGGCACCAGCTCCCCTTTTGTACTGGATCCCCGACCCCCACCATTTTAACTTCTGTTCTAAATATGTTAATAATGATGCTGCTGTCTGTGCTGTTGCTGAAGAGGTGTTTGTGCTCTTAAACCTTAGGAAAGGCAGCTTTTCATTGCCATAAAGGCCTGGGTGCAGACAGAGCTAGGCTGGAAGTCCAGTAAAGCCTGTTCTACAGTTTGAAATCCTCTGCAGGAACGTGCCCACCTATGCAGGGCTTGCAGCTTGTCCTGCTGGCGCAGCTTTACAAGCTCAGGCTTTTGATCCTACCTAGCACGGTTTAACCAATAACTAGCGCACAGAATGACACCTCTGGCTGTTGTATTTCGCCATCACGCTTGTGCCAAGGAGAATAACCACAGCGAAGGGAGGACCAGCACTCTCCTCCGTGGTGGGGTTGAACTTCACTGGTCAGAAAGACTGAAGAACTCGCTGGCGGAGGGCAGAGCAGTGGAGAGAATGGCTTCCACGGCGTGAGCGTTTGCCTTTGTCAGCAAGAGCTGCAGCGGGTGCCAGACACCGCTTCGGAAGGCAGAGACTTGCATTTTTAGGATCCCACTGGGTCACGCGAGGTAGCAACTCGGGGACCCACAGACATTGCCCACGTCTGATGTAAGACTTGGTTAAACCTGATCAGGCTTGGAACTACACAGCAGCAAGTGCTCTCACACTTGCTATACTTCACAAAATGATTCTTCACGCACTCCAGTGGTGACTGATTTTTTGGTAGACTCTATAGCAGGATGCTGAAAAGCTGTTCTTAGCATTTGTTAATTTTTTTACTTCCTGCTCTGTAAGTGTTCAGAAATACATTATGGATTTTAAATAAGTTTATTTATACTTACTGTAAAATGAAAGTTAGACTTGGTGCTAAGTAGAATGCAGTGTCTTTCCTAGAGGTCAGCCAGCCTTTAGAACAATCCAACTCAAAAAAAGCCAGTCAGCTCAAGGGCGGGTGTTATCAGCACTTTAAACATGTGACTTCGGGTTTTTACTAGCAAGGCACGAACAGCTCGGGGAGGACGGCTGCTGTGGCACTGTGTTCTTAGCTCTGTACCTGCACCTTGTTAGTACAGCCAGTATGCTGGGCTGAATATTTGTATTTAACTGGTGGTTAGTAAATGAGAGCAAATGTTTTTTCAATAAAATAACCCCATTGCTCCAGTACTACTCCTGCCTCCATGTAGCACGGATGAGATACTGCTGGTAGCCATTGCTTTGCCAGCTGACACAGAATAGCTTGTGGCTACTGGTCTGTTTAACAGAAGCCCCGTCTTCTCTTAGACAAGTTTAACTCTCTGCAACTCTCAGCTGACTGTTGCTGTCATTTGAACTGTGACCCAACACCTGCAGAGCCTGCTCTGTCTAAAAAAGTGTTTCGCCCCCCTAAGGAGCAGAGTACAGATGTCCAGTGCAAGATTTCACTGGTGCTGAGCACTGGGATTAGTGTGCAGGAGAGTGCAAGTAATTTCTGTATTGGGGCTGAAGTGGGGAAATAGGTGGAATTCCTGAATTCATGGTAAGTGGGAAGAGCTGTGCAAAGGGAAAGGCTCCTTGTTTTAAAGCACTCAGCTGGGCTTGCGGAGCCAGCCTAGTGCGCCAAACCAGACCAAAGCAAGAACATGGAAGGCAGGAGGAAAGTTAGTCTTTTTGATAAGGGAAACAAGCTCCGTGGAACCGGATTGGATTCCATGGAGTGCAAAAGAAGTGGCAGTGAAACAGGCGTGAGTAAGGTGTTGCTGTGTGGACGGCGACAAGCCCTGTGTGCAGGAGCTTCCTTACCCTGGGGTCACTTCCCGAAACCGGTGTCAACCCAGAGCTGGAGCTGTGCGTGTGCACGCAGAGCCGCGCGTGCAGCTGCGAGGGGGGCAGGAAAGCAGGAGCCCCCAGCCCCAGGGTGACGGCCACCGGGCCAGCGCTGGGGACCTCCGCTTCGCTCGCCCGGCGCTTCGGGTGGCTGCAGGGCGGGGGGCCAGCGCAGTGGGGGGATCGAGCCCGTCCCACGCGAGCAGATACAAACACCAGCTCCCTTACTACCCATGGTTTTCCCAGCTCTGCCCCAAAGCCCAGTTCTGTGCCAGCAGCCGATAGTTTACTGGCACAGAACTGGGCTTTGGGGCAGAGCTGGAAAAGCCATCGGTAGTTTACATTGCTATGACCGAGGGACGTGGTTTTTCTAGTACAATGCGAAGCAACTCGCCTCCACACCAGTCTCACTACTCAACCCCCTCTGGGGCTCCCCCCGCTCGGGAAGCCGGGGCCGGCACATCCAGCGCTGCTGCCAGGAGCCGCTCGCCCACCAGAGTCCCCGTCCCGCGTGGGGAGCAGTGGCCCTGCCCGACCAGGGCCGCTTCCCGCCGGTAGATAGCAGCACCAGCCAGTTCTTGTACCGAAAAGCCCCGAAATGGGCTGCTCCGAGTTCAAACCGCCCTGTCGGGGGGACACCCCGGCCCGCTGCTCAGCCCCCTCCCCAGGTCCCACGCAGCCCCCCGCCGGGGGCTCCGCGAGCCCGGGGCTGGCGAGCTGAGGCTCTGCAGGGCCCGGCGCAGGCAGCACGTGCCAAGCACAAACCTGCAAAAGCCCTTAAAAACAGACACAAAAGCCTTTAAAAACAGACACAACACCTCACGCCTCCTGGGTGCCCACAACACCCTTTGATTTTGAAGCCAGGGTCCTGCCTCCGGATCCAAGTGACTTTCAGCCACCAGTATTACAACCACTTAGATCCTGTAGAGATGAGGGACACCCGTACGTGCACCGGGACGGCGCTTGCTGTTCCCGCTGCCCCCCAGTGTCGGGGGTACCCACCCGAGCTGGCTCGGAGCAGGGACAGCCGTGGGTGTAGCTCTCTCCTCCAGCTCGCACCCTGCCAACAGCCCTGCCGGGTTCAAGCTCCAGCTCCCCCAGCAACACATAAAAGCCACACGTAGAAGACGCACTGCAAGCCCTTTCTCGTTTTAAAGAGCTGGCTGCAGCCCTGTAACAACAGAGCAGCCCATGCGGAGTCTGGTCCTTGCACGTAACCCTGCAGTAACAAGCCAACGTCTGTGCGGGGGAAGGCAAAGTTGGGTTGAGAAATGGTTTGTATTTCCAGGGGCAATTAAAAGCCACAGCGGGGAGCGTTACCCAGAACTGCCCTCCTCACAGCGCCCGGCCTGCGGCACCCGTCCTGGCTGGGGGATTTCGGATTCCCAGAATCAGCCCTTCGCTCGCTCAGCGTAATTAAGTGTTTTCAGCACCAACCGGACTTCAAAGGTCTCTCGGTTCCCCACGCCTGCAGCAGCAGCTTGAGCTTCAAAGCTCAGACCCCGGCGCTGCATCCAGACCTGCCCCAGCCGAGAGGGGCAAATCAAACCCCCCTCGGAGCCGGCCCCACGCGTGGCAGAGCTGCCCGTGGGCAGTGATGCTGTGCCCGCTGGCTGTGGAGGCAAGCCTGCCCGCAGCAGCGGGCGAGCCTGGCAGGTACCTCCTGCAGAGCAGCCACGGGCTCGCCTTTCCCCGGCCTGAGCACCGCTCCCGACACGCGCCGGCGCGCCAGCAGCACGGGCAGCTGAGCAGGATCAGGCCCTCAGCCTCTCGGGGTAAACAGGGCACCCGGGACGGGCTTGGAAAAGCTGATTTTGAACCAGTGCAAGCACTCTTGTTGCAAACCTGAGGAGGTCTGAGCCCACCTGGTCACAGATTGCAGGGAGGAATATTTACTGCCTCATTCGGCTGGGTGCCCGGCAGCATCAGCCACCCCGACCCTGCGGAGGGGGAGACAGCAGCACCGCGGAGGAGGTTTTTCTGTCCTTGCTTCTGGAGCTGTAGAATCAACACTGGCCTGTTTTCTAACCCACCTACAAGGAGGGGAGTCACTAAACAGAGTTATCTGGGGTGTCTGGACACCTGACTCTGGGAACAAGGGCTCTGCGTACCAGCACATGCCCGCAGCCTCTGCGGGGGCAAGGGCCACGCACGGAATTTCTCACCAGCCAGGAATTAACAGGCATTAACAGCAACAGCTCGGCAGCAACACTGCCAGAGAAACCCCTGCTGCCAGGAGCTGAGCTGCTTGGGCAGAGGCAGGAGTGAGAAGATCCCTCTCGGCCCATTTCACTGCCTCAGTTATGCAGAAAGAAACCATTCCCTAGAGAGTAATAATGGTAACAAGGGCGCCCAGCCCCCGAGCTGGGGAGCACTTACCGGTGGAGCTGGGATGCTCTGGAGGCTGCAGGGCAGCTGTGGGGCACGAGCCCAGCTCCTGCTCTGGGTTTAAATGGACCCACCTGCCCCCTCCCCCAGCACAGGGTCCCTGGGGGTGGGGGTGGCCCTGCCTCCCCAGGGGCTCCCGGCAGAGCACGGGGGTCCTGGGGGTGGGCAGGGGAGCAGGGCTTTGCTTTTGGAACCATTCCTGCTCTGCAGACAGCAGGTGAACGGTGAGGGGGGGGCACAGCATCCTGGGGTGCGACCTGGGAGCTGGAGGAGACCCGCCCCCGCCAGGGGTCCTGCTCAGAGCACGGGGGGGGGGGGGGGTTGTGACAACGTGCAAATCACCAACAGCTCCTGGGGAGCCCCCATCCCCCCCGAACCGCCCTGCACCCCCAGCTCGGGGTGGGATCCCTCCCGCCGCCGGGCTCTGCGCTGCCCAGTGCAAGGGCAGGCCTGGCCAGGGGACAAGCACTGTGTTATTCTGGCAGCCTGGAAAGTTTTCAGGGTGTTTGGAGAATTTGGAGTTGAGTTTCAAATTGTCAGGGGATTTTCCAGCCTCGGTGCAAGAGGTAGGCAGAAAATTACTGAGATAATACCCTTAATTTCCTGCACATGGGTTATGTTCCCTTGAAAGACTGCCACTCCGATAGTCCTTAAATACATCTTAGGAGAACATCTTATACCACATAATACAGCATAAGGGAAGTCATCTTCTCCCACCCAGTGTTTCAGGCCTGCAACTGCTCCAACTTCTGAACCCGACTGAACTCTTCCTGGCAGTGTTTAGCAACTTCCTAGGAAAGTTTGAGGTGGAACGATCAGATAATAGCTCCTTCGGCAGCTGCTTTGCCAGCTGGGCTCAACCCACCCAGAGAGGAGCAGCAGCTTTGACCCGAGGGTCCGGCAGCCCTTGAGCATCCCGTGCTGCGTGGGAGCTGCCTCCTGGCCGGGGCCAGGGCTGTCTGTCGGGGTCAGGCATCCCCTCAGCCCCGCAGGTGTCCAAAACTCACCCACCGCTGCCATCCTTAAACGGGGGGCTTAAACACAACATTTTTCCTCCAGGTACCCCAAGATCCAGGCGAGCTGCTCATCTCCGCACCCGCGGCAGCTTCATCGGGGTGTCAGGAGCTGCGAGTTACCCGGCTGAGGCGTGGGAGCTTCAGGAGGCCTGTTCTCTGCTGGGTTTATGGTCATTAACAGTAATTAACATGGGAAGCAGTGGTTGGCACCCAGGGCTGTGGTGGACACCCAGCCCCGGGGCTCGGCTCAGCCCCCATAAGCTGGCAGCAAGCTGTCCCCGTTGCCAACCTGCTCCCTCCCCGTGCCGGCCCCGTGCCCGCTCCCTCGGGATGCTCCTGCCCGGCAGCTGCTGCTCCAGGCGAGGGAGAGGAGGAGGTTGGCGCGATGTCCTGGGTGGGACGAAGGCAGAGCCAGCCTGCGCCTGCTGCGGAGGGAGCAGCACATTCTTCTGCTGAGAGGTTTTGCAGATGGAGAGAGAAGAGGGGCTGGGGGGGAGCCTGCGGCATCACCTGGGTGCTGCACTTCGGCCCCGGGCGAGCAAAGGGCGAGCAAAGAGTGAGCAAAGGGCGAGTGAAGGTGCTCCCCACGTCCCCGTCCTCCTGTCTGCGCCCTCCCATGACCACACCGCGCTGGCCTGTGAGCGAGGGCTTGTTCCGTGCCTGCTTACCTCCTGTGTTTTTAATTTAGAAAGATCGGGGAGCCTGGGCTTGCTCTTCCCTGGTTTTCCTGCGGTGACCCCCGGCCACGGCAGGGGCCCCAGCGTCAGTGTTGAGCCTGAAAGTGGGCAGAGGCTGGGAGCGAAGCCACCCCTGGGGGGGGGAGCAGGGTGCTGGAGCCAGGAGGAGGTGGGTGAACCCAGAGCAGACTTGGGCCACTTACACATCGCTGAACTAACCCGTTTTCCCACCTAAAATCCTCCAGCTGCTCCCCCCCAGCCCTCACAGGTTGGCTGCTGCAGA